TAGAAAATTTAGAACGGAATTCCTATCACACAGCAAAAAGAACCAGCAAAATGCACGCATAAGTAATTTAACGGTACATCTTGAACGCACACACTCTGGACTCACAAAACGGCCAACGCCCAATATTAGTGAAAAATCTCACCTTTTTAGCCGGCTTCTTTGAGCGGGAGTCACTTTGTAGCCCAGGAGTGGAATGCAAAGAAAAGACGTAACACGCCCCAAAAAGAATAAAAATAAAATAAAACTACCTCGTCGCCATTAAATGTGGTAAACAAGACCGAGCTTTTGCTGGTAATACCGTAGTGATAAGAAGATCCGCCGACACTGTACTCTGTTTTCAAAGGTTTATTATAACAAAGGTTCCAGCATCAGAATTTGACAGATTCTGCAGATATCTGTGAGACAGCACAGCCAATCAGTGTTTTGCTGTTCCCCCTCTCTGTTCAAGACATGGCATTTATATCATACATGGCCAGAGCATGGCGTGATTCTAACATCCAATCCCTGGCCATTACATATCCTCTTTTCCAGGAATTTAGTAATGCTTTCCAGATGTTTCCAGCACAGTAGAGTACACCATTTTGCCACATCAGCAAGATCTTAGGGCCAAGTTCCCTCTATCACACTTTCTGCAACAATCAGCATTTCTAGACTGTTTAAGATACTACACTAGCTAGCTAAGAGTGGTTTCGTAAATTCACTCTGGCTATCTACTCTGATTTCAGAGTACTCTCGTCTGAGTGTGCCAGAGCGAAGAATAACTGATTAATTTACGAACGCTCAACACCCGTTGAATATGGCAGTGTCCGTAAACGTCAGCAAAAAAACATCATTCAATTGTTGCCAGCAGCACAGTTAGAGTATCCAAAGCTATAGATAACATGAAAACAGCCAAACCAGCTCTGCTAGGTCGAGTAAAATGGTCAGAGTGAGGTGTTCCCTCATTTGTGTCGGACGTATCTAGCAAGCTAGCCAACTTTAGCCAGTTAGCTTGGGTGCTTGACTGCTGTTGTGAAGTCAGAACACTCGGATCAACCCTACTCCTCGGCCAGAGCGTCCAGTGTGCGCTCTGAACGCTCCGTGTGTGAAACGCTCTGAATTTACTATGACAATCTGACAGTGCTCTGAATTTACGAACGCCCAGAGCACACTCTGAGCGCCACTGGCACTTCAGAGTGAATTTACAAACACACCCGTAGTATAATGTCAGCTAGCTAGATAAGAGTGAGGGGAGCACACCGAATTATAGCTAATGAACGTTAGCATTGCTAGGTATTTTTGAAAAACTTTGCTAGCTAATGACAACATTGCCATCTGTCTAAAGTAAATTTGACAACCTAATATTGATGACAAAGTTGTTTCCTACAAAATATATGCCTAATGTAGCAATGTCATCGTATTTGTGTAAATTAGACAAAACAATCAAAGCCCCCGTTAAGAATGACTGGGCACCACTCGAATCAGTATGGCTGAGAGCGTCTTGAGAATGTTGATAACAATGGTGTAACGCAACTGAGTGACGGAGATGCAACACATTAATACAAATCTTAATTTGGCCCTGATTGAACATTAGAGGTGTCATTGTGAACAGTGTGACCTCGGCTCCCTGTTGTTGGAAATGCAGCTCTCAAAACCACCTGAACAGACTGCTGGGACCAAATAGTGAGCAATGTATGACACGCTGTGTGTGTGTTCTACAGCTGTCTACTCTGCACCCATGGTGAACACTGGAATCAACAGAGAGGTCAGTTTGTGTCTGTGTCTGTGTCTGTGTCTGTGTCTGTGTCTGTGTCAGAGAGAGGAGAGAGAGAGAGAGAGAGAGAGAGAGATAGAGAGAGAGAGAGAAGAGAGAGAGAGTAGAGAGAGAGAAGGAGAGCGAGAGAAGAGAGGAGAGAGGAGGAAGAGATCTAGAGAGAGAGACTCTCGATCTCTATATCCTCATTAGGCTCGCTCGCTCTCTCTGCTCCTCTCTCATCTCTCTCTCTCTCGCTGCTCTCTTTTTCTTTTCTCGTCTCCCTTCCCTTTCCCAATTTTTTTTGGCCCCCCCCCCTACTCATTCAAGGGTTTTTTCTTTAATTTACTATTTTCTACATTGTAGAAATAATACTGAGACATCAAAACTATGAAATAACATATATGGAATCATGTAGTAACCAAAAAAGTGTTAAACAAATCAAAATATATTTTATATTTGAGATTCTTCAAATAGCCACCCTTTGCCTTGATGACAGCTTTGATGGAGTGCTGCATCAGATGACCTGGCGTCCACAATCCCCCGACCTACATTTACATTTTAGTCATTTAGCAGACGCTCTTATCCAGAGCGACTTACAAATTGGACCTCAACCCAATTGAGATGGTTTGGGATGAGTCAGACGGCAGAGTGAAGGAAAAGCAGCCAACAAGTGCCCAGCATATGTGGGAACTCCTTCAAGACTGTTGGAAAAGCATTCCTGGTGAAGCTGGTTGAGAGAATGCCAAGAGTGTGCAAAGCTGTCATCAAGGCAAAGGGTGGCTATTTGAAGAATCTCAAATATAAAATACATTTTGATTTGTTTAACACTTTTTGGGCTTTTTTGTGTTATTTCATAGTTTTGATGTCTTCACTATTATTCTACAATGTAAAAAATAGTAAAAATAAAGAAAAACCCTTGAATGAGTAGGTGTGTCCAAACTTTTGACTGGTAGTGTATACTGAACAAAAATACAAACGCAATGAATTTACTCAGTTACTGTTATGATGAGTTTCTGGTATTGAGAAGTTCAGGATGCAAGAGATCATGTTACACAGATGGAGATTGGATTCAGTCATTATTTAATGTTCACAATATTGGATTCATTGACAGGGGGTACGTGCTCTGCCTCTTTTCATATGAATGACTTCCATACCAAATCTCTCAGCTTATATAATGACCTTCCAATCTACTTTTATCTTACCCAGTTGCTAACTATTATTAAGTGTCACTCATCCTCCATCATATCATCCACCTACTTGGTATCATGTGGCACCCTAGCCAGGCCATTCCATCACGCACCCAAGATTAGCACCAGTGGCCCCCAATCTATCTTGGCACACTGACCTTCTGTACTCACTCGTGACACCAATAACACATGGCTTGTCCTTGTTCTCTGTCCACATACATACATCTTATGATCTCTCCATACATTAATGTATGGCCAATCAGAATTAGTTTTTCCCCACAAAAGGGCTTTATTACAGACAAAAATACTCCTCAGTTTCATCAGCTGTCTGGGTGGCTGGTCTCAGACGATCCCACAGGTCAAGAAGCCGAATGTGGAGGTCCTGGGCTGGCGTGGTTACACGTGGTCTGCGGTTGTGAGGCTGGTTGGATGTACTGCCACATTCTCAAAAAAATGATGTTGGAGGCAGCTTATGGCAACAGCTCTGCTGGACATTCCTGCAGTCAGCATGTCAATTGCACAATCCCTCAAAACTTGAGACATCTGTGGCATTGTGTTTGTGACAAAACTGCACATTTTAGAGTGGCCTTTTATTGTCCCCAGCACAAGGTGCACCTGTGTAATGATTATGATGTTTAATCAGCTTCTTGATATGCCACACCTGTCAGGTGCATGGATTATTTTGGCAAAGGAGAAATTGTCACTAACAGGGATGTAAACATTTGAAAGAAATACGCTTTTTGTGCGCATGGAAAATTTCTGCGATATTTTATTTCAGCTCATGAAACATGGGACCAACACTTTACATGTTGCATTTATATTTTTGTTCAGTGTATGTTCTTCCCTCTCTCATCATGTCCTCCCATCCCTCTCCTCCTTTTCCTCCTCTCCAGGGTTGTCATGGTGATGCTGACTATGATTAAATAAAGGACCGCCTCCTACAGTCCAGCATCTACGCCAATTTACCCACAAGCCCCTCTGACTCTCTCAACTACCACAAGGACCCCAGCTGCCCTATTGAAGCCAGTGCCGCCATCCCTTAAGACGGCACTTCTTCTGGTGAATATCCCACTGTCAACATTGGTCAAAGCCCTGCCTACTCTACTGTCAATCATCCACATAGCTCCTCTTAGGTTCTACTCCACAGTCAGCAAACCCAGAGACACCTGAGTCACTGACAACCAGTCAGAAGGGACATACACACACTGGCAACCAATCACAAGTGACATGTTATTAACTATGTGTGCCACCGCCTCTTGAGCCTTGACCTTTAATTTGAGCAGACAGCTGCATAATCTGCTTCATGTCCTCATAATCAGATGTGTTACCTTGACTTCTGTCTTTCATGTCTCTTCTCAACTTGTCTTAATGTTTCGGTCACTTTGGTCTAATTTGCATGTTAATATCTGTAAGTAAATATTGGCTCACTATTTGGCAAGCACTGAATTTTGACTAAATGCATTATAACTGTCTATTAATGGTTTTTAACACATTTATAAAATAAATAGCCATAATTACGTAAGGGATAATCAACGAGGGGCTCTAAGCGTTCTGTGGAAAATAATGCACGACTTGTAAGTTGTGTGCCACCACGCTTCCACTGAGTTGCATTATTTTCCAGGGAATGCATAGAGCCCCGAGTTGATTATCCCACTTAGAACACATTTTCCGCTAGAAATGCACTGAAGTAGCTAGCTGGCAAGTTTCCTAGACGACTACAGTAACTTGCTATCTTAGCTAAGCAAACCATCAGTCCTCCTAGCTTGCTATTATGAAAATCGAATTCAATAATGCCAATAATGTTTTCAATTTGACTTTTGCTTTCAAAACCAGCTCTGGTAGTGTGAAATAGGTATTAGACTCTAACCATGGTCTCCACCCCCCCCCCCCCCCCCCCCCCCCCAAACCTCATTGAATAGTTATTGAACTGTAAATGAGAGGTTTATGTTATATCGAATTAAAATATGATATGTTATATTTTGACTTAGTCTGATATACAGTATATATTTCAAAGGATCATAAATATGACGGCGAGCAAAGCAAAAGAGACACTTTTCAAAGACGAGACCATTTTGAAATATGTAAGTGTGGATGGTTAGAAGAGTGAAGCCCTTTAATCTTTAATTTATTCATCATTAAACATTGTTACATTATTCATACCGGTGAACAAGGACCACTTCTACTAAGGGACGTTCACAACATACATATCACATTACTATATACAGTGCAGTGCAGTACAGTGGATCGTTATGTGTATTGCCGGGGGAACGGCGGGAGGAAGGGGGAGGGCTTGTGAAATTCCATTGGCTTTTTTCTTCTTCTTCTTCTTTTACCACAGCACAGTTGTTCTATAAAAGTTGCCCATTGAGAGTTACACATTTTCACAGCTACAGAAAATTAAGGTTGAATCTACGGTAAATCAACTCCTGTGGGGAATATGAATTGGGACACATTGTTGATATGAGTTTGCTATTATTATGCTATAAAACATTCTAAGTTAGTCGAGCAGCTCCGGGGTTCGAGAGCCAGAGGAGAGGCATGAGATCAGCGTGCATGCGTGCTGCAGACATTCAGACAGGGCAGCCATCTTGAAAATGGACTGGCCCACATCTCCCAATTTAGGCCTCATTTTTGGTGCTTTCCCTTTTATATAAAAAAATACAAAACATAATGGCGAAAATAATTAGTGTTTCATTCCATTTTCCAATTTTTTTCAGTTTTCTAAAACTTTTTTTCTATTTTTTTCTTGTCCGGCACTTAGCTACATATTGACAAAGTATACAATATTTTACAACTGAAGACTGAAATAACACTTGATTAGTCTAATCGGATATACGGTACAAGGCCCATATCCAATCAGTCAAATGGAAGCTAACCAGTAGGAAGCAACACAACAAGCCTATGGTGTGAAGGAAGCTGTCCGACAGCTCTGCATTAACACGAGCACCCGCCCTCTGGGACAGTGGGTTCTGCTGGTTTGTCCAGCTTTATGTCAATCACTGGAAAGTGTCCAATTAAGGAAAACTTGGGGAATACATAGAAAATGGTTAAACATTATCTGCATATTCCATTCTAAACAACAAAACAGTGGCACATAACATAGTCAACAGAAATTACTTGAATGCAATATAATAGACCCTCTATCTTTCTCTCTCTCACACACAAGCACGCGTGCACATACACACACATTCACACAATTCCACACTATATGTAACTACGCCCTCCTTCCAACCACCATAGTCTATCCTTCATCATGTCTCCCTAGTAGAGCACTGCTACCCAACTCGAGTCCTACGGGCCCCCAACATTATACATCGGGTTGGGAAAGGCCTTAGCTACCTAAGAGCTCTCTCAGTCTCTCTCTCGTCTTGTGAGCAGCCAAGCGGAGCCGTTGCTATGGACACTCACACATGCAGAGAGTGCACGGAGCAGATGCAGTGCAGCACAGCAGTGCAGAGATGAGCAGCTAAAGGTGAAAGTTATTTGTGATTTCGGGTATGGGCAGAAGCAATCGGGCCAGGGAACGGTAGGGCCTTAACGTCGCGGGCATTGGAAGGGCTCTGGCTTAAATTTCATGCCCGTGCAGGGCTCTACTCCCTAGGTACAGGGTCCTATCCTGCTATACCGTCACTAGGGGGCATCCTCTCCCCTTGTCCTATACTGCCCTACAAAGGCAAAGTGCAGTAACTACGAATTTGGTCCAAAATCTTTGATCTGTTGTAATGGCCAGGTATATTATCTGATTAATGTGGTATTTAGTTTCCTGAAACAAGAACAAGCCAGTCGATCAAAATACATCATGAAGTACCATAACGTAGTTACTGAACTTTGCCTTTTTTTTAAGGGCATACAAACCAATGATCATATTACTGGTTCAATGCACTGGAGATGGCACCCTATTTCTGCCTACTTCTCTATTAACGTAGCAGCAACCACAACGAGTTGAAGGATTGTTTCTCTCTACTGAGTTCCTCTTTGTTGTTCTGAGCCTTGATTAACAGTGTTGAGTCACTCACTCTGTTCTAAAGGATACTGCCTTCAGGGTTCACATCGTCCAAACTCTCCATCCCAGGTAAGGTTGCTGCAACGCGGCGAAACAGCTGGAGAGGGAAAGAGAAAGAGAAAGAGAAAAACAGAGAAAGTGAGAGAGTGGAGGGAAAATAGTTTGAAAGAATAGAATCGAACTAACACAATAAAACTACATACTAGAAGGAATTTCCACAATCTAAATCTGATGTTTGAGTGAGTGACTTGAAGCAAATTAAGAAGCAACAATTCTGAAATGTTGAGTGCCTAATTAAGAAATGCTACATTTTTATAGTAAGAATCACCTGTTTGACATTGGTGCCTGTCTTGGCACTGGTTTCGATGAACATCACATTCAGTTCTTTGGCTCTCTGCTCTCCAGCCTCAATAGTGATTTGCCTGTGGGAGAATCAGACCATAGCATGCATTCAGATGTTTCAAGGGAAATACTTGACAGACATCTTGAATGGTTTATGTAGAACCAATGACGTTGAACAATTGATGCATAATTGAATCAAATCAGGTGACTCATGTTCACGCTGTCAACACATATATAATCAATTTAAAGGGATTGAAAAAGTAACATTAAGGCAGACAAACTACCCCTCTGATAGGCTTATGCAATAAATAACATATTTATAAGAGAGATATATGCTATAATACACTGAGTGTACAAAAATTAGGAACACCTTCCTAATATTGATTTGCACCTTCCTTTTGCCCTCAGAACAGCCTCAATTCATCGGGGCATGGATCCTACAAGGTGTCGAAAGCGTTCCACAGGGATGCTGGCCCATGTTGACTCCAATGCTTCCCACAGTTGTGTCAAATTGGCTGGATGTCCTTTGGGTGGTGGACCATTCTTGATACACAAAGGAAACTGTTGAGCGTGAAAAACCCAGCAGCGTTGCAGTTCTTGACACATAAAACAGGTGCGCTTGGCACCTACTACCAAACCCCGTTCAAAGGCACTTAAATATTGTATCTTGCCCATTCACCCTCTGAATGGCATGCATACACAATCCATGTGTCAATTGTCTCAAGGCTTAAAAATCCTTCTTTAACCTGTCTCCTCCCCTTCATCTACACTGATTGAAGTGGATTTAACAGGTGACATCAATAAGGGATCATAGCCTTCACCTGGATTCACCTGGTCAGCCTATGTCACGGAAAGAGCAGGTGTTCCTAATGTTTTGTACAGTCAGTGTACATGTAATACATGTATCAAATATAAACTAGAACAGGGATCATTTCAGCCACGGGACGATTTTTTTGGAGCGGATGGTCGGGGGGCCGGAACATAATTACAAAAAATTTGTAGACTGCAAATTGACCGCAAGAAGCCCAAACAGATATAATGTTGGACTAAAACATACCATTACAAATCTTGCTTACATTTGTATATGATCACGTGTCTCTCTATTATGCATAGGAACACTTGGGAACAGATTTCCAAAATTAAAATCACTTGGAGCTGAGTTCCTGTTGTTTTTACAGTCTTATGTCCAACAATGAAAAAATATGTATTTTTATTTTTTTGTGGTCAGAAAACTTGGGGGTCCAAATAAAACCAGCCGTGGGCCATATTCGGCCCGCGGGCCACCAATTGGGGAACCCTGAACTAGACCCACCTCTTCTCCTCCAGGTCTGTCTTGTTGCCCACTAACATGATGATGACATCACTGCCCCTCTCTGTTCGAACGTCGTCAATCCACTTACAGGTCTGCTGGAACGAGTTCACGTCTGTGGAGGAAATACATCATTTACAAACTTTTTACTGGATTTTACTGTGTACACCAAAACGACAAGCCATTATAGTGCACAAGGGTAACAGTGTGTGTGTGCGTGCATGCATATGGTTCTGCTTGTAGTGTGAGTTGTAATGTCTTGCTGCTCACTTGTAATGTCATACACCACCACAGCGACAGTTGAGTCCCGTATGTAGCTGGGAATGAGACTCCTGAAGCGCTCCTGGCCAGCTGTATCCCACAGCTGCAGCCTCACCTAGATACATAGCACACACAGAGCTACACTACTGGCTAAACCGCAACAACAGCTCTGTATTAACACGATTATTTAAGTTTAATTTCACCAGGTAAGTTGAATAAGAATACATTCTCATTTATGAATGCCTCATCGATGTAATTAGTTTGTAGTATGTACATTATGTATAGTTCAGTGGAGGCTGGTGGAAGGAGCTATAGGAGGATGGGCTCATTGTAATGACTGGAATGGAATTTAAGGAATGGAGTCAAACATGTGGTTTCCATATGTTTGATGGGGTTCATACCGATCAATTTATTCCATTCCAGCCATTACAATGAGCCTGTCCTCCTATAGCTCCTCCCACCAGCCTCCTCTGGTATACTTAGTATGTATAGTATGCTAGGAGAATTGGAGTGCTACTAGTTAGGGTGCTAGGCTACTAGTTAGGGTGCTAGGCTACTAGTTAGGGTGCTAGGCTACTAGTTGGGGTGCTAGGCTACTAGTTAGGGTGCTAGGCCACTAAAAAGGGTAGAAATAATGTAGTCTGTGTTGATCTGTGTGTTCCTTTCAGGTAACTGACAGAGTTTCTTACTGTTCGGTCCTCCAGGTACATGGTCTTTGATAAGAAGTCAATCCCAATGGTCGCCTGTCAAATAAAATAAGAGGAAAATGATATTAGCAATAATAGCACAATAAAAGGAGTCCCACAGGGTACAGTGTTTCACCCTCTATCATTTGTTATTCACAAACGAAAATATGTATTGTGATAGATAGAAAACATAAAAAGCTATTCAGGCCAAGCACTGACATCTAATCAAATCTACGGTAATTCGATTTGTATTGCCCTTTGTACATTGTACTGTAATTACCTGATATGTGTTGTCGAAGCTGTCGTACATGAACCTGGTGATCAATGATGTTTTCCCCACTGGAAGAGGAACAGAACACAGGGGTGAACATTGATACAGTACATACATACATACATACATTCATTCGGAAAATATTCAGATGCCTTGACTTTTTCCACATTTTTTTCACGTTACAGCCTCATTGTAAAATGGATTAAATTGCTGTTTTTTTCTCATCAATCTACACACAATACCCCATAATGACAAAGAAAAAACAGGTTTAGACATTTCTGAAAATGTATTAAAAACTGAAATATCACATTTACATAAGTATTCAGACCCTTTACTCAGTTCTTTGTTGAAGCCCCTTTGGCAGCAATTACAGCTTTGAGTCTTCTTGGGTATGACGCTACAAGCTTGGCACACCTGTTTTTGGGGAGTTTCTCCCATTCTTCTCTGCAGATCCTCTCAAGCTCTGTCAGGTTGGATGGGGAGCATCACTGAACAGCTATTTTCAGGTCTCTCCAGAAAGGTTCGATCGGGTTCAAGTCCGGGCTCTGGCTGGGCCACTCAAGGACATGCAGAGACTTGTCCCGAAGCCACTCCTGTGTTGTCTTGGCTGTGTTTTTAGTGTCGTCGTCCTGTTGGAAGGTGAACCTTCGCCCCAGTCTGAGGTCCTGGACACTCTGGAGCAGGTTTTCATCAAATCAAATCAAATCAAAAAAAATTGGCCACATGCGCCGAATACAACAGGTGCAGACATTACAGTGAAATGCTTACTTACAGCCCTTAACCAACAGTGCATTTATTTTTAACAAAAAAGTAAAAATAAAACAACAACAAAAAAAGTGTTGAGAAAAAAAGAGCAGAAGTAAAATAAAATAACAGTAGGGAGGCTATATATACAGGGGGGTACCGGTGCAGAGTCAAAGTGCGGGGGCACCGGCTAGTTGAGGTAGTTGAAGTAATATGTACATGTGGGTAGAGTTAAAGTGACTATGCATAAATAATTAACATGCTCCGTTCATCTTTCCCTCGATCCTGACTAGTTTCCCAGTCCCTGCCGCTGAAAAACATCCCCATAGCATGATGCTGCCACCACCATGCTTCACCGTAGGGAGGGTGCCAGGTTTCCTCCAGACGTGACGCTTGGCATTCAGGCCAAAGAGTTCAATCTTTGTTTTGTCAGACCAGAGAATCTTGTTGCTCATGGTCTGAGAGTCATTTAGGTGCCTTTTGGCAAACTCCAAGCGGGCTGTCATGTGCCTTTTACTGATGAGTGGCTTCCATCTGGCCACTCTACCCCCATAAAGGCCCGATTGGTGGAGTGCTGCAGAGATGGTTGTCCTTCTGGAAGGTTCTCCCATCTCCACAGAGGAACACTGGGGCTTAGTCAGAGTTACCATAGGGTTCTTGGTCACCTCCCTGACCAAGGCCCTTCTCCCTCGATTGCTCAGTTTGGCGGGGCGGCCAGCTCTAGGAAGAGTCTTGGTGGTTCCAAACTTCTTCCATTTCAGAATGATGGAGGCCACTGTGTTCTTGGGGACCTTCATTGCTGCAGAAATGATTTGCTACCCTTCCCCAGATCTGTGCCTCGACACAATCCTGTCTCGGAGCTCTACGGACAATTCCTTCAACCTCATGGCTTAGTTTTTGCTGTCAACTGTGGGACCTTATATAGACAGGTGTGTGCCTTTCCAAATCATGTCCAATCAATTGAATTTAGCACAGGTGGACTCCAATCAAGTTGTAGAAACATCTCAAGGATGATCAATGGAAACAGGATGCACCTGAGCTCAATTTCGAGTCTCATATCAAAGGGTCTGAATACTTATGTGAATAAGGTATTTTTATTTGCTTTGTCATTATGGGGTATTGCGTGTAGATTGATGAGGGAAATGTTTTATTTAATTGATTTTTGAATAAGGCTGTAACGTAACAAAATGTGGAAAAAGGGAAGGGGTCTGAATACTTTCAAAATGCACTGTACATACATACATACACACTCGGGCTCCCGAGTGGTGCAGCGGTCTAAGGCACTGCATCTCAGTGCTTGAGGCGTCACTACAGACCCCCTGGTTCGATTCCAGGCTGTATCACAACCGGCCGTGATTGCGAGTCCCATAGGGCGGCGCACAATTGGTCCGGGTTTGGCCAGTGTAGGCCGTCATTGTAAATCAGAATTTGTTCTTAACTGACTTGCCTAGTTAAATAAAGGTAAAATAAAATAAATAAATAAATACTGGTAACTGCCAAAATAATGGAGACACTTGAGTAAACAAGGGATACAAAATATATTGAAAGCAGGTGCTTCCACACAGGTGTGGTTCCTAAGTTAATAAAGCAATTAACATCCCATCATGCTTAGGGCCATGTATAAAATTATTTTGGCTACCATGGCTATACCCCCATAGGATGACAATGCCCCCATCCACAGGGAAGGAGTGGTTACTGAATGATTTGATGAGCATGAAAACAATGTAAACCATATGCCATAGCCATCTCAGTCACCAGATCTCAACCCAATTATAGACTTATGCTAGGAGATTCTGGAGCGGTGCCTGAGCATTTCCACCCCGTGTAGCTCAGTTGGTAGAGCATGGCGCTGCAAGCGCCAGGGTTGTGGGTTCGATTCCCACGGGGGGCCAGTATGAAAAAAATAAGAAGAAATGTATGCACTAACTGTAAGTCGCTCTGGATAAGAGCGTCTGCTAAATGACTAAATTTTTTTTAAAAATGACCATCAACAAAACACCAAATGATGGAATCTCTCATGGAAGAATGGTGTCGCATCCCTCCAATAGAGTTCCAGACACTTGTAGAATCCATGCCAAGATGCATTGAAGCTGTTCTGGCTCGTGGTGGCCCAACGCCCTACTAAGACATTTTATGTTGGTGTTTCCTTTATTTTGGCAGTTACCTGTACATACATTGTCTACATACATACATACATACATACATACATATATACATACCGTTACGAAATCAATAACTAACCTATGGATATTGTTGTACTCGCTTTGTGTGCGGGTCCTAGGCTCCTTCTAGCTAAGTACATCACAGTTAGTGGCCATTACATGCTTGAAATCAGCACAACACCGCTACATTACCGCATACATTATGGAAAACCATTAGGGTGTTAGCTACATACAAATGCAATAACACACATGCGCACCATAGGCAGCTACATCTCAGATTAATTTGGACTCCAGACCAAAGGACACATATCCACCGGTCTAATGTCCATTGCTTGTGTTTCTTGGCCCAAGCAGGTCTCTTCTTATTATTGGTGTCCTTTAGTAGTGGTTTCTTTGCAGCAATTCGACCATGAAGGCCTGATTCTCACAGTCCCCTCTGAACAGTTGATGTTGAGATGTGTCTGTGACTTGAACTCTGTGAAGCATTTATTTGGGCTGCAATTTCTGAGGCTGGTAACTCTAATGAACTTATCCTTTGCAGCAGAGGTAACTCTGGGTCTTCCATTCCTGTGGCGGTCCTCATGAGAGCCAGTTTCATCATAGCGCTTGATGGTTTTTGCAACTGCACTTGAAGAAACTTTCAAAGTTCATGAGGTTTTCCGGATTGACTCACCTTCATGTGTTAAAGTAATGATGGACTGTCGTTTCTCTTTGCTTATTTGAGCTGTTCTTGCCATAATATGGACTTGGTCTTTTACCAAATAGGGCTATCTTCTGTATACCCCCCACCTTATCACAACACAACTGATTGGCTCAAACGCATTAAGAAGAAAAGAAATTCCACAAATTAACTTTTAAGAAGGCACACTTGTTAATTGAAATGCATTCCAGGTGACTACCTCATTAAGATGGTTGAGAGAATGCCAAGAGTGTACAAAGCTGTCATCAAGGCAAAGGGTGGCTATTTGAAGAATCTCAAATATAAAATATATTTTGATTTGTTTAACACTTTTTTGGTTACCACATGATTCCGTATGTGTTATTTCATAGTTTTGATGTCTTCACTATTATTCTACAATGTAAAAGAATTGTAAAAATAAAGAAAAACCCTTGAATGAGTAGGTGTGTCATAACGTTTGACAGGTGGTGTACATACATAAACTCAGCAAAAAAAGAAATGTCCCTTTTTCAGGACCCTGTCTTTCAAAGATAATTGGTAAAAATCCAAATAACTTCACAGATCTTCATTGTAAAGGGTTTAAACACTGTTTCCCATGCTTGTTCAATGAACCATAAACAATTAATGAACATGCACCTGTGGAACGGTCGTTAAGACACTAACAGCTTACAGATGGTAGGCAATTAAGGTCACAGTTATGAAAACTTAAGACACAAAATAGGCCTTTCTACTGACTCTGAAAAACACCAAAAGAAAGATGCCCAAGGTCCCTGCTCATCTGAGTGAACGTGCCTTAGGCATGCTGCAAGGAAGCATGAGGACTGCAGATGTGGCCAGGGCAATAAATTGCAATGTCCGTACTGTGAGATGCCTAAGACAGTGCTACAGGGAGACAGGACGGACAGCTGATTGTCCTCGCAGTGGCAGACCACATGTAACAACACCTGCACAGGATCGGTACATCCGAACATCACACCTGCGGGACAGGTACAGGATGGCAACAACAACTGCCCGAGTTACACCAGGAATGCACAATCCCTCCATCAGTGTTCAGACTGTCCGCAATAGGCTGAGAGAGGCTGGACTGAGGGCTTGTAGGCCTGTTGTAAGGCAGGTCCTCACCAGACATCACCGGCAACAACGTCGCCTATGGGCACAAACCCACCGTCGCTGGACCAGACAGGACTGGCAAAAAGTGCTCTTCACTGACGAGTCGCGGTTTTGTCTCACCAGGGGTTATGGTCGGATTCGCGTTTATCGTCTAAGGTATGAGCGTTATACCGAGGCCTGTACTCTGGAGCGGGATCGATTTGGAGGTGGAGGGTCCGTCATGGTCTGGGGCGGTGTGTCACAGCATCATCGGACTGAGCTTGTTGTCATTGCAGGCAATCTCAACGCTGTGCGTTACAGGGAAGACATCCTCCTCCCTCATGTGGTACCCTTCCTGCAGGCTCATCCTGACATGAACCTCCAGCATGACAATGCCACCAGCCATACTGCTCATTCTGTGCGTGATTTCCTGCAAGACAGAAATGTCAGTGTTCTGCCATGGCCAGCGAACAGCGAAGAATCCCATTGAGCACGTCTGGGACCTGTTGGAACGGAGGGTGAGGGCTAGGGCAATTCCCCCCAGAAATGTCTGGGAACTTGCAGGTGCCTTGGTGGAAGAGTGGGGTAACATCTCACAGCAAGAACTGGCAAATCTGGTGCAGTCCATGAGGAGGAGATGCACTGCAGTACTTAATGCAGCTGGTGGCCAAGATAGTGACTGTTACTTTTGATTTTGACCCCCCCTTTGTTCAGGGACACATTATTCCATTTCTGTTAGTCACATGTCTGTGGAACTTGTTCAGTTTATGTCTCAGTTGTTGAATCTTGTTATGTTCATACAAACATTTACACATGTTAAGTTTGCTGAAAATAAACGCAGTTGACAGTGAGAGGCCGTTTCGTTTTTTGCTGAGTTTACATACACACATATATACATATATCCATACTGTTACGAAAACAATAACTAACCTATGGATATTGTTGTACTCGCTTTGTGTACGGGTCCTAGGCTCCTTCTAGCTAAGTACATCACAGTTAGTGGACTACAGAAGGCTTTGGGCAGTGGCCATTACATGCTTGAAATCAGCACAACACCGCTACATTACCGCAAACCTTATGGAAAACCATTAGGGTGTTAGCTACATACAAATGCAATAACACACATGCGCACAAAGACACAAACACACACACACACACACACAATCACAGAGCACCATGGGCAACTACATCTCAGATTAATTTTCTATGGAAAGCCTAGACACCTACCATTACATACACACACACACACACCCACATATACAGTACATACATACATACATACATACATACATACATACACACACACACACACACACACACACACACACACACACACACACACACACACAGGAACATACACTAAATGGTGGACATGAGTGACACACATTTTTCTCTTTCTCACACACACACACACACACACACACACACACACACAGCATCCATTCTATTTCAAATAAATCACTAGTATTTTGCACTTCCATGATCGTACCGAGATCTGTATAGCCAGTCCGACTGTCTGATGTCTGACCAGAGAGGTTTATAGCGCTAAACCATTATCGATCTAGACTCCTGAATCTGTGCCATAACAACCACGTAAACAGTCATTGTTCCCTAAATGATTGAATTATTGAATACATCATCATGTTATGACAGGGACAAACCATTCGTGACTATCATTATGTTACGGAGCTGTGAGTCAAATTATGGAGATTGGAGACAGTGACTGCGAGGTTTATACATTCTACAGACATCGCCAACCTGGGTGTGTCCCGAACTGACACATGGGAACTGTTTGTCTATTTATCCCTTTTAAACCTAAAAAATGTTTAGCTTGTCATATCATACATTTTAATGTTACATTTACGTCTACAATCAACGATGGAACTGTAATAACATGTTATTATAATCTTGAAACAGAATCTTTCTGCCGGTCACTGCACCACATCAAAACATCCAAATTCGTATTTCACGTCGTCTACTGTATTCTATCTGTAATACCAATGATACAATAAAATAAAACATGTTAAATAGAGAAATTGGTTGAAATAAAATATTAACATCTGGAAAACCCGGAGGATAGATTTATTTCATGACGTTTTAGATCACAATGGATGACTAATCAAATTTTCTACAGAAACAAAATCGTGACAGGAACCGGTGAATTGGTTGATTGAGCTAACATATTACACAACCTCTCAAAACATTTACAAAATAGTGAAAACTTTCAAATAGACCAAATAACACAGTTATGGCCTTCAAGATGCATTAGCATGTTTGGCAATTGATAACCAAGCAAGCCTCTAAGCCTCTAAGGCTCTCCAAAAGGCTCGACTCACCGCTCTGTTCTCCTAAAAATACGAGTTTAAATTTCCTCAGAGGGTTACCCAAGTCTCCTCCGGCGGACATGGTTACAGCGATACAACTCTAGCGGATTATAATACAGGTTTTCTGATCCAGAGGCGTTGTTTCTTTCACTATCGGTGTGTCGGGATCCTCCTCTGCTCATAGAATGATGGGAATGCAGCTCAGCATCGTCCTGTCAATTTAGGATGCGTGTGCGCCTGTGCGCGACTTCACCTTATTCGTTCTCTCACCTTCTGAAAATTACGGCATTTTCTACCGTTATTCCTTACGTTTACACAGTGTATGCATATTCAGCAACGTAAGTAACATAAAGCTGTGTTTTCAGGTTAGTTATAATTTGTTCTTGTAATATGACATTCATATTCATTCACAAATAGTGTCAGTGATACAAATCCTCATAAAATTAAAAACAATGCAAATACTGTACAATAAACCGTAGCATATGCCGTTTTTCCTGATAAGCAACCCGAAAACATTCCTTATCAAAATCCCATAGGAAGTTATCAAATGTCCCTTCTAAATGGAAGAAACTGCAATGTTAATTTGTATTATAGTCGAAAACAAAATCTTCAATGTTGATACTACATAATAACATGGTCATTTAGCAGACACTTTTATCCAAAGCGACTAACAGAGCTGTCATTGACAGTGACACATATTCAGTTTAATTGGCCAATGCGGGAATAGAACCTGCAACCCTAGTGTTGCCAGTAGTGTTGCCTCTCACACCGGCTCCACAGGCTCCTTCTCAATACTCAGGCCTGTGCTGGCTGTACTCTCCAGCCAGCCAGGAATAAGAGCACTAACCCAAGGCACTTATAGCCCACCTGTAGCCCAATAACCCGAAGGGTTGCTGGTTCGAATCACCAAAGCTGACTAGGAGAAAAATCAGTCGATGTGCCCTTTAACAAGGCACTTAACCATAACTGCTCTTATAAATTGCTTTGGATAGGAGCGTCTGCTAAAATGTAAATAAAACATTTACAAAAAACAAAGAGAACAAGACAAGACTAATTTACAAGCACATCAAGTGCGGCTTCACCTGTTCCGAAGGATGTTGTTTGTTGTAGTAGTAACTGCAGGGGCCTGCTTCCACCAGACACAGGAGTAGTCAATGGCCAGCCTAAACACAGCCGGGGCTGGCAGCCAGGCTGAAGCATATATGAAATATATACATTCAGTATAGGATCCTTATGGGTTGAAACATATTTGGAATCTATACTGATCAAAAATATAAATGCAACATGCAACAATTTCAAAGACTGAGTTACAGTTCATGTAAGGAAATCGGTCAATTGAAATAAATTCATTAGGCCCTAATCTATGGATTTCACATTACTGGGCAGGGGTGTAGCCATGGGTGGGCCTGGGAGGGAATAGGCCCACCCACATTATTCAGACAGGAACAGTTGGAGTTACAGAGAGGGAAAGACCTGGGAAAATAATAACAGAATGGAATAGACTAGAATAGTTGTCAACCTAACCCGTGATGGTTGCCTAGGCTACAACGGTGCAACATGTTGCGTACACAATACAGTCAGTGGTCTATATAAAGTCAATGACGTAGCGAGAGCATAGGGAGACTAAACATGAATAATTGAGTTGAGGATTTGTACCGTCAAAGGAAACAAATGCCACACATTAATGAGGGGTATTTTCATATGGTCCACAGGTCCTGTGTGTCACTGTAGCCCGCGTTGACCCTCTCTGAGTGGAACAGCCCATGAAGAAGAGAGGTACACAGAGCAGGATGGAGATGGAGAGAGGTACCAAACATAGCTTCATCACCACCCCGCCCAGCAGCAGCCCTACAGCAGCCGTGGAGGAAGGCCCTAAAAATAGTCAAAGAATCCAGCCACCATAGTCATAGACTGTTCTCTCTGCTACTGCACGGCAAGCGGTACCGGAGCGCCAAGTCTATGTCCAAGAGGCTTCTTAACAGCTTCTACCCCCCAAGCCATAAGACTCCTGAACGCTAATCATGGCTACCCGGACTATTTGCATTGTCCCCCCCCACCTTCTTTTACGCTGCTGCTACTCTGTTTATTATCTATGCATAGTCACTTTAACTCTACCCACATGTACATATTACCTAAATTACCTCGACTAACCGGTGCCCCCGCACATTGACTCTGTACCGGTACCCCCTGTATACATCCTCCCTACTGTTATTCTATTACTGTTATTTTTTACTTATCACTTATTTTTCTTAAAACTGCATTGTTGGTTAAGGGCTTGTAAGTAAGCATTTCACTGTAAGGTCTACACCTGTTGTATTCGGCGCATGGGGCAAGTACGATTTGATTTGATTTGATTTGATGGCTCCTGGAGAGAACCAACTGGCTGGAGGTCACAGTTGGGTTTAACATTTTTTATTTGATCTAAAGAATGTGTCAATGAACAGTTTGTCTGGTTCTCCTATTAGAAACATCAATACAGATTCAAGCAGATCTGTAGCAGTAGCTTACCAATGTAAAGAGCTGAGTTCCCAGGCTCAGCAAAGTCATCCCCATAGGAGATGCCAAAGGGCTGGATGTACACGGAGCTGATGCCAAACAGCATCTGGGCAGCAGCCAGGGTCAGCCACTGTGTCCGTGCCTCAGAGGGGTGTCTGTTGCCCCCCTGTCTGCACATCTCAAGGGCAGAGGAGTTCTCCCTGAGAACACACACGTCCCACAACCCACCGGCTGAAAACAACAACACATGCATATATTTCTCTGTAATCAGTTCAGTAACATTGAGAAACATGCAGTGAGCGATATTATTGCTTGTGCCATCCCAAACACATGAAGTACAAAAACATTTAAAATATATACAGTGGGGGAAAAAAGTATTTAGTCAGCCACCAATTGGGCAAGTTCTCCCACTTAAAAAGATGAGAGAGGCCTGTAATTTTCATCATAGGTACACGTCAACTATGACAGACAAATTGAGAAAAAAAATTCTCAATTTGTCTGTCATAGTTGACGTGTACCTATGATGAAAATTACAGGCCTCTCTCATCTTTTTAAGTGGAGAACTTGCACAATTGGTGGCTGACTAAATACTTTTTTCCCCACTGTATAAACTGAGGATTTACAAAATAATCGCTTGATAACTTGTTGAAATATAACTAAATTGCTGTATTGTTCAAATCTAACTGGGAATTTAATTATTCAAGATTTTCTCTAGAGGGTGCTATCATGAGCCAGCCAGACCAACACAATTAGACCTGTGTTCATAGTCAAACTGGTATAAATCATGGACTTCCTGCACTGTAATGCTTTGAATTATGGCAAAAATGCACTGTAATATATAGAGTAATATATTGGGGTTTGTGTTCTTACCAGCTGATATAGAGTGGTAATGGTAGGGCTTGGACAGGAAGTGAGGTAAGGTCAGGGTGGCAGCAGCACAGGACATGAGCAGCCCCCGAAGGCCAATGAAACGAGGCCGGTGGACCTGGCTCCCAAAGTAACTGACAAACACCACCAGCACAATGTTCCCCATCTGCAGGACACACTCACAGCCCAGCAGGCAAAACTGGTTGGAATGATGTCATTACAACAACCAACTTAAGGTTGTAAACTGGTTGGAATTATGTATTTTCAATCAGCTATGCCTGCTGGGAGAGTGATAGAACAGGAGAGACCTATTTAACCTTTTACTGTAGTGGGCTAAATCAGGGTCACACAGAGTGATTCTTGGTAGTCTTAAACAAATCTACTTTGAAACAAAAGTATACACCTCACACACATGGTTATGAGCTTAAAAAAAAGAACACCTATACCATGTCAGATATAGAGTTGAAATGTATTACATTTTGAGTTTGCATCCCAATATTACACTTTATATACATCCGTGAAGACTGATATATAACAAAACTGTTTGACATAGATAAACCGTCTTTTCGGCAGTTATTTAAAAAATAATGTTTATTAATTATGAAATTATGAAAAATATGAATAACGTTCCACCCAGCTAGTGTTGGAGAGTTTTTACAGTTACACATGTCTTTGTGCTATCCCAGTTGAGAACGGCAGAGTGTGCTGTACCTCGTACAGGGAAGAGATGGTGCCCATAGACATGCTGTTGAAGCAGGAGCGGCGCTCCATGGTGGTCATGCAGCTCTTGACGTAGGCACTTTGCAGCAGCTGGCTGAGCTGGAGCAGACTGTGACACAGCACAAATAGCTGGGGGGAGGGAGAGGGAGACAGGCAGGGAGGAAGAGCAGGGAGAGAGGGGGGTAGAGATTAAGCAATCGAAGTGTAGAGGGATAAAGAGAAGAAAGGAGACAGACAGAAAGAGAGACGAAGAGAGAGAACAAGAGAGAGAGACAGAAAGAGAGACGAAGAGAGAGAACAAGAGAGAGAGAGTGAGAGCAGATAGAGAGAGAACAAGAGAGAGAGACAGAGAGACGAAGAGAGAGCGAGAGAGAGTGAGAGCAGACAGAGAGAGAACAAGAGAGAGAGACAGAAAGAGAGACGAAGAGAGAGAACAAGAGAGACAGAGAGAGCGACAGAGACAGAGAGAGAGAGAGAGAGAGAGAGAGAGAGAGAAGCCATAACAACTCAAACTCTCAGCCCACAGCAAATAAGCTATTCTCTGCTACTGCTGCACATTACTACCTGGACCTAGCAGTCATGGAGTTCTCAACTTTGTCCAGTTTCCCATGTGCCTGCAGATTTTCTCTTGGTACTCGAGGTCTTCAGAGGTCTTCAAGCCTAGAGACTTTCTGTGTGTACAGTACCAAGAGAACAAATCACAGCACAGATTGAAGGGTACACTTCCTGGTTTTCACTCGCAATGGCTGCCAGTCCACTCACAATGCCACCATTTACTTAAATGGGCATGTCCGTTCTATTCGTTCTATTTCTATGATACACACACACGAAATCAGGCAAACCTATAAGGAAAGCATTCTTGGCCGTTTTATCGCTGGTGGCCTTTGTCTACATATGATATCTTGCTGTGGCTAAAGAACGAGGGGAAACTGTTTTTGATCTTGAGCACGAATATAGAAAGTTTGCAGTCCGTGCAACACGTGGAACTGAAGAACCAATATTTGTGTTGGTCTTCAAAGTCTAGACACGCACCAGAACAATAGCACCTTCCTCAAACTATTTACTTTTTCTTCTTATCAGACAATTGAATCAGTCGTAAAAAAAAAATTGCTTTCTTGCTAGTATGATGGACATTTTAGATAGTTTTGTACCAAATCTGTCAGCAGAGTTTAGCAGCAGATAAAAGTTAAAGGGATGTTGAACTCCAAAATCAAAGTTTGTCAGATGTTTTCAGACCTCAGAAGATAAGCCCACATTCCAGGCCGTCTATTGTGGAGATAAAGCTTTATACTACAATTAATAGAAAAGATAAGCACCATATTAATTCCAGATTTCCTGCGCCTATCTTTTGTATTCATATTGGCATTGACGCATTTGCCGGATCTATAATAATCCATCTTGAGATTTACTGTGGACTAATTTAGATCTAGTTTAGATCTGAAAACATCTGAGAAAGTGATCTACCTACAGTACATGCTTTCATACCTTTATATTACAATACATTATATGTTTTAGACGTCTCTTTTTCCTTCCCATCTCATGCTGACAGTTTGACAGATTTTGGACAGTTTGAAATTTTGAACAGCGGAAAACAAGCCAAGCTTCCAAGCTTCTCATCTACTGCGTGTGAGAGTGTGTGTGTGTGTGTGGATGTCTAGGTGGGATCGGTCGGGGTGTGCATGTGCGCTAGCCTCTTAGATGCCTCTGAGCACAAAAAGTTTCCAACCAAACCCCTGGACAGGAAAGTGATAGAGTAATGGGTTTCCCCCCACAGTCTGGCATGGCTCTGTCTTTGATCCTAGGATCAAAGCAAAACCACCACAACCTGAGAACGTACAACATGTTTACCTGTATGTCCCACTACTGTATGGGCCCCAAATGGATTATTGGACAATCTGGTCTAACACCTGACAGAAGTATGGCTCAACATCAGGGAACTTCCCATAATTTATACTGAACAAAAATATAAACGCAACATGTAAAATGTTGGTCCTATGTTTCATGAGCTGAAATAGAAGATCCCAGAAATTGTCCATACACACAAAAAGCTTATTTTCTCAAATTATGTGCACAAATTTGATTACATCCCTGTTAGTGAGCATTTCTCCTTTGCCAAAATAATCCATTCACCTGACAGGTGTGGCATATCAAGAAGCTGATTAAACAGCATGATCATTACACAGGTCCACCTTGTGGTCCTCTGTAGCTCAGCTGGTAGAGCATGGCGCTTGTAACGCCAAGGTAGTGGGTTCGATCCCCGGGACCACCCATACACAAACATTTATGCACGCATGACTGTAAGTCGCTTTGGATAAAAGCGTCTGCTAAATGGCATATTATATTGTGCTGGGCACAATAAAAGGCCACTCTAAAATGTGCAGTTTTGTCACACAACACAATGCCACAGATGTCTCAAGTATTGAGGGAGCGTGCAATTGGCATGCTGACTGCAGCAATGTCCACCTGTCACGACTTCCGCCGAGGCTGCATCCCCTCCTTGTTCGGGCAGGCTTCTGCGTTCGTCGTCACCGGCCTTCTAGCCACTGCCGCTCCATATATCATCATTCCATTTGTCTTGTCTTGTCAATTACACACACCTGGTTCATATCCCCTCATTAGTCCGTGTATAAGTGTTCCCTCTGCCCCCTTGTCCTTATGGGTGATTGTTTTATGTGAGTTGAATGTAGCTCGTTGGAGCTACTCATACCTTGTATTGCCGGGGTAGATTGTTCCCCTGTGCCTGTATTTTGTTGTCGCTATCCAGCGCAACTGTGTACGACGGAATAAACTCTGTATTCTGTGATTTACCGTCCTGCACCTGACTCCTTCTAATCACACTCATCACACCACCAGAGCTGTTGCCAGAGAATGTAATGTTAATTTCTCTACCATAAGCCGCCTCCAACATAATTTTAGAGAATTTGGCAGTACGTCCAACCGGCCTCACAACCGCAGACCAAGTGTAACCACGCCAGCCCAGGACCTCCACTTCCGGCTTCTTCACCTGCAAGATTGTCTGAGACCAGCCACCCGGACAACTGATGAAACTGAGGAGTATTCCTGAGTATTTCGGTAAAACTCATTCTGATTGGCTGGACCTGGCTCCCAAGTGGGTCGGCCTATGCCCTCCCAGGCCCACCTACCCAGTCATGTGAAATCCATAGATTAGGGCCTAATGAATTCATTTAAATTGACTGATTTCCTTATATGAACTGTAACTCAGTAAAATCGTAAAAGTTGTTGCATGTTGAGTTTATATTTCTGTTCAGTATAGCATTAGGCACTGTTGTAATGAGTCAATGCAAAAACTGTTTGTCATTTGTACCTTGGGCAGACTTCAGGTTATGTTATAGGGGCTTATGTTATTGCTGTTTTTAAAACACATGATACTATTAATGTAAAACAAACTTTCTATGAGATAGATAGGATTGTGTATGTGTGCCACTCAGAGGGTGAATGGGCAAGACAAAATATTTAAGTGTCTTTGAACAGGATATGGTAGTAGGTGCCAGGCGCACTGGTTTGAGTGTGTCAAGAACCGCAACGCTGCTGGGTTTTTCACACTCAACAGTTTCCCGTGTGTATAAAGAGAGTACCACCACCCAAAGGACATCCAGCCGACTGACACAACTGTGGGAAGCATTGGAGTCAACATGGGCCAGCATTCCTATGGAACGCTTTTGACACCTTGTAGATTACATGTCCTGACAAATTGAGGCTGTTCTGAGGGCAAAAGGTGTGCAACTCAATATTAGGAAGATGTTCCTAATGTTTTTTACACTCAGTGTATATTACACTGTAGCGATTATGGAAGCAGATTCATGCCAAAACAAATATACCGGTAACGTTGTTTTGGTATGAATCTCCTTCAATATAATGATATGCAATTACAGGCCCAGTGCAGTCAAAATTCAGTTTTTCCTGCGTTTTGTATCATATTGTACAACAGTTGATGAAACTAACACTGTAAAAGTTTGAAAAAATGTGATCAATGTTATTTCCTGATAGTTCCTGGTTGAAAATACAATCTAGACAGGGCTTTCTAATCAGCAGGTTTGCATGAGAGGGAGGTTCGGCTTTCCATGGTGACATCACCATGAGGTAAATTGGTTAATAGACCAATAACAAAGAGAGTTCCAAACCTCTCTGCCAATAACAGCTAGTTAAAAAATGTCCCTCCCCACTCAGACCATTCCCAGACAGTCCAAGCAAAATTCTTGCATGAAAAATCAATTTTTGACGATTTTAATGGAAATCTATTACAGTAAGGTACTTAATTGTTACCCAGAAATGATTTGATATTGATATAAAACGGCTGAATAGGGCATTTACTGTCCAACATAAATCAACAATTTAAAAGCTGTAAGGATATCATGATCAAGGATTTATTCAGCTTCTTTCAATTGATAACATGTATGCACACTCATTCTGAATTAATAGTCTCTCCAAAAGCACCAAAATGCACTGAACAGTCTAATAATACAAACAAGTTATATAAAAAATATCAAAAGACAAAGTGAAAACAAGGACTAATGTTTGAAATCCTTCCAGAAAGCGAAGCTGCGGTTGATGTTTTTACAGATCTCGTCGTTGCTGAAATGGAAAAGTCTGTGGCGCTGCTACACTTGAGAAGCTCTTCTTCTTCCGGACTGGCAGTCTACAGTTGTGGTAAAAGGTTTTGAGAATGACACAAGTATTGGTCTTCACAAAGTTCGCTGCTTCAGTGTTATGAGATATTTTTGTCAGATGTTACTATGGTATACTGAAGTATAATTACAAGCATTCCATAAGTGTCAAAGGCTTTTATTGACAATTACATTAAGTTTATGCAAAGAGTCAATATTTGCAGTGTTGACCCTTCTTTTTCAAGACCTCTGCAATCCGCCCTGGCATGCTGTCAATTAACTCCTGGGCCACATCCTGACTGATGGCAGCCAATTCTTGCATAATCAATGCTTGGAGTTTGTCAGAATTGTGTGTAGGTTTTTGTTTGTCCACCCGCCTCTTGAGGATCGACCACAAGTTCTCAATGGGATTAAGGTCTGGGGAGTTTCCTGGCCATGAACCCAAAATGTTGATGTTTTGTTCCCCGAGCCACTTAGTTATCACTTTTGCCTTATGGCAAGGTGCTCCATCATGCTGGAAAAGGCATTGGTTGTCACCAAACTGTTCTTGGATGGTTGGGAGAAGTTGCTCTCGGAGGATGTGTTGGTACCATTCTTTATTCATGGCTGTGTTCTTAGGCAAAATTGTGAGTGAGCCCACTCCCTTGGCTGAGAAGCAACCCCACACATGAATGGTCTCAGGATGCTTTACTGTTGGCATGACACAGGACTGATGGTAGCGCTCACCTTGTCTTCTCCGGACAAGGTGTTTTCCGGATGCCCCAATCAATCGGAAAGGGGATTCATCAGAGAAAATGACTTTACCCCAGACCTCAGCAGTCCAATCCCTGTACCTTTTGCAGAATATCAGTCTGTCCCTGATGTTTTTCCTCGAGAGAAGTGGCTTCTTTGCTGCCCTTCTTGACACCAGACCATCCTCCAAATGTCTTTGCGTCACTGTGCGTGCAGATGCACTCACACCTGCCTGCTGCCATTCCTGAGCAAGCTCTGCACTGGTGGTGCCCCAATCCCGCAGCTGAATCAACTTTAGGAGACGGTCCTGGCGCTTGCTGGACTTTCTTGGGCACCATTGAACCTCTCTCCTTGAAGTTCTTGATGATCCGATAAATGGTTGATTTAGGTGCAATCTTACTAGCAGCAATATCCTTGCTTGTGAAGCCCTTTTTGTGCAAAGCAATGATGATGGCACGTGTTTCCTTGCAGGTAACCATGGTTAACAGAGGAAGAACAATGATTTCAAGCACCACCCTCCTTTTAAAGCTTCCAGTCTGTTATTCTAACTCAATCAGCCTGACAGAGCGATCTCCAGCCTTGTCCTCGTCAACACTCTCACCTGTGTTAATGAGAGAATCACTGAAGAATCACTGACATGATGACAGCTGGTCCTTTTGTGGCAGGGCTGAAATGCAGTGGAAATGTTTGTTTGGGGATTAAGTTAACTTTGCAATTAATTGCAATTAATCTGATCACTCTTCATGACATTCTGGAGTGTATGCAAACTGCCATCATCAAAACTGAGGCAGCAGACTTTGTGAAAATTAGTATTTGTGTCATTCTCAAAACTTTTGACCACGACAGTACACTATGACCTTTGGAACTAGCCTTGTGTCCGGACACTGGCACTCTCTGGTGCCCCCTGGATGGTACCTTCCAGGTGCTGCAGCATTCCCAAAGAACCGTGCTTTGATGTCCTCAAATCCGTCAAGCCACAGCCGCTTCCCTTCCTGGATCTCCTGGAGGACCGCCTGACGGTCTCCCATGGGAAACCCCCTACGTCAGGGGTCCCCAAACTTTTTCCTGTGAGGGCCACATAACTTTTCCCTTCTCTGATGGGGGGCCGGTGTCAGTTTGTAACAGAAAAAGTGTGACGATCGTAGGGGAGCTTAAAAAATTTATTGTTTTCCAGAAAGCCACACATAACCAAATAACCCTTTCCAGGTTCTTTACAGAAAAAAAGTCAGGAAACAAATAATAACACTATTAATGAAATAAATAATAACTAAATAACCCTCTCTGAGTTCTTCACAGAAAAAACAGGAAATAAATAACACTATTTATGAAATAAATAATAACTAAATAACTCTCTCTGGGTTCTTCATAGAAAAAAAAGCCATGGAACATTAACTTTCTGTTGTGCCATGCACAATCTTAACAGATAAAAGTTCAGCTCAGTTGTCAGAGCAGAATCTCTCTGACACATATGAGCAGTCTCTTAAAGTTCTTGTGTTCCTTCCTTATAATCCTTTTGTAGGTTCCAGTAGGCTTGTAGACACCGCTGTTTGCAGCTCTCTCTCATCAACTTCCCTGTGAAAACCACTAAGGAAGCAGGTTGAGAAACTGAACTAAGTGATACAGCACCTACACAGCACAATACATTTCACTACCAGTATGGTTGTAAAGATGGATTTTATCCCAGTAGATTTTATTATGATTATATTTGTTTATGCTCAGAATGACTCATTCAAGTCAGAAAAGTGAGCTTACCTATGTATGTTCATCAGTGTGAACTGTGGGCCTGCATCTGGCTGGTGAGAAGTTGAATATCAGGTTCCATTCTAGTTACAGCCAGTCTCAAGCACTGATGCAAATGTTCATCTGTCAATCTTGATCTCATCTGAGTTTTCAGCAGTTTCATGCGAGAAAAGGTTTTCTCGCAGATATACGTGCTGCCAAAAACTGTGGACATTTTCATTGCGTGTTTTTTGATGTTTGGATATGTGTCGTTTGGGAGGGCGGCATAGAAGTCAATGAGACTGTTGGGCTTGAATGCGTCTTTCAGAACATCACAGTTCTGTAACTCAGCCAACTCAAACTGATATGAAGGCTGGGCTTCATCAATGTCGGCAACAAAGGGGTTCTGAAAAAGACGGATTTCTTTTGCATGAACATGTAGTTCACTGAATCGCACACCGAACTCCGCCTTCAGCATTTCCAGTGCTTCCACGCACTTTTCAGCTGGGAACGGGACCGCTGGGTTCTCTGTCGACAGGTTTTGGGTAGCAGGAAGATGGACGAAGTTGCGCTTTTTCACTTGTTCCAAAAGCAGCGCTAATTTCACCTCAAATGCTTTTATGTGTGAATACATGTCGCAAATGAGTTTCCCCTCGCCTTGTAGCTGCAAGTTAAGGCTGTTAAGTATTTCTGTCACGTCTGTTAAAAATGCGAGGTGCCATTTCCATTCTGGGTCGATCAGCTCTGGGACCGTTTTGTCTTTTAAATGAAGAAATGCGTTAATTTCGGGTAGCAGCTCGTAAAAACGCCTCAAAACTCTGCCCCGGCTCAGCCATCGGACCTCTGTGTAGTACAGCACATCTCCGTGCGTAGACTCCAGTTCAGACAGGAATTCTTGGAACTGCCTGTGTTTAAGTCCCTTTGCTCTGATGAAGTTTATGCACGACACCACAACCTTCATTACAGAATCCCACGTCAACACTTTGCAGCACAGTGCTTGCTGGTGAATTAGGCAGTGGACTCGTAGCGGGGCGGTGAGACCCCTTTTTTCCAACTCCCGGTTCATGCGTCCTATTAGACCGCGAGTTTCGCCCACCATGCTAGGAGCCCCGTCAGTCGTGATGCTAGCTAGCTTTGACCAGTCCAGGTCCAACTTCTCCATGGTTTGGCACACTTTGTCAAAAATATCCTCTCCCGTTGTAGTCCCTTTGAGACTTTGGAGGGCTGCCAGCTCCTCGCATATCTCAAAGTTTGCGCTAACTCCACGAATAAAAATGAGCAGTTGCGCTGTGTCTTGCACGTCCGTGCTCTCATCCAGTGCTAATGAAAAAAGGTCAAATTCTTTCGTCTTCTGCTGCAGCTGGGCATATACATTACTCCCGATTTCTTCAACGCGTCTGGTGATTGTACTCGCCGACAGACTTACGGCATTAAATGCATCTTTCTTCTCGGGACACACCTCCTCCGCGACAGCATCCATACATTTCTTAACAAACTCTCCGTCAGTGAAAGGCTTACCGCTGCTTGCTATCAGTTTAGCAACCCGAAAGCTGGCCCGAACGGATGCCTGGTTCAGCTGAGCTTGGCGTACAAATGTATTCTGCTGAGATAGTAGTCCACTTTTTAGCTTTGAGAGTTTGTCTGCTCGTATTTGGCCTTGCAAGCTATCGTACTTGTCTTTGTGACGGGATTCATAGTGTCGGCGAAGATTGTATTCTTTGAATACCGCCACCGTCTCTTGACAGATGAGACAAACAGCCTTTTCTTTGCATTGAACAAAAAAATAATCGTTTGTCCACTGCAGGTTAAATACCCTGCATTCTGAATCAATTTTTCTCTTACCTAACCTTTTCGCCATTATTCCGTTCTCTCTTTGACAGGGCCGGGCCTAGGATTTTTTTTCTGGAGGCCAAATAGGAAAAAAATCCGATAGCGTCTCTGGTATTGTTCAGAGGGCCGGGCCAAATGTGCTGACGGGCCGTATCCGGCCCGCGGGCCGTAGTTTGGTGACCTCTGCCCTACGTGGTCGAGGACATCGTCGTACTGCATGTGCCCTCATTTTTCGCTTCTCAGCTGGCAACTCCTGCTCCAGGATGTGGAATTAGACCAGCATGAAAAGGTCAAGGGTCAGGCTGTCGTAGGTCATGGGCGCCCATCCACCTGGGGAGGCAGGAAGTGCTCGGGGCAAGAGGTGGTGGGGCAACGCAGGATTGGGGATATCGGAGAAGACGGTATTTTGGCATTCCGCCAGGTGTTGAGCATCTTGTCCACATCAGTTTTTTTGTGGTAGAAGTGGAAGAGAGAGCTGGTCCGGTGTGGCGTCCCCAGTTGTGTCGTTGTCGTCCAATGTTGTATCCCTGATTGCATTGTTGTTGTCCAATGTTGTATCCCTGATTTTGTCGAGTTCCTCATTGTGTCGACCTCGGCCTCTTTCGACCGCCTCCTGTCTCACCCTGGCTCTCATGGAGATGGCATACACCGACTTCTTCCAGGGGCTGAGGAACAGAACAACGATGCACTCTTTTCTCAGACTGGTCGTCTCCATGACCCGGATGGGGGTAGGGGTGTCATGGTGGGCTAGTTCAAGTTCACAACCTAGAGCGGTGTTAGCGATTGGAACAGCTACCTCAGCAGCTTCCACCCTCCCTCTCGTAGTCTGGCTCCTTGAGACCGGTCGATGAGAGTCATTCACAAACCCTCCAAACAGGTAAATCCACCCTATTTGACCTTCAAAGTTGGACCTCAAACTCCTCACCAACATCCAAGACTGCTGGATCTCCCTCTCCACCCTCTCCCTCCGCCCTTTACTGTAGCTCTGGTTTTCCAAGGTTGGCTGAACTCTGACACCATCTCCACATGCTGAAGCCTACACACGCCCCTCTCAATCCCCGCCCCCACTGTTTCTCCCTCCCCATCTCCCAACACCTCCATCACCACTTCCTCGTCTCGGCTTGTCAGACTGGTCAGGAGTTGGTACATGCTCTTGACAATGCCGGAGACACGACAACACCACACAGGAAGAGCTAGATGTCCATCTGCGGGAGGAATTCTGTGTTGACGGTGATGTTGACAATGGGTTGGGCAAGATGGCGCGGTGCTCCTTGGTGAGGCATGCTAGCTCGAGCTCATAGGCCTGGCAGCGCTTCTGCACAGACACATTCTGGATCTGCCTCGCCAGGTAGAACAGGTTGTCCTCAGTCAGCAGCTCGAGAAACGGGCCCAGGATGGTGTTATGAGCCTGCGAGTACTTCCAGCCTTCCGCCTCTGAGTAGCTGTTAGCCATGTCCTGGTGGTAAACCAAAGGGAAAGGTTAACTTTCAACTTAAAACAATGGAAAGGTTGAAGCTAAACGGGTTAGCATAATCAGCTACAAGCTATCATTAACTAGCTAAAGGCTAAACAAAACTGGTGTTGCGTCATAAAATACTTTGTTGAGAGGTTGTTAAAGATTCTGCTACAATATAAATGGCACAATCCTCAGACACCCATATGGTCGTTTACTCCAGTCCATATCCTGAGAACTATGGAAGCAGATTGATGCCAGTATATTTATTTGTATTTATTTGGCAAGAATGTGCTTCTAGAATACATCGACGATACTGAACGCTGAAGACGTACCTTCATCCTTTGCTCCTCCTCGTCTTGCAGCCTTGAGTTGGTGCACCATCACCTGCCTCTTCCACTCGGCTATGGGCTGACCGCTCTCGTCGTGGGTGAGCATCAGAGAGTCTATGTCAGCCAGGATCCGTCCCTCTATGGGGTTGAGCTGTAGTAGCTCCCCCTTATAAGGTTCTGTCTGACATTTCTGTCAAAAATGAGTTAGTCACATATCTTTAGATGGTTCTTCATTCAGTATGTCTGTGAAGTTCAATTTTTGGAAAAGTACCCATTTGAACATGGCGCTATAAGGTTCTATCTGCAATCCAATCACAAGCCAGAACAAATACAGACTGACCCATCAGAACACGTCTTTGCCATCTCCCTCTAAGTATGGTCTAGGCTAGTCTAGCCAGCGATAATGTCAAGCAAAAAAACCACAGTCAGAAATCTTAAACTAAATGTTGTCACATTGTTGCTCAGTGATGACAGTAATTTGTCTGATGATCATAATACATTTCATAATGTATTTGATGATGGATTCTGACTCTATCTCTGTAAAATAGTGTTATTCTATCATTTATGTATTCAAATGGCTACAGTTGTCTTAAAAACTGAACATGTCAAATGTAGAAGCGTCAGATAGAACCTTTTGGCTGGATGTGAAAACTTTGATAGTCAATATCTCAGATCTATGCTTTGCGCAAATAGAGCCTTATAGTCCAAAGGTCACAACATCATGATAGAGCATTATATTACTGTACATGGAGCCTATCAATTATATTTTATTTATATAGGCCTACATTGAGTTGTGTTGCTCAACACTCAAGAACAAGAAACAATTGAAACAATTGCATAAGTATTCAGCTCCCTGAGTGAATACATGTTAGAAACCGCTATTATTTCACACAGAGTCCATGTAACTTATTATGTGATTTGTTAAACCACATTTTACTCCTGAACTAATTTAGGCTTGCCTGAACAAATGGGCTGAATAATTATGCAAAGACTACATTTTAGCTATCAAATTTTTATTCATCTTTAATTTTTCTTTCACTTTGACATTACAGAGTATTTCGAGTATATTGTTGACAACAAAATTACAATTAAATCCATTTTAAACCCACTTTGTAACACAATAAAATGTGAAGAAATCCAAGGGGTCTGAATACTTTTGCAAGGCACTGTATATTATATTATATTATATTACATGTTTTCTATATATTTATACTGTGTAATATTCTATGATACATACAACACATCAAAGTATGAAGTTCACAGTTATCTCCATTACATTGTGAACCTTTTGACAGGAAACTATTAGATGGTGACTAGTTTCCTAGACTTCAGGGTTGGTCACCTTGCTGCTCTCCATTTCAGCCCGTGGATTGGTTTCTCAAGGTCAAGGTCAAGGAGTATCTTTGGACCCAGATCCTCCTTTGCTTTTCTTTCGAAAACAATGACATTTCTAAGTGACCCCAAACTTTTGAACGGTAGTGTAAGTATTCAGACCCTTTGCTATGAGACTCGAAATTGAGCTCAGGTGCATTCTGTTTCCATTGATCATCCTTGAGATGGTTTTACAACTTGATTGGAGTCCACCTGTGGTAAATTCAATTGATTGGACATGATTTGGAAAGGCACACACCTGTCTATATAAGGTCCCACAGTTGACAGTGCATGTCAGAGCAAAATCCAAGCCGTGAGGTCGAAGCTCCGAGACAGGATTGTGTCGAGGCACAGATCTGGGGAAGGGAACCAAAAAATGTCTGCAGCATTGAAGGTCCCCAAGAACATTTCTGAAATGGAAGTTTGGAACCACCAAGACTCTTCCTAGAGCTGGCCGCCCCACCAAACTGAGCAATCGGGGGAGAAGGGCCTTGGTCAGGGAGGTGACTGAGAACCCTATGGTCACTCTGACAGAGCTCTAGAGTTCCTCTGTGGAGATGGGAGAATCTTCCAGAAGCACAACCATCTCTGCAGCACTCCACCAATCAGGCCTTTATGGTAGAGTGGCCAGACAGATGCCACTCCTCAGTAAAAGGCATATGACAGCCCGCTTGGAGTTTGCCAAAAGGCGCTTAAAGACTCTCAGACCATGAGAAACAAGATTCTCTGGTCTGATGAAACCAAGATTGAACTCTTTGGCCTGAATGCCAAGCGTCACGTCTGGAGGAAACCAGACACCGCTCATCACCTGGCCAATACCATCCCTACGGTGAAGCATGGTGGTGGCAGCATCATGCTGTGGGGATGTTTTTCAGCGGCAGGGACTGGGAGACTAGTCAGGATCAAGGGAAAGATGAACGGGGCAAAGTACAGAGAGAACCTTGATGAAAACCTGCTCCGGAGCGCTCAGGACCTCAGACTGGGGCGAAGGTTCACTTTCCAACAGGACAACGACCCTAAGCGCACAGCCAAGACAACGCAGAAGTGGCTTTGGGACAAGTCTCTGAATGTTCTTGAGTGGCCCAGCCAGAGCCCGGACTTGAACCCAATCGAACATCTCTGGAGAGACCTGAAAATAGCTGTGCAGTGATGCTCCCATCCAACCTGACAAAGATTGAGAGGATCTTCAGAGAAGAATGGGAGAAACTTCACAAATACAGGTGTGCCAAGCTTGTACCTTTATACCCAAGAAGACTCGAGGCTGTAATCGCTGCCTAAGGTGCTTCAACAAAGTACTGAGTATAGGGTCTGAATGTGATATTTCCGTTTTGTACTTTTAATAAATTTGCAAACATTTCTAAAAGCCTTTTTTAGCTTTGTCATTATGGGGTATTGTGTGTAGATTGAGAAGGAGAAAAACACGATTTAATCAATTTTAGAATAAGGCTGTAACGTAACAAAATGCGGAAAAAAGTCAAGGGGTCTGAATATTTCTGAATGCACTGTATGTATTTTAGAGAACCAAAGGCTAGGGCAGGGGAAATAAATGAAGGCCTGTCAGTCAGATTAACCAGAACAGAGGCATTGAATACTTATTGGCTGACTGGGAAGCCTTTATGTTGGAGCATTGGAGACATTCATTGGCATCAGGCTGTTGATTGATAAAGAGATTTGGCTTTGCAGTGATGGGGCCAAACAAAATGAGTGAGGCTATAGGGAGAACATGTGTGATAAGGCATAGCACTAAAGCCAAACACACACACAATACAATAATAATTATAATTCCACATACAAACAGGCCATCTTCCCCAATATGTCACAGATTACAAAGGCCCTTTAATCCCTGAATTGGGCTGGATCACACACTGGCGCAGCGGTCAACCAAACAACTCATCGTCAAGTACACTGAACAAAAATATAAACGCAACATGTAAAGTGTTGTTCCCATGTTTCATGAGCGGAAATAAAAGATCCCAGAAAGGTTCCATTCGCACAAAAAGCTTATTTCTCTCTTTTTTTTTTGCACAAATTTGTTAGTGAGCATTTCTCCTTTGCCAAAATAATCCATCCACCTGACAGGTGTGGCATATCAAGAAGCTGATTAAACAGCATGATCATTACACAGGTGCACCTTGTGCTGGGGACAATACAAGGCCATTCTAAAATGTGCAGTTTTGTCACACAACACAATGCCACACATGTCTCAAGTTTTGAGGGAGCGTGCAATTGGCATGCTGACTGCAGGAAATGTCCACCAGAGTTGTTGCCAGAGAATTGAATGTTAATTTCTCTACCAACGTCGTTTTAGAGAATTTGGCAGGACGTCCAACCGGCCTCACAACCGCAGACCACGTGTATGGCGTCGTGTGGGCGAGCGGTTTGCTGATGTCAACGCTGTGAACAGAGTGCCCCATGTTGGCGGTGTGGTTATGGTATGGGCAGGCATAAGCTACAGACAACAAACACAATTGCATTTTATCGATGACAGCACAAAAATACCGTGACGAGATCCTGAGGCCCATTGTAAGGCACTTTTTTTTAAAGGTATCTGTGAAGAAAAAACCTGCACACCATATACAGTAGGGCCCCAGGACCAGGACTGAACAGCACTACATTAGAGACACTTACAATTATAGTTGTCCAGTTTAGTTGTTTTGTTGCTCTGTGAAGTCCAAAAATAAAATGTTTTGTACAAATTTCAAACCAGCACATCCTTGCATAAGGTAGAATCTATGAGTTTCAGCTAATTATTGATGCCAGACAACAAAATCCAGACAAAGGACACAAGCAAATGTTGCATAAGTTTCACATTTATTTCACTTTATTTTGACAAATTGTTACGTGTCCACAAACATTAGAAGACACTAGAACTCCAACACTCAAAGATAACGTGAGCACTGAGATGACATCACAGGCCAGTTATTATGGAACGGGGGTTACACCTGTGTGATAGGACCCACCACAACCAATCAGGTTCATTATTGACAAGACAAGAGCCAATCAAATGTCAAGGTCAATGCAGAGTCATTTAGGCGGGCGTTTAGTCTACAGGGCTGTTTCTTTACAGGGCTGTTTCTCTACAGGGCTGCACTGAGGGGGATAGGGCGTCATTAGCAAGCAGTGAGGGAAAGAGAGAGAAGGGTGAGGAAGAGGCCGATCCACATGCTTGGATCCAGGAAATGTAATGCCACGTAAAAAAGCTGTCAAATCAATAACAGAACCCATCTGTATTCGTATATAGCCAACTCACGGAACTTCAAATGCATCGTTGTAACTTCTTCTTTGAGGACGGAACTTCAGATATTCTAGTTTTAAGAAGTACCCTAGTTTTAAGAAATATCCTAGTTTTAAGAAGTACCCTAGTTTTAAGAAGTACCCTAGCTTTAAAAAGGACCCTAGCTTTAAGAAGTATCCTAGTTTTAAGAATTATCCTAGTTTTAAGAAGTACCCTAGTTTTAAGAAGTACCCTAGCTTTAAGAATTATCCTAGTTTTAAAAAGGACCCTAGCTTTAAGAAGTATCCTAGTTTTAAGAATTATCCTAGTTTTAAGAAGTAGATTTAAGAATTACAGTAGATCAGTCCATTCTTAATATGATAAATGATGATGTGATAAATACAATAAATTATACTTGGATGACAATTCAATAGCCCTAATATTCCCTAGTCATGTAATCCACCTCCACATAGAAACAAGAATTCATAAATAAAGCTTTCTTTTCTTCCATTGTTCAAGCAGGCAAAATAGTGGCATACTAGTGTAGACCAATGTAAAAAATGGCACACAACACACACCAAGATGACCACAACCCGTTCAGCAGGTAGGCTAGCGGATAAGAGCGTTGAGCCAGTAACCAAAAGGGCGCTGGTTCGAATCCCGTAGCTGAAAAAGTGAGAAAAAACAAACATCTGTTGATGTGACCTTGAGCAAGGCACTTAACCCTAAATGCTCATGTAAGTCGCTGTCTGCTAAATGACGTAAATGTTAAAAAAAACGATCCACAATATGAAACCCAGAAAACATAAAGAACCACTAGATTTTCCACAGAAATCAATCAACTCTCAATTATCACACGCAATATATTCCTTATAGGAAGGATATAAGAGGACATGTTCATAATTGAGGATCTAAGCGCTTATTAACATCAGTTAGGGAACATCATGTGTGAGAATGTCATGACTTGCATGTTGCTCCCTTGCTGTGGCTATCTGAGCATGCTCTATAGGTTGGCAGATCTAAGGCATGCATAAACCCAACACTGTGTGTTAGACGGGAGAATTGTGTTTGACCAAAACACGAACCTCGCAGTACAAAAAAGGAACAACAGTAGGACATGATCCAATTGGCTGACTGGCCATGGCTGCACTCACACACGATGTTGCTGTAAACACAACACTAACACTTGTTTTTGAATAATGCAAAAGAACGTAGAAGAGCATAGAACCCTCAGACTATGAGACAACAGGCAACTTTAGTTAGAAATTGCCCATCTCCTATGGCTGCTAGACCAACGTAGCACTGAAGAGTCACTTTACCTCTGTCGGCAGTGCCCCCTTGATTCACTTTGGACTATTCTCATTTCAGATAGCAGTTTGTGGTCATCTGGGTGTGAAAATATGGTCACAGCAACAATAAACCGCCTCCAAAGTCCCCAGGATGTGCGACTTCATAACATCTACAGGTTCATACTGTATAGGTTTCTGATACAAGCACCAGGCTGTAAAACAGCTATACAAAAGCGAGGATGTTAGCTGCTACTTTACACAAGGAGCTAGTGTAGTCTATAGACTGTTATAGACATATTAGTCTAAATGGATAGAATCACATGGACACATTGCATCAATATAAGGTTCATAGCAACAGAGTAAATAAAAGCTTGCTTCGATACATGTAACATTGAGCTAATGTGGTGGACGTCAACGATATTAAAGTGTGGACTTGATGAAAAACAGGAAAAAGAGATAAGTGGAGCAAGGGAGGCACTACCTGGTGCGTAACGATGCACTTTCAGACACAACTCGACTTGCGGAAAAAAGGTCCAAAATATCCCACTAACATATCGATAGAGTATAATCACAGGGTTCCTTTAAATTATTCAATATACTGTAACCCACCACCATAGAACGCAAAGTAACCCACCACCATAGAACGCAATAAACATCCTCTTGCTGGAGAGGAGCCATTCTTAGTGTATCCACGTGGAATATTTCACTTATAAACAGACATTCAGGGCCAATAGCAGAATCATAGGTTTCACAAAGGATTACATTAATATCTCACTAAAACCTAGGAGCCATTTTGTCAAGTCTACATGACGGACGATATCTTCACTATTTAAAATAGACAGGAATGCTTTGGTTAAAAACAACTGAGTGAAATGAACAGACATCAAGTCAAGAGAATAAAGTGTATATAACGCAACAATAAAGTGCCATGGGACAAAACCGGTCAGTAAAACAAAACAAAACAAATAAATAATGTATATACACAAAGAATATGTAAAAACACACAAGTCAAGGACACATTACTCTCCACTGTAAGTCAGGCAGCTGGCGTATTATATTGCCTAATACTCTACAAACGTGTTACTATGAAATGTCAACACAGTGAACTCACCATTATCAAAGCATGGAAGGCAAAGAGTAATCCTATTTTCCTATCATATCCCTATCTGTCCACTGCATTCTCAAACTATTACAGCACCCCACATCTATCCCACTGTGTACTGTCCAGAACCTGGATACAAAACACAGTCTTATTATATCACGTTCATCCTATACTGTCTATAACCTGGATACAAAACACAGTCTTATTATATCACGTTCATCCTATACTGTCTATAACCTGGATACAAAACACAGTCTTATTATATCACGTTCATCCTATACTGTCTATAACCTGGATACAAAACACAGTCTTATTATATCACGTTCATCCTATACTGTCTATAACCTGGATTCAAAACACAGTCTTATTATATCACGTTCATCCTATACTGTCTATAACCTGGATACAAAACACAGTCTTATTGTATCACGTTCATCCTATACTGTCTATAACCTGGATTCAAAACACAGTCTTATTATATCACGTTCATCCTATACTGTCTATAACCTGGATACAAAACACAGTCTTATTGTATCACGTTCATCCTATACTGTCTATAACCTGGATACAAAACACATGCAACGACAATGAGTTACAGTATGCGACCGGCAGCCATTTTAACATGAGGTAAATGTGGATATGCTGTTTTAACATGAGAACACACACACAGAAACAGAGATGTCTTATGAGACGACTAGAAAAGGGAATATACCATTATTATTATTCTTATCAGTCTACAGTGTTTATAAGAAATACATGAGAGGTTTTGATCTGGGGCATAATGTACAGTTAGAGTGGGACGGTAGTAAGTAGCAGAACATTGGAAGTGATAACGACTCGGACTAAGACTTACAGACTATAACGTTTCTCTTTGTTTTGCTAAACCCTATGGGGACTGTTAGTCTGTTAGATAATGGTAAAGTTTACATGCACATTACAATGGGGAGCGTCACAGCCAGCAGGGGTAAGCCCCACTACACAGGGTTGGGTTGTTGGTTAGTCTTATATGGGTCTTAATGGTGTTCAATGGGTAGTTTATACCGTGCATGTTCCAGGTAACCAGGAAAAGGCTTCAAATAGGGCATCAGCTGGGATGGTTTTAAGCGCTGTTTGAGGACGTATCAGCGACAGGATGGAGCGCTGTTAGGACAGGGAGAGCTGTTTAGATGAGCTATATACAGGAGAGGGTAGGAGGAGCTTTGAGATTGTGTTGTTTTTTTGTTCCCCCCTCGCGCGTGTTCCTCTCTCTCACATCCTTGGGCCTGACTTTCTTCTGGAGAGCTTAGACCTTGGGGAGGGAGGGGGAAGAGGGGAGGGTTAATGTTTGACTGAGAATGATTGTGGGGAGACACTGAATTTGAAATTAGCTTGAACAAGTGTTTACTAGAAGATTTAAGTAACCTGGTATTACATAATAAAGGTTTGAGGAGGGGTTTCAATGAATGAAGACATGAGGTAAAAAGGTTGAGGCAGTGAGGGTTTAGGTTAGGGGTTACTATACCTGATGGTTCCGGCGAGCAGAGGGTTAAAAGCATACAGCCAGTCGTGCATCTCCTTGTCATTACTGGCTTGGAGAAGTATTCCGCGATGCTCGGTGCACACTGCAAATGTGTTTGGAGTCTAAAAGCAGAAATTATTTAGTTACTAAAAGGACGGTACCTGGTAAATTAATTACAATTGGACAGATACAGGAAATCAATGGTATAAATATATATTTATTATATATATACAGTGAGGGAAAAAAGAATTTGATCCCCTGCTGATTTTGTATGTTTGCCCACTGACAAAGACATGATCAGTCTATAATTGTAATGGTATGTTTATTTGAACAGTGAGAGACAGAATAACAACAACAAAATCCAGAAAAACGCATGTCAAAAATGTTATAAATTGATTTGCATTTTAATAAGGGAAATAAGTATTTGACCCCCTGTCAATCAGAAAGATTTCTGGCTCCCAGGTGTCTTTTCTACAGGTAACGAGCTGAGATTAGGAGCACACTCTTAAAGGGAGTGCTCCTAATCTCAGTTTGTTACCTGTATAAAAGACACCTGTCCACAGAGGCAATCAATCAATCAGATTCCAAAGACTCCACCATGGCCAAGACCAAAGAGCTCTCCAAGGATGTCAGGGACAAGATTGTAGACCTACACAAGGCTGGAATGGGCTACAAGACCATCGCCAAGCAGCTTGGTGAGAAGGTGACAACAGTTGGTGCGATTATTCGCAAATGGAAGAAACACAAAAGAACTGTCAATCTCCCTCTGCCTGGGGCTCCATGCAAGATCTCACCTTGTGGAGTTGCAATAATCATGAGAACGGTGAGGAATCAGCCCAGAACTACACGGGAGGATCTTGTCAATGATCTCAAGGCAGCTGGGACCATAGTCACCAAGAAAACAATTAGTAACACACTACGCTGTGAAGGACTGAAATCCTGCAGCGCCCGCAAGGTCCCCCTGCTCAAGAAAGCATATATACAGGCCCGTCTAAAGTTTGTCAATGAACATCTGAATGATTCAGAGGAGAACTGGGTGAAAGTGTTGTGGTCAGATGAGACCAAAATCGAGCTCTTTGCCATCAACTCAACTCGCCGTGTTTGGAGGAGGAGGAATGCTGCCTATGACCCCAAGAACACCATCCCCACCGTCAAACATGGAGGTGGAAACATTATGCTTTGGGGTGTTTTTCTGCTAAGGGGACAGGACAACTTCACCGCATCAAAGGGACGATGGACGGGGCCATGTACCGTCAAATCTTGGGTGAGAACCTCCTTCCCTCAGCCAGGGCATTGAAAATGGGTCGGGAATGGGTATTCCAGCATGACAATGACCCAAAACACACGGCCAAGGCAATAAAGGCATGGCTCAAGAAGAAGCACATTAAAGTCCTGGAGTGGCCTAGCCAGTCTCCAGACCTTAATCCCATAGAAAATCTGTGGAGGGAGCTGAAGGTTCGAGTTGCCAAACATCAGCCTCGAAACCTTAATGACTTGGAGAAGATCTGCAAAGAGGAGTGGGACAAAATCCCTCCTGAGATGTGTGCAAACCTGGTGGCCAACTACAAGAAACGTCTGACCTCTGTGATTGCCAACAAGGGTTTTGCCACCAAGTACTAAGTCATGTTTCGCAGAAGGGTCAAATACTTATTTCCCTCATTAAAATGCAAATCAATTCATAACATTTTTTACATGCATTTTTCTGGATTTTGTTGTTGTTATTATGTCTCTCACTGTTCAAATAAACCTACCATTAAATTATAGACTGATCATGTCTTTGTCAGTGGGCAAATTTACAAAATCAGCAGGGGATCAAATACTTTTTTCCCTCACTGTATATAGTTTTATATTTGTCTATAAACAAATATACTTATGGGAAAAATATACCCAATAAGTATATTCCAACAAATATATTAGTGGTATACTGTATTTTTGGTATATCCATAGTATATTTTTAATAAATTAGTGATTCATTTGTCAAATGTATATGGTATATTTGTAATATATTTATGATATATTTATGATATATTTGAAATAAGTTTCTGTCAGTCCTACCCGGAGCAGAGTCTGCTTGTCCTCGCTGTATTCCACCTTAGCGGAGGAGAGGTTGATGACAGCGCGCTCCACACTGTCCCTCTCGTTGCGGTACAGGTAGACGTAGGGCCGGCGCACCACCACGAAGCGCTTCACCCAGCCACTGGTGTGGGGCTCCAGAAAGTGCAGGTAACCTTTCTTCGACACGATGGGGCTGCAGCCCAGGGGAGATAGAAGGACAGTTATATTTCACTTATATATGAAGTAAACATTATATTTTATTATTTATTGTTGATTTAGTAGAAATACAGCCCATTCGATACATTGATTATTATCCAAATAACTTAAGTATTGCATATATATTTTTTCATCTTTATAGTGATTCCAAACAATTAATCTAGCAGTGATACAGTGCTGCTTGAAAGTATGTGAACCCCTTGTCCAATTACAGATTTTTTCAGTTTTTACCATGAAATCTTCCTTTAATCAGAACCAGTCTTTTTGATCTGACATAACAGGTTTATATTTACCAATACCATATGTTGGTGTAGAGGAAATAATGTGTGTAGTAGAAAAACAAAATTAAAAAGGAATTAGTGCAGGTGCAAAAATAAGTGAACCCCATGTTGCATTGGTTAAATCAAGTAGGTAAGCAGAATCAGGTAGGTAAATAATTAGCTACCAAATGAATCAATCAAAGGAGAGATCGTTAGGAAAGAGTTTGGGCGGGACTCTGATAAATAGAGATAGGAAACCTGGTCCGTTTGGTGTTACCCATCCAGATGAATGCAAAGCACACCATGCCGAGAGGAAAGGAGATCTCAGAGGCCATCAGGACGAGGGAAGTGAGAGCACATCAGTCTGGGGAAGGCTATAAAATCATCTCAAAACGATTTGAGCTCCATCAGTCCACTTTGAGGCAAATACTTTACAAATGGAGAGCATTTAACATGACAGCAACTCGGCCTAGAAGTGGACACCCTTCCAAAATATCCCCAAGAGCCACAAGAACAATAATAAATCAGGTAAAAGCCAACCCAAACATAACATCTAGAGATTTGCATTCCTCCCTTGCTGCATCTCAGGTAACTGTGCATGCTTCAACAATAAAAAGAACACTGAATCGAAATGCCATTCATGGGAGGGTTGCTAGGAAGAAGCCTCTGCTGTCAAAAAAGAACCAAACTGCCCGTCTTAACTTTGCCAGAGACCACCTGGACAAACCTGAAGGTTAATGGAAGTCCATTCATTGGACCGATGAGTCCAAAATTGACCTTTTTGGTCACAATCAACACCGCTATGTTTGGTGAAAACCCAACGCTGCCTACCACCAAAATAACCTTATACCAACAGTCAAGCATTGTGGTGGGAATGTCAAGATCTGGGGCTGCTTTTCCTCCTTTGGACCTGGACGACTCCACATCATTAAGGGAACCATGAATTCTGAGGTATACCAGGAGATTCTTGAACTTTAGGCCATCAGTCAAGGAACTAAAGCTGGGCCGAAAATGGGTCTTCCAACAAGATAACGACCCAAAGCATTCAAGCAAATCTACCAAAGAATGGCTCAGGAGAAAGAAGATTTGTGTTTTGGATTGGCCAAGTCAAAGTCCTGACCTAAATCCAATCGAGATGCTGTGGCAGGACCTGAAGCGGGCAGTTCATGCCAGACACCCCTCAAACCTCACTCAATTGGCTGAGTTCTGTAAAGAGGACAGATGTCAGAGACTGATTACTGGCTATAGGAGACGTTTAGTCCAAGTTATCGCTGCTAATGGATGTGCCACAAGCTATTGACTGAAGGGGTTCACATATGTTTACACACATCAAATCTGAGTTTCTGTTAAATAAACCACTTTTGTTAAATAAACAATGAAAATATATATTTTTTATTTCTGTCATTTACCTGGAATGTCTTTATTAAGAATTGGTGTTTAGATAAGGATTTTATGTTTATTTTAATATTTTATAGCAAAATAATGACCTGCCCTGTAGGGTTCACATACTTTCAAGCAGCAGTGTATATCATCATTCACCCCAATATCAAACTATGACTCATCTGACCTCTATGGAATCCTGTACAGTAGTCTAGCCCTAGTTTAAATCTCTAAGCCCCAGAGTGGTCTGGTCTCACCTGACGCGGATCTCCTGGATGTCAGGGACGAAAGTGCAGCCTCTACCCAGGGTCCTCTTCCTATCTACAGGGCTAAAGGGGTCCAGGTCTGGGGTTGAAGCTCCAGAGCTGGGCTCAATGTGTCTGCAGACCAGGGACAACGTTCCATCAATGTTCTCTCAACGTTCTCAAAACATTCTCTGTGCTTTCTCAATGTTCTATCAATGCCCTTTTAACAAAGCTCTTTCTACAAAGAGAATGAATGAATTTGCATATATACTACTTGTCTAGCAGCAGGTCTGGGGTGAATAAAATGGGAGTGAGGGGTGACAGTTGAAAGGTGAAAGGACATATACCTGATGTCATAATGTCCCTCCACCAATGAGGGGCAAGTAGAGGACGGAGTTAGCGTGCTCAGACCAGAAGAGGTCGGTGACATCAGCGACGCTGACATCTCAGACAGCTGAAACACGTACACACAAGCACACAACGCATACAGATAATCACACAGACACACACAAAATAAGCACACACAAACACGCACATACATTGACACCATTATACATACATCAACAGTTCCCATGTATTGCATTTGGAGGGTCAGCAAGGTCTATGACATAATCTGATACTCATCAAGCAATACGATGAGTTCATGAGAGGACATGTGTTTCAGCCCCAGGCTTTGGTTAAACATGTTAGAGACAACATGCTGTAGTAGGTACAAAGAAGCCTGCCATTCTCTGAGAGGTGGGTGGGAGGAGAGGTGGGAGGGAGGAGAGGGGGGTAGTAGGAGGAGAGGGGGGTGGGAGGAGAGGGGGGTGGGAGGAGAGGGGGGTAGGAGGAGGGGGGGTGGGAGGAAAGGTGGGTGGGAGGAGAGGTGGGTGGGAGGAGAGGTGGGTGGGAGGAGAGGGGGGTGGGGTTTACACCCTCAGCCGATTGGGTATATGCCCTCAGGGGATGGGGTTTACGCCCTCAGGGGATGGGGTTTACGCCCTCAGGGGATGGGGTTTACGCCCTCAGGGGATGGGGTTTACGCCCTCAGGGGATGGGGTTTACGCCCTCAGGGGATGGGGTTTACGCCCTCAGGGGATGGGGTTTACTCCCTCAGGGGATTGGGTTTACTCCCTCAGGGGATTGGGTTTACTCCCTCAGGGGATTGGGTTTACACCCTCAGGGGATGGGGTTTACGCCCTCAGGGGAAGGGGTTTACGCCCTCAGGGGATGGGGTTTACTCCCTCAGGGGATTGGGTTTACTCCCTCAGGGGATTGGGTTTACACCCTCAGGGGATTATCTTTACGCCCTCAGGGGATGGGGTTTACGCCCTCAGGGGATGGGGTTTACGCCCTCAGGGGATGGGGTTTACGCCCTCAGGGGATGGGGTTTACGCCCTCAGGGGATTGGGTTTACACCCTCAGGGGATGGGGTTTACGCCCTCAGGGGATGGGGTTTACTCCCTCAGGGGATGGGGTTTACGCCCTCAGGGGATGGGGTTTAAGCCCTCAGGGGATTGGGTTTACGCCCTCAGGGGATTGGGTTTACACCCTCAGGGGATTATCTTTACACCCTCAGGGGATGGGGTTTACGCCCTCAGGGGATGGGGTTTACGCCCTCAGGGGATGGGGTTTACGCCCTCCGGGGATTGGGTTTACACCCTCAGGGGATGGGGTTTACGAGTGATGATGAGCAACTGAATATTAATTAATTAATTAACAGAGTGAAGTGAATCAGGTAGTTATTTCGTTTTAAGGTTAAGTTCTTCGTTAGAATGTATTTCCTTGTTAGAATTCAGTTATTTGTTAAGAGTTTAGTTCTTTGTTTAACCAAGAACTAAATGATCAGAAAGGCTGCGTGTGTGAAAGAGACAGGGGATCAGGAGGGGAAAGGATGAAGATGTACGTTTTGATGGGATACAAAGTGCTTTGGGCTAGGGGCTGGTTGGGTAAAAGTATCCTGCACGGTGTACTGTAAGTGGGTTATAGAGGGGGTTAAAGGGCCTTGGGGCTGGGGCTCACCTTGCTCTCACTGGCACTGCTGCTCACCTGGCTGTACTCCCTGTTGAAGGTGTGCATGAGCAGCCGCAGACACTGAGACCACAGGAGGAGAGGAGGAGGAGCAGAAAAATAGATTATTATTACTCATAATAAAAACCATTAAAAGTCCAAAAACGAGAGAGAACCAGAAAGTGGCCTAGCAAGCACGTGTTGTATTAGGAGCTCCAAGGTAGGCCGGGCCTGGTTCCTAATAGAAGCCAGGGACTTGTAGTCACCTTGGCAGCCAGCTCCCTTTGCCTCTGGCTGGGGCTCTCCAGGGCGGGACTGCCCCCGGGGATGTAGCTGAGGATGGGGCTCTTGGCAAAGTCGCTGATGTCGCCACTCTTGCAGAGCGCGTCCTGCCCCGCGGCCAGGGAGGCCTCTAGTTTCTCCCGCAGCAGCAGGTAGTGCCTGGTCTTCTCTACCTGTAGAGACACACACAGAGAAACCGCTGAGTCTCTGGCACAAAATGGCCACTGTCCATCATCCAGGTGAGAGACTCATTGGTGAGTAGTACCACCACACAATACTATTGTGAAAACAGCTACTGTTTATGATTGGAAACCATAATTGATTATTTATTATTCAGACCACATTTCAATGGCTGTTTATTTATTTCATTCATTCATTCATTCATTCAACTAATTATCACACTTGACTCCACCCCTCTGGATTCTAGCCCCACCCACCCTAAAGATCCTACCAATCCCAGGCCTCACCTCCTGCAGAAGGCTGAGTTTCTCCAGCTCCCATTGGTGGTCCAGGATGAGGCTGTCGCTACGGGGCCTCCACCCAGCCAGGTTCTCCTCTCCACGGACGTACGCCACTGAGGTGTCCAAGACGCGCCTGCGCCGCCGCTGCATGCCTGAGGGTAAAAAGACAGCACACAATGTCAAATATATAGCTCTGGAAAAACACAACTACATCTATATACTGCCAGATGTATCTCCAGATATAGAGTGACTGAATTGTTAAATTGACAGTTGCACACACAAGTTGGATGACATGCAGCCCAGATGCTTGTGTAGAATTAAGCAATAAGGCACTAGGGGGTCTGGTATATGGCCAACATACCACGGCTAAGGGCTGTTCTTGAGCACGACGCAACGCGGAGTGCCTGGATACAGCCCTTAGCCGTGGTATATTGGCCATATACCACAAAGCCCCGAGGTGCCTTATTGCTATTATAAACTGGTTACCAACCTAATTAGAGCAGTAAAAATACATGTTTTGTCATACCCGTGGTATATACCACGGCTGTCCGCCAATCTGCATTCAGGGCTGGAACCATCCAGTTTATAATCGTGTTTACAGCGAAGCATTCTGCCATTCCTTTACTCTACCTGGACTTCCGGCATCAGCGACATGGCAGAGACTGACTTCATACACTCCAGTGACGCGGTTACTGAGGAAGAGAAGAGAGAACAGAGTAAGTACTGTCAGATTCCACAGAGATGGCTTGAGGCTGGGCCTACCCACAGTGAGATATATACAGTACCAGTCAAAAGTTTGGACACCTACTCATTCAAGGGTTTTTCTTTATTTGTACTATTTTCTACATTGTAGAATAATAGTGAAGACATCAAAACTATGAAATAACACATATGGAATCATGTATTAACCAAAAAAGTAGCCACCCTTTGCCTTGATGACAGCTTTGCACACTCTTGGCATTCCCTCAACCAGCTTCACCAGGAATGCTTTTCCAACAGTCTTGAAGGAGTTCCCACATATGCTGAGCACTTGTTGGCTGCTTTTCCTTCACTCTGCGGTGCAACTCATCCCAAACCATCTCAATTGGGTTGAGGTCGGGTGATTGTGGAGGACAGGTCATCTGATGCAGCACTCCATCTTGGTCAAAAAGCCCTTACACAGCCTGGAGGTGTGTTGGGTCATTGTCCTGTTGAAAAACAAATTATAGTCCCACTAAGCGCAAACCAGATGGGATGGCGTATCGCTGCAGAAAGCTGTGGTAGCCATGCTGGTTTAGTATGCCTTGAATTCTAAATAAATCACCAGCAAAGCACCCCCACACCATCACACCTCCTCCTCCATGCTTCACGGTGGGAACCACACATGCGGAGATCATCCGTTCACCTACTCTGAGTCTCACAAAGACACAGTTGGAACCAAAAATCTCAAATTTGGACTCATCAGACCAAAGGACAGATTTCCACTGGTCTAATGTCCATTGCTCATGTTTCTTGGCCAAAGCAAGTCTCTTTTTCTTATTGGTGTCCTTTAGTAGAGGTTTCTTTGCAGCAATTTGACCATGAAGGCCTGATTCACACAGTCTCCTCTGAACAGTTGATGTTGAGATGTGTCTTTTACTTTAGCTCTGTGAAGCATCTATTTGGGCTTCAATTTCTGAGGCTGGTAACTCTAATGAACGTATCCTCTGCAGCAGAGGTAACTCTGGGTCTTCCTTTCCTGTGGCGGTTCTCATGAGAGCCAGTTTCATCATAGTGCTTGATGGTTTTTGCGACTGCACTTGAAGAAACTTGACATTTTCCATATTGACTGACCTTCATGTCTTAAAGTAATGATGGACTGTCGTTTCTCTTTGCTTATTTGAGCTGTTCTTGCCATAATATTGACTGGGTCTTTTACCAAATAGGTCTATCTTCTGTATACCACCCCTACCTTGTCACAACACAACTGATTGGCTCAAACGCATTAAGAAGGAAAGAAATTCCACAAATTAACTTTTAACAAAGCACACCTGTTAATTGAAATGCATTCCAGGTGACTACCTCATGAAGCTGGTTGAGAGAATGCCAAGAGTGTGCAAAGCTGTCATCAAGGCAAAGGGTGGCTACTTTGAAGAATCTCAAATATAAAATATATTTTGATTTGTTTAACACTTCTTTGGTTACTACATGATTCCATATGTGTTATTTCATTATTTTGATTATTCTACAATGTAGAAAATAGTAAAAATCAAGAAAAACCCTTGAATGAGTAGGTGTGTCCAAACTTTTGACTGGTAGTGTATATAACCTAGAATAATATGTTCTAATTCTATTTCAACGGGCCTAGCTACCTCTCCGAGGGCCTGAGGCAGCCGGTACTGAAGAGGTTCCTAATGGATCGAGAGGCGGGGAGCTTGGCGTCACGGGAGTAGAACACCATACAGAAGTCTTTGGTGATCACCGTCGGCTGGGTGCAGTTCTCCATCTGAAAGGAATGGATCAGAACCAGCACTAAACTCACAGCCCTTTACATTGTACTGTACAGGCTAACTTTCCCCGTCAATATAGAGAGCCAACCTGGGTGATGTTTTGGGGTTGCAGCGAGGGAAATGTTTACCTCTAGGTAAGCTGAGAGGGTGATGTAGATCTTCTCTCCATAGGGAGTGACGCGGTTCAGAAGGAGGGAGTTGTGCATGGAGCTGTCCCACGCTGCCTCAAATCGGTAAAACGTCCTGTAGGTAAACGTAAGGGCAAAAGTGAGTGTTTTTTGTGTATAGCACAGGAGGCTGGTGGTACCTTAATTGGGGAGGACGGGCACGTGGTAATGTCTGGAGCGGAATTAGTGGAAAGGTATCAACAACATCAAACACATGGTTTCTGTGCGTTTGATGCCATTCCATTTGCTCCGTTCCAGCCATTATTATGAGCCGTCCTCCCCTCAGCAGCCTCCACTGGTATATAGATGTCGTTTTCAATTTGTCAATGGTGAATGAATGGAAACATGTAGTATGACTTTCCTTCATCGTCATAGATCAGGCAATATCAGGAGGAAATAGTATTCAGTTGCGCAAGCCCCTCAAAAGACAAGGGGTAGTGAAACAAACTCTATACATGGACAGAAACAACAGCTTTTTAATTCACTGTTTAGCGTCAAGTCAAATGAACACGTGGGATTAAAAAAACAGCAGAAAAATGTTCAAAAAAAAAAAGAAAAAAAAAAGAAAGAAACAGAGTTGAGAGGAGAGAAGGGAAAAGGTTGTGTGTTATACCTATGGTCAACTCCCAGGGAAACACTGCAATACAGCGAAGCACAAAGAGAGAAGGGGGAGCGGGTTAAACAAGCAGCTTGGCTGTGGATTTCACAGTAGCAACGTGACAACAATACACAGTGCTAATATACAACAACAGAAAGAGAGAAAAATAGACATACTGCAGCATCACATTAAGGAAAATCATATTCAGTGCTGTTGTGAAAGAGAGAAACAAGCTAAGGCCATTGATACATAACTACAGTATGTACAGTGTGTACAGTAAAAGCAGAGAAAGGGGAAAGCGTACGTACTTGTCGTCATACGAGGGCCAGACGTAGCCTGCAGACAAGATGTTGAGGGAGAGGATGTTTGGGTCAATGATGGTCTCGTCAGCCTCCGGAGTGTTCCGGATACGCCCTGAGAGAGGTCAAAGGTCAAAAGTCAGAGATGGATCTTTATGATCCACCCGACACAGCCAGAAGAGGACAGGCCACCCCTCAGAGCCTGGTTCCTCTCTAGGTTCCTCCATAGGTTCCTGCCTTTCTAGGGAGTGTTTCCTAGCCACCGTGCTTCTACATCTGCATTGCTTGCTCTCTGGGGTTTTAGGCTGGGTTTCTGTATAAGCACTTTGTGACATCTGCTGATGTAAACAGGGCTCTATAAATATATTTGATTGATTTATTGATGTACTGTAAAGATGGAGCTAGTGGATCTTTATTGTCATTACGCTCTGTTGTCTCCTAATAAAGCATTCTTCCATCCGTACTCACCCACCACCAGCTCCTTGACCTCCTTCCACTCTACGTAATTTCCTGTCTCGTGCGCTACGGTAACTGTGATCCTCCTCTGGATGCCCTGTGGACAGGCCAGCAGACAGGAAATCAACACTGGACTTTGAACAACTGAGAAATAGATTCAAATCAACTCCCCTCTGAAAAAGTTGCAATTCTTTACCTGGTGAAGGAGGAAGGTTCCATGGCAAGGCATGCCACCTTTGTGGTCCACCACTGAAGGGATGTAGCTGAGGACAGACACAGAACACATTTACAAACTATATGAGTGGATTATGATTGTTGTGTCCATTTGATTCCTTGATATGAATGGGGAAGTAAGGAAACAGATGTAAGGTTGCTCACTCTCCATTGGCCTCCAGCTCACAGATCTCAAAGAAGGCCATGAGGTCATATTTGGAGTGACATGGGCCAGCCGTGGAGCGGGTCAAGGTGTTTAGCTTGGTGGCCGGCACTGTGAAAGAGAAGGAATGAATGAATCTGTTCTGGTTAACGTTCTGGCACTGTGACAAAATACTTTGCTAAGATAAAGAGAAGAACACAAAGCCACGTTTGACCCCTCACCTGGTTTAGACAAGGGCATGACCCTCGGGAATTGCCTCCTAGAAGGTCGAAGGGGACTGGGAAAAAAGTGTGAACTTTTAAAATGGACTGTTTTAGCAAGACAGTGAAACAGGACAATTTGAAGAAGAAGAGAGCAAGTACAGTTCTATCACCTGATGAGGTCTTTGCAGAGGGGTGGGAACGGCTGTTTCTGGTAGTGGCCAAACACCTCAAAGACGATGGGCTGGGTCTTGATGTACTCCACAAACGACTTGGTGACCTCCACTGTGATCTAATAGACAAATCAAAAGCGAGGTTAGCCATCACTCAATAAGGCGTATAACAATGGATGATACAAGGAAATACAAATTCATGATTAATTCATGGTAATATCATAGAAATAACACTTGTAGTCACCTATTAGTTGTAATGAATAAGAATATATCGTTTATGGTCAGTACTTACATTCTGTACATGGTAGAATCCCAGAGGAGGACCTCTGCCAGTGTTCTTCAGTGGCTCAGTGGAGAACGCCTCGTCATGTCGGTGGATGAAGCTGTAAGTAGGAAAACACATTCAATCAATATTAAATATTCAGTAATCATGTACATTGAGTGTATACAAAACCATATACATTATACTACTGCACTGTAACACTAATATACACTGAGTGTACAAAACATATTTCCATGACATAGACTGACCAGGTGAAAACTATGATCCCTTATTGATGTCACTTGTTAAATCCACTTCCATCAGTGTAGATGAAGGGGAGGAGACAGGTTAAAGAAGGATTTTTAAGCCTTGAGACAACTGAGACATTCAGAGGGTAAATGGGCAAGACAAAATATTTAAGTGCCTTTGAACGGGGTATGGTAGTAGGTGCCAGGCGCACCGGTTTGTGTCAAGAACTGCAACACTGCTGGGTTTTTCACACTCAACAGTTTCCCGAGTCCATGCCCCAACGAATTGAGGCTGTTCTGAGGGCAAAAGCGGGTGCAACTCAATATTAGGAAAGCGTTCCTAATGTTTTGTACACTCAGTATATACTATTTACTACTTGCAATATGCTGCACTGATTATGATCACATTTGGTGGACACTTGTCTTTCACCATCAGACGAGTCTGCCATAGGAATAACACTAACCCTTAGGAATAACACTAACCCTTGGGAATATCACTAACCCTTGGGAATATCACTAACCCTTAGGAATAACACTAACCCTTGGGAATATCCCTAACCGTTAGGAATAACACTAACCCTTACGAATAACACAAACCCTTACGAATAATAAATAATAATAAAACACAAATCCTTAGGAATAACATTAACCATAAGATTTTTGTTTAAATCAAGAGAGGATGGGGTGGTTTCTGGATAGAGAGAAGTGAAAATTCCTGAATGGCACGGCGTCGTCATAGCAATGAGCTATGAGACAGTTAGAATATGAGGACTGCCTGAGTTAAAGTACTTGAACCATAGACACTTGCAGTTGTTCCTAAGAGGAGATTTTAGAAACAAATGCCCCCATATGCAACATCTTGTCATCATCATCATTCCAAATGCTTTTCCTCACTGACATCTTGTCAAGTCTCTCTCAAAAACATTTAACCTAAACCTCAAAACACTTCCTGGTCAAATAAAGTATAAAATACATCAAAAAGCTGGGTGGGAGGCACTCACTTGAACTGGCAAAAGATATCGGCATATTCGGCGGAGATGCTGGAGGCCTGCAGCACGGTGACCCTGAAGGTGAAGGTGGATCCGATGCGGAGGTGGGACAGGCCCTTCTCCTGGTTCAGCTCCAGAGGTAGTTCCAGACCCAGAACCCCCTTCAACGGGCTCTGAGGGGCCTCCGGAGTGGCTGTGACGGGGGACAAGTCTGTGGTCATAGTGAGTACATGTCGACCTTTCAGTTTACATTTCATTTTCATATTATGGTTTATTTGGATAGGGACCGATACGAAACACATCGACACATTGAATAAACAATTATCCGATGCATTGCACCCTAGATAGGCGTACATAAATACAGTGGGGAGAACAAGTATTTGATACACTGCCGATTTTGCAGGTTTTCCTACCTACAAAGCATGTAGATTGTCTGTAATTTTTATCATAGGTACACTTCAACTGTGAGAGACGGAATCTAAAACAAAAATCCAGAAAATCACATTGTATGATTTTTAAGTAATTAATTTGCATTTTATTGCATGACATAAGTATTTGATACATCAGAAAAGCAGAACTTAATATTTGGTACAGAAACCTTTGTTTGCAATTACAGAGATCATACGTTTCCTGTAGGTCTTGACCAGGTTTGCACACACTGCAGCAGGGATTTTGGCCCACTCCTCCATACAGACCTTCTCCAGATCCTTCAGGTTTCGGGGCTGTCGCTGGGCAATACGGACTTTCAGCTCCCTCCAAAGATTTTCTATTGGGTTCAGGTCTGGAGACTGGCTAGGCCACTCCAGGACCTTGAGAGATGCTTCTTACGGAGCCACTCCTTAGTTGCCCTGGCTGTGTGTTTCGGGTCGTTGTCATGCTGGAAGACCCAGCCACGACCCATCTTCAATGCTCTTACTGAGGGAAGGAGGTTGTTGGCTAAGATCTCGCGATACATGGCCCCATCCATCCTCCCCTCAATACGGTGCAGTCGTCCTGTCCCCTTTTCAGAAAAGCATCCCCAAAGAATGATGTTTCCACCTCCATGCTTCACAGTTGGGATGGTGTTCTTTGGGTTGTACTCATCCTTCTTCTTCCTCCAAACACGGCGAGTGGAGTTTAGACCAAAAAGCTCTATTTTTGTCTCATCAGACCACATGATCTTCTCCCATTCCTCATCTGGATCATCCAGATGGTCATTGGCAAACTTCAGACGTGCCTGGACATGCGCTGGCAGTGGGACCTTGTGTGCGCTGCAGGATTTTAATTCATGACGGCGTAGTGTGTTACTAATGGTTTTCTTTGAGACTGTGGTCCCAGCTCTCTTCAGGTCATTGACCAGGTCCTGCCGTGTAGTTCTGGGCTGATCCCTCACCTTCCTCATGATCATTGATGCCCCACGAGGTGAGATCTTGCATGGAGCCCCAGACCGAGGTACAGGTAACGAGTTCAAACAGGTGCAGTTAATACAGGTTATGAGTGGAGAACAGGAGGGCTTCTTAAAGAAAAACTAATAGGTCTGTGAGAGCCGGAATTGTTACTGGTTGGTAGGTGATCAAATACAAATGCAAATTAATTACTTACAAATCATACAATGTGATTTTCTGGATTTTTGAAAATCAGCAGTGTATCAAATACTTGTGTATCAAATACTTGTTCTCCCCACTGTATGTCTTCTCTAAACATATTTGTGCGGTTAATATCTGTGGACCACAATGGGAATAAGTCCTTGACTTTGTTTGTCATCCTCAATGATTTGTACTGTGGGCGCTGCCATTGTACACCATTGAATATCTATTTATAGTAGAAAGTGGGGCCTAACTTTGAGACCACACTTGCAATACCAACAGAACTTACATAACACATTATATTATAGAGAAATCAGGTGTGATGATGATGAAGATGATGACGAAGATGCCCTCACCAGCACAGGTGTTGTTGTTGACCTCATCAGGGTCAGCTCCTATGTCAGAGGTCTGTCCCTCCCCCTCAACAAAGCGGAGCTCCTCTTGGGAGGTGTTAGAGTGGGACATGCCGCCAGAACACGACTCTGTCTGGAACTGACCAGACAAACACTTGATATTATATATATTAGAACCCTTTTAGATAATGACACTGCATTGTTTTAGATACAGCATGCAGACAGTGGCTTGGCAAATACTCAAGTTTTTATATAATTTCTTACTGATTCTACCTTCTCAAACTGTTGGTCCTCAAAGGAGATCTTGGCAGTTCCTGACTGTCTGACACCAGAGCCATAGTCAGGGGCTTCTTCATCAGCTGGGGAGAGAAGACAGCTGGTTGGTTACGACTCCAAACACTCAACAAACACTAGAAGCATCCATAAACAAACTGTAATAGCTGCTGGATCACTATGTCTTAGTCGGTCTCAGTCACACTACAAGAGTCAACTCTCAGTACCTGAGATGGCCTGCACTGCCACCCTAAGGAAGCCCTTCACCTCTCCCTTCTCACTGACGATGGCCACACGGTGCACCAGGGGCACGGGGTACAGCAGGTTACTCAGGTACACAAACGCCCTGTGGACGGGGACAGAGAAGGAGAGCGGGAGAGATAGAGAGGAGGAGCAGGAACAGACACAGGGCAATCATTTCAGAGCGTCGTAGAATCTTGAGGTGGTCTCTAGTGGGGCCCTGTTCAAATATTTTTCATGTGTATCCTCCCCTCCGTATCTGTATCCTATTGGATCTGTTTCCATCCTTTTGCTCTCATAATGAAAACACTGGCTGCTTAGTGATTACCTCAAGGAAGGAAGGGAAAGACGGATACATTTGAAAAGAACAGGGACTGGGTCCATGACTGACCTGCCCACCAGACGGAACCATGGGAAGCGGTCATAGAATGGGTCTCCCCCGGTCAGGGCCTGGTCACAGTCCTCCACGGTGCTGCTGGGCACCTCCGCCGCACGGTCGTACATCTCCCTCATCAGGTCCAGCCTCTGTCTACAGGGGGCAGAACAGTCAACACACAGTCAGCACTAATTACGTCAAAGCAACAGACACAGTAAAGTAGATGCTGGGTAACGTAAACCCATATAGTCCTACATACCTGAGCTACGTTTAAAATAAACCTGTACAAACTCCCACGATCCCCCCACACATACCTGAGTTTCTCCAGGGTCCAGTAGTGTGTGGCCCCGTTCTTCTGGTCCTGGACCTCCACTGCTACGATGGTGCGGGGGAAGGGCCGTCTCTCCCTCTCCTTGGCCACGCTGGGAGGCAGCAGGTCCGGGGGCAGTGGGGAGTACAGTGTGTCGGTCAGCAGCACAAACTGGAACTGGACCTGCAAAGGAGAGAGAGGATCATTTTTACATTTTAGCACGTTAGCAACAAATTAGTTTTGTTGTAGAATGTTGTTGTCAATTTAAATCTAATTTCACTGACTCAACGAACCGATTCACAATTGTAAAGGTTCAATGACAACGCAAGGATATTTTTTTTCAATACCAGTCTTTGCTGACTCATTGAATGGATTTACAGTTTCCATTTAACATTTTTATACTTTAGTAATTTAGCACACTCTCTTATCGAGAGTGACTTACAGCAGTGAGTACATACATTTTCCTATTTTTTTGTACTAAGAATAGTAACAGTCTAATTCTATGCACACTCATTTGGTAGATTGACTGAACTGATTAACAACGCAGTATCATTTGACTGATATCTTACAGTTTCTACGTGGAATCTTTGTTCTACTTTATAGATATAATGTACAATGAGCTCCAAAAGTATTGGGACAGTGATGCATTTTTTGTTTTTTTGGCTCTGTACTTTGGATTTGAAATGATACTTTGTGCCCAATAGAAATTAATGGTAAATAATGTGTTGTGTCATTATGGAGTCACTTTTATTGTAAATAGGAATATAATTAATTACAATTCATTTCTATTGAGCACAATAATATGAAACACAACTAAAACAAACAAATGCATCTAACAAGTTTGTAGAGTCACAAGCTTGATGTAATCATTGCGTGCTATGGAATATGGGACCAAATACTAAACTTTTGACTACTTTAATACACATATAAGTGAATTTGTTCCAATACTTTTGGTCCCCTAAAATGGGTGGACTATGTACAAAAAGTGCTGTAATTTCTAAATGGTTCACCCAATTTGGATGAAAATACCCTAAAAAATGCTGTTTAACCTCATAGTCATTGTATCATTTCAAATCCAAAGTGCTGGAGTACAGAGCCAAAACAACAACAACAAAAGATTTGTCACTGTCCCAATACTTTTGGAGCTCACTGTATATAATGACAGTGTACCTTCTTCTTGAGCTCCACACTGATGGCGTTGGCTTCCTTGAGGAAGATGGCGTTGCCCCACAGCAGGTCCCTGAGGGAGGTGAACTGGTAGAAACGCCACTTACGGAATGCCCACAGTGCAAGCTCCGTCTCACACTTGGTCCACGGAACTATGGGAAAAACTTCAAACATTCCATCATTCTAAAAATGCTCCATTGTCTGGCCTCAGCAACGGGCATCTTATTTCAAAATTATTGTAAAAATGTGAAGAAAAGGTGGATCACTGTCTCACCTTCCTCCTCAGGCTCCTCCTCTTCCTCTGGGGACTCCAGGCAACGGGAGTTTCTGTCCACCTGTTTCTGCAGGGCCTCCAGTTTACTCTCATAGTCCTAGGAGAGACCGCGGTACAGACACATCAAATCACATGACAGAAGCCCATATATCGCCCATATATCTCCTATATATTTATAAAAACAACACTTTTAAAGGGGTATCTCTTAGTGGCCTGTCTTACCAGTCGCTGTTGTTCCAGAAGGTTACTGGCCTCCTCTCGTTCTCGGCGGTATTGATCTTCTAACTCTTGAAGCCTGGAGACAAAATTGGCACAAATCAGTTTTAACAAAGTCATACTATATAAAAGTTCATTACAGCTGGTGCTTTGCCAAAGGTAGTCCATCGATTATTGTACCTTGACTCCATCTCTTGCTTCATGTCGATGCCCTGTTTCTCCAGCAGCTCTCTCTGGGCGAAGGCCCAGTCCACAGGCTCCACGGGGGTCTCAGCACAGGGGGTCCTCTCCCGCTCCTGCCGCGCCTGCTCCGGGTCATTGAAGCGAAACACATGGCTCTTCCCCATGATAATGCGGTTCCCTGGGGTCAGGAGTCAAAGGTCAATCAGAGGTCAACCGCATCACGCCTCAGTCATTTCATACATTTTAACCTATTGATGTTTTTCTAACCCTGGAGTGTTCACGTGTGAATCACCTGGGATGATTCTTTGTGTATTTGTAGATGTTGTATATGGAAGCAGGTTCATGCCAAAACAAATAAAACATTTATAAATAAAATCCTTATAGGGTTTTTCAGTATGTTTTACGTGTGTGCTATATATGTTTTGCACGCTCAGTGGAAGACGCTGAGGAGTCAAGACTTACCTGAGCGAAGCAGAGTAGGCGTGGTCACCAGTTTCCCGTTAACGTAGATCTCCGCCCCCTCGCAGGGCTCCAGGATGACGTTCCCTGTGTCATCATCATCAACAGACAAGAACCACCGGGGATGGTGAACATTTGGCCGTTCTACAGTGGCTCCCTTTCCTACGCTACATGTACTGAATGGATAATTGTTTTGCCCTCAACGAGCTGTGATCTACAAAGCCTGGATAGGAAAAGGCAAGTGGGTAAAAGGCAACTGGTTGGCTAGCTACTGTCTGCTTCTGCTGTGATTATACTACTATACCTATAGTCTATAACCTCACTAGTCCACGTCTCTATAGTCTAGAACCTCACTAGTCCACGTCTCCATAGTCTAGAACCTCACTAGTCCATGTCTCTATAGTCTAGAACCTCACTAGTCCACGTCTCTATAGTCTAGAACCTCACTAGTCCACGTCTCTATAGTCTAGAACCTCACTAGTCCATGTCTCTATATTCTAGAACCCAGTCATCCTAATCTATAGTCTATAACCCAGTCATCCTAATCTATAGTCTATAACCCAGTCATCCTAATCTACAGTCTATAACCCAGTCATCCTAATCTATTGTCTATAACCCAGTCATCCTAATCTATAGTCTATAACCCAGTCATCCTAATCTATAGTCTATAACCCAGTCTTCCTCATCTATAGTCTATAACCCAGTCATGCTAATCTATAGTCTATCATCCAGTCATCCTAATCTATAGTCTATCATCCAGTCATCCTAATCTTTAGTCTATAACGCAGTCTTCGTAATCTACAGTCTATAACCCAGTCATCCTAATCTATAGTCTATACCCAGTCATCTTTTCAACTCTGCATTGTTGGGAAGGGCTTGTAAGTAAGCATTTCACAATAAAGTCTACACCTAATCTATAGTCTAATCCTCTCCTCTCTTCTCCAGACCATTTCCGGAGACCTTCTCCCTTACCTCACCTCGCTCATCAACTCATCCTTGACCGCTGGCTATGTCCCTTCCATCTTCAAGAGAGCGAGAGTTGCACCCCTCCTCAAAAAACCTACACTCGATCCCTCCAACAACTACAGACCAGTATCCATTCTTTATTTTCTCTCCAAAACTCTTAAGCGTGCCGTCTCTAGCCAACTCTCCTGCTATCTCTCTCAGAATGACCTTCTTGATCCAAACCAGTCAGGTTTCAAGACTGTTCATTCAACTGAGACTGCTCTTCTCTGTGTCACGGAGGCTCTCCGCACTTCTAAAGCTAACTCTTTCTCCTCTGCTCTTATCCTTCTAGACCTATCTGCTGCCTTTGATACTGTGAACCATCAGATCCTCCTCTCCACCCTCTCCGAGATGGGCATCTCCGGCGCTGCTCACTCAGACGGAGCTGCTCTTCCTCCCGGGGAAGGACTGCCCACTCCATGATCTCGCCATCACGGTTGACAACTCCATTGTGTCCTCCTCCCAGAGTTCAAAGAACCTTGGCATGACCCTGGACAACACCCTGTCGTTCTTTCTAACATCAAAGCGGTGACCCGATCCAGCAGGTTCATGCTCTACAATATTCGCAGAGTACGACCCTGCCTTACACAGAAAGCGGCACAGGTCCTAATCAAGGCACTTGTCATCTCCCGTCTGGATTACTGCAACTCGCTGTTGGCTGGGCTCCCTGCCTGCGCCATTAAACTCCTACAACTTATCCAGAATGTTGCAGCCCGTCTGGTGTTCAACCTTCCCAAGTTCTCTCATGTCACCCCACTTGTCACGCCCTGGCTCTGGGGACAATGTTATGTTGAGCCAGGGTGTGTAGATTTCTGTGTTGTAGTTCTAGGTGTTTCATTTCTATGTTGGCCAGTGTGGTTCTCAATCAGAGGCAACGAGTGTCAGCTGTGGCTGGTTGTCTCTGATTGGGAACCACATTTATACAGGCTGTTTTCTCACAGTAGTTGTGGGATCTTGTTTCTAGTTGGTTTGTGTTAGACCGTGAACTGTCACGTTATCGTTTTGTTTATGTTGTCGTAATATCGCTAAATAAAGAGTATGTTTGCCTGCAACGCTGCGCCTTGGTCCTCCTCTCTTACCGACGATCGTGACAGAAGATCCCACCAGAACTGGACCAAGCAGCGGGTCCAGGAGCCATCGCCAGGGAAATCCCTAGCGGATATCCAGCGCCTTCTCGACTGGGTCAAGCCGGGTGAGGAAGAGAGGGGCTTGACGTGGAAGCAGAAGGGCGAAAGGCTGGCGAGAAGTATGGAGACCTGGTCCACGGGTAGGAGTGAAGCCCATACATTTTTTAGGGGGGGGCTAACGCCGTGGACGACGGGCCAGCAGGAGACCGCGACAGAGCGGCCCAGCGGGTTGGCAGAGGAGGCCGCCAGGTTACAGGGGCCACTGGTCGAAGAGGGGATGGAAGGTGTAGAGGCACGGCGAGAGGTACTGCGGTGTGTTACCAGTCCGGTCCGGCCCGTTCCAGATCCCTGCGTAGGGCCAGTGGTGTGTGTCCCCAGTACGGTCCGTCCTGTTCCTGCTCCCCGCACCAGGCCAATGGTGCGCGTCGCCAGCCCGGCCCGTCCTGTTCCTGTTCCCCGCACCAAGCCAATGGTGCGCGTTGCCAGCCCGGTCCGGCCCGTTCCTGCTCCCCGCACCAAGCCAATGGTGCGCATAGCCAGCCCGGTCCGGCCCGCTCCTGCTCCCCACACCAAGCCAGTGGTGTGCGTCGTCAGCCCGGCACGGCCCGTGCCTGTTCCCCACACCAAGCCAGTGGTGTGCGTCGTCAGCCCGGTCCGGCCCGTTCCTGCTCCCCGCACCAAGCCAATGGTGCGCATCGCCAGCCCGGTCCGGCCCGCTCCTGCTCCCCACACCAAGCCAGTGGTGTGCGTCGTCAGCCCGGCACGGCCCGTGCCTGTTCCCCACACCAAGCCAGTGGTGTGCGTCGTCAGTCCGGCACGTCCCGTGCCTGTTCCACCGGTGCCTGGTCCGGCACCGGTCAGATGCTTCACGCCGGAGCTAGAGCAATCCGCTCCACCAGTGTGCAGTCCAGCTCCGGCCAGCGGGGCCAGACCGGACCAGGGATACTTTGGGGGGTTGGAGAGGGAGCGGGGATCAGGCCCGGAGCCGGATCCGCCGCCTAGGCGGAGTGCCCACCCGGTCCCTCCCCTGTGGTATTTGGTTGGCGCGGTCGGAGTCCGCGCCTTTAGGGGGGGGGTACTGTCACGCCCTGGCTCTGGGGACACTGTTATGTTGAGCCAGGGTGTGTAGATTTCTGTGTTGTAGTTCTAGGTGTTTCATTTCTATGTTGGCCAGTGTGGTTCTCAATCAGAGGCAACGAGTGTCAGCTGTGGCTGGTTGTCTCTGATTGGGAACCACATTTATACAGGCTGTTTTCCCACAGTAGTTGTGGGATCTTGTTTCTAGTTGGTTTGTGTTAGACCGTGAACTGTCACGTTATCGTTTTGTTTATGTTGTCGTAATATCGCTAAATAAAGAGTATGTTTGCCTGCAACGCTGCGCCTTGGTCCTCCTCTCTTACCGACGATCGTGACACCGCTCCTCCGCACACTCCACTGGCTTCTAGTTGAAGCTCGCATCTACTACAAAACCATGGTGCTTGCCTAAGGAGCTGTGAGGGGAACGGCACCTCCTTACCTTCAGGCTCTGATCAGACCCTACACCCAAACGAAGGCACTACATTCATCCACCTCTGGCCTGCTAGCCCCCCTACCTCTACGGAAGCACAGTTCCCGCTCAGCCCAGTCAAAGCTATTCGCTGCTCTGGCACCCCAATGGTGGAACAAGCTCCCCCACGACGCCAGGACAGCGGAGTCACTGACCACCTTCCGGAGACACTTGAACACCTACCTCTTTAAGGAATACCTGGAATAGTATAACAGTAATCCTTCTACACCCCCCCCTCCCCCAGTGGTGGTTGTCCCACTGGCTATCCTAAATTGAATGCACCAATTTGTAAGTCGCTCTGGATAAGAGCGTCTGCTAAATGACTTAAATGTAAATGTATAACCCAGTCTTCCTAATCTATTGTCTATAACTCAGTCATCCTAATCTATAGTCTATAACCCAGTCATATTAATCTATAGTCTATAACCCAGTCATATTAATCTATAGTCTATAACCCAGTCTTCCTAATGTATTGTATATATCCCAGTCATCCTAATCTATAGTCTATAATCCCAGTCATCCTAATCTATAGTCTATAACCCAGTCATCCAAATCTATAGTCTATAACGCAGTCTTCCTAATCTATAGTCTATAACCCCATCATCCTAATCTATAGCCTATAACCCAGTCATCCAAATCTATAGTCTATAATGCAGTCTTCCTAATCTATAGTCTATAACCCCATCATCCTAATCTATAGTCTATAACCCCATCATCCTAATCTATAGCCTATAACCCAGTCATCCAAATCTATAGTCTATAATGCAGTCTTCCTAATCTATAGTCTATAACCCCATCATCCTAATCTATAGCCTATAACCCAGTCTCTACAGAGTCTCTATAACCTCTGGAGCACTCAGGCATAATCTGCTGATTATTCCTCCCATAGAAATATAACTAATAGAACTAGCATGGTTCGTCCACAATTGGTCAATTCAGTCTCACCTTCTCCCCCGGGGCCTGTGGTGCTACTGAAGGTGCAGTGCTCATCTTGGATAAAATGGCCGCTGAGCACAATGTCCTGGCGACTTCTGGCGTCATCACGACCCACCCTGAGGGAAAGATACAGAGGATATGGAGTCTAGAGTGATTTTCTGTACGCAGATGTGTTTCTTGTAAGAAAGCTATTTCAGTGTTCACATTCTGAAGATGAGAAAATATCCTAGCCCACTTCACAGGACCATTGATATTCCAGGTAGTCAATTTAAACAGCTGACCCCCTACTCCAAATCCATATATACTGTACTACAGGACTGGAGCCCACCTCAATAAAAAAGTGTTCTCAATGAAAAGTACACATTTCCTGCAGATTAAAGAAAACAGTAGTTCTTACTTGGTGGTCCCATCTTTTATGTAGTAGAGTAAGCACTCAGACATCAATGGGTCCTCATTTAGGTTCACCAGGTGAGGGGTCTAAAAGAAAGACATGAACATTATGACTTTGTGTCCAAATGTTGTTGACAGGGGTTGTTGTAGCATGATGGGAAAAAATGATTATGTACAGAGCATTATGGGTACTGTAGTAAATATCATTATAGTTGTGATAGGGGTGTACTGTATTTTTGAGGTTCTGACCTTCTTGGGAGAGAACACGCCCACGGTGCCTCCATCTTCTCTCATGGCCACGCCCATCTCAGCCAGTAACGCCTCCCTACAGATAGCAGAGAGCCACGGTAATTTGGGGTAGGGTTTGGGTTAGTTATAACGGTTATTTAAGACAGAGGGACTCAGATGAGGATAATGGTTAAATCCATCTAACACACCTCTGCATCCGGATATCTTCAGTACGGCGCAGCTTCTCCTCCCATGTCTCATTGAGCTCTGCAATGATTTTCTCTGTTTCCTAGGGTGGAAAGAATGACAAATGTCTAAGTTGGCATGGTACATACATGGAATTACTTAGCATCGTGGTTAGCCTACCTCACCCTTGCCATCTCTCTCTAACTTCCTTCTCCTCCTCTCTTTCTCCATCTGTCCCCAGCCGTCTCCCTCTCTCTCCACTGCCCTTCCTCTCCTCCTCTCTTTCTCCATCTGTCCCCAGCCGTCTCCCTCTCTCTCCACTGCCCTTCCTCTCCTCCTCTCTTTCTCCATCTGTCCCCAGCCATCTCCCTCTCTCTCCACTGCCCTTCCTCGCCTCCTCTCCTTCTCCATCTGTCCCCAGCCGTCTCCCTCTCTCTCCACTGCCCTTCCTCTCCTCTCTTTCTCCATCTGTCCCCAGCCGTCTCCCTCTCTCTCCACTGCCCTTCCTCTCCTCCTCTCTTTCTCCATCTGTCCCCAGCCGTCTCCCTCTCTCTCCACTGCCCTTCCTCTCCTCCTCTCTCTCCCCTTCCCACCCTGTCTCTTTCTCCTTCAATCTCTCTAGCTCACTCACTCACTCACCCACTACCTCTCATTTCACCCTCCCTCCCTCCCTCCTCCCTACCTTGAGCCTCTCTATGGCCTCCTCGGAGGCGGGGCTGAAGATGCGGTCGTGCAGGTTTGCCATGGAGCCCGCGCGGCTGGACAGAGCGGAGAGCGAGGGGGAGGGGCTCATCCCAGTCATGGCATTGGTCACTGTGGATAGATCACCCATTTGATTGACAGCCTGGCGATTATTGACAAAGTTGTTGTAATCGCACAAGTCTGCCAGAAGAAGAGCGGGAGCGTGTGGGGGAGAGAGAGGGAGAGAGAGGGAGCAGACAGCAGGAAGGTGAGGAAGAGGAGACATTGGGGCGGAGAGAAAACAGAGAGATGGACAGAAGGAAGAAAAGGAGGGGGAAAAAAAGAAGAAGAGCTGAAACAAAATGGATTGTAGAAGCAGAGACAGGTGCTTACCAAAGCCACTGCAGAGAGAGGAGCGAGAAAATAGCAACTTAAACCGATGGAATATGGAAAGCATACGATAAGTTAGAGCCAATGCATTTCTCTGACATTCATATGCAAAATACATACAATACCAAGCTAAAAACAAGCAATCTTATATGAAGACCAGCCAATATATAGGGCAGGCAATCTAGAAGAAATGTATTTTAGTTCTTACTTGCAGCATAATCTCCAGGCTGAAAGGCTGTGAAAGCATTATTCAATTAAATTCAATGCAATTCCAAAAAACGTTATTCATCCTGCAAGGGACAATTATGCTGGGCAAGCAGTGTGAATTAGAAGGTAGCTGAGCTCTAGAGCCCCAACCAGAGCCCACATTAAGAACCTGGCACAGCATAGCTCCTCTACAGAAGCAGAGCGTCCAATCAGCTAGCTACACACCCAGAGAACCGGAGTGTAACCAAGGCTGCATGCATCCCAACAGTCTAAAATGGCTTCCTCCCCTCGTCTCTTCTTGATCTGCACTGATCTGAAAGGACTGGACAGGTGAAGGTCTGTTCCCTAAGAGGAGTCCACCATCTTGCTTTCACCTATCCCGTGTTTGCAGATCAGTGCAGATAAGGGAGAGGAAATGAGGACTTGGAAAGTAACTATGAGAGCAGTTTCTCCTGTCATAGCTCTGTGTTGTATGGACTCTAGTGTGATAAAAGTTAGAGCTTAATTTTCAAGTTAGCTGCAAAAGCGTGAGGTTGCCAGAATATACACACTTTTCAAACCAGCTATCACAGGACCAGGACATCGATATGCTGAGAGGAGAGGGGAGAGAGAAGAGTGTGTGTGAGACACTCATCCTGTGTGTGTGTGTGTGTGTGTGTGTGTGTGTGTGTGTGTGTGTGTGTGTGTGTGTACTCACTGTCTATGATATCTCCCAGGCCCTGAGCATAGAGGAGGTCCTTGAGGCGACACACCTCCTCCTTCAACTCACGCACCAAACGGTTGTTGGGGTCCTCGTTGATGACAGCGTTACAGCGGATCTGCTTAGCGCGGTCAGCATACCTGAGAGGTTGAAAACCATTAAAGGGGAAGTTCACCCCAAAATCTAAATTCTACTTTTTTCATAACTATATGAAAAAATCGTAATTGACAGTGAAAACATGGGAGCCTTCAAGGTATCATTATTTGAAGCTCCTGGATTACTTTCTGGTTTAGTCTCACAATGCATTGTCATTACACTTGTGTACATTACATTATAAAGGGGCAGGGGTTTGGAACTAAAACTGCTCCTCACAAATAATGACAGTGATAGTGAAGTACTATAGGGTCACCCAATGACTACTATGTTTTTAACCGGAGAATGTTACCTCAGAGCTGGGTTCTTACCTGAGGGTGCTCAGGGTCTCGTCATAGTTGATGTCAGCAGGGCTGAGGGCTGCCACCATGGCGGTGCGAGAGTTACCTCCTAATGGACAGAAAGGGGAAAACAGGTTAATTGGGGATGACGGCGAGAGGAGGAAGGATTATTTACCGGGCATCTGCAGAGGAATAAAAAAAAAAAGAGTAAGCAGTGATGGGATGCTACAATTGGTGTAGACTGCAGGATCTGGGCTACTAGGTGGAAAGTACGTACCCAGATTCTCTCTCAGTAGCCAGGTCAGCACTGAGTCTCTGTATGGGATATGGCTCTCCACCTTCTTCTTCTTCTTGTTCTGTTAACAGTTAATCTTCCCAATTAGGATACTGCTTCAATAGAAGTGTCTTTACATGTTGACAAATGTAGGCATACCAGTATAAGAAGAAACGCTTGTTAATCATCTCTAAATACCATTTCCCAAAATATTTTCTCATGACAGAAATTGAATAAGTCATTGAAATGGTGTACCTTATTTGGTGCCGAGTCCTAGAAAAATAAGAAATTGACAGTATTGAATGAATAGACAGTCTTACCAAATTGCTTAAATTACCATACATACAAAGAGTTGTGTACTGAAGAGTAAGGACTCTAACCACTTCAGCTAAAGCAGAGATGACTTTTCCCAGTGTGGTTAGAGATTTGTTGATATTTGCTCCTTCCTGAAAAGGAACAGATGGGGCGTAGTTAATCAAACGAGAAGCCTTGCTTGGGACACAAAAACTACAATCTCCACAATCTCGAGACACAGAGCCTAGGCTTTGTAAAATGCATAGACATGTCAACTAGAAGTGTGAACTCAATACTTTGAGGAATTCATTAATTGATATCACTGGGGGATCGGATTCAGCCTATAAAGTAGACCCAAAAATAACCTCTCACCTTCAGCCTGGTTCCTTTGGCTCCTGTAGAGTCGGCTCGCTCACTCCCAGCCAGATCCACCAGGCTGATCTTGCTCACCTTAAACAAGAAACGACTCGGGTGTCATAATTTATTTTGGCATAAATATGCTACCGTACTCTGTATTAAAAAGGAAAAATGCCCAGATTCCTAATACACAGTGGCAGCTCCAATAAACTCTCTTTGAGGGCTTATCTGTAATGAGCATAAATGATAACACTGTGGATGTCCAGATAACATGGCAATAGATCTCAACTATAAAAGTATAAACCATACATATTGGTCAGAGTTATTAACCCTAGAGTGAAAATCACCTATCTACGGTTTATAACTCTATGGCCTCAAACTATTGCAGTAGCTTGAACAGGAGGTTAAACCTGGTTATTAAGTTGTTATAAGCCTGTACCGTACCTTCTCAGATGTGTTCTCTGAATCCATGTCATGTTTCTTCTGAGTGAAGATGATGTTGAAGACAGCGTGAGAGCGGCTGCTGGTCTCATTCATGTTGGTGGCTGCCACCGTCCTGAAAGAAGAGAGAATTTAACCGTATGACATCCATCCATCCCTCTCTCTTCCATCCACCCTTCCAACCCACCAACCCACCCGCCCATCCATCCATCTATCATCAATCCATCCATTCAAAGTCCCATTTACCTGGCCTTGTTGCCGGACTCCATGAGGTCCTGGATGTCGTTGTAGGAGGTGACAGCCAGCTTGGACAGGTCCTCCACGTAGGGCCCCATCAGGGGGTGCTCTCTCACACGCAGGTTCCCCTTGTTCTTCGGGTTCAGCAGGTCACGCACACGCTCACAGTAGATCTCCATGTAGCTCACCTGTGGAGGTTGTCAATACTCTATATAAGTGCCAATCAAACGAACTAAGTGCCAATCAAATGTCTATTGAGCACTTGGGGTAGAGAAGACACTCTTAACAGAACTCTTATCTTATGTTTGTGTTATGACAATACTGTGTCCTCCCCATTGCTTTTACATATCACTTGTCTTTGGTTTAAGCACCGTAATGTGGATTTGCCATTTCATGACTGTGACCCACGTTAGGATACAATTAGTTATGGTGGATTCTATATAGATTTAACAGAGCTATTCATATCACCCAGTGGTTAAAGGAAAGGTTAACGCATTTTGAGTGTTATATTGTTTTTGTGCATCTCTGAGTGATGTTCTATCAATTCCCAGGGTCATTTCACGTTTTCATGTGTATCTGAGTTATTGGCATTCAAGCAGGCAGAAATTCGGCCAGTATGACGTAGCACTGTGATAAAGTCGCTCTCACTACACTGGAAGTTAATAGGAATACGACTTTTAGATCACGAAAACGTCTATCATACATGTCAGATTTCAATACTGGCCGATGTCATAACTCGGGAGGATGTCTTCTCTCGATTGAGCCATTGATCATATTTTTGCAATATTCCTACCTCGAGAAATTTGCAATTTAACAGAGGGTCTAGCACACTTTAGTCCAGGGTGCATTGCATGGTGGCGATGCCAGAGATATTATAGAAAGGAGATAGGAATCCAATGGATGAAGTATGTATAACGCACCCACCCAGCAGACTGTCGCCCAATCACGTTCATGCTGCCTCACGCGGTTGCTAAGCTAATCATCACGCAATCCCTTCTCAAAGTCAGTGTATATGTCGAGAAACATGCCTATTTTCCTCAAAAGTACGTAATGTCACAATTCCAAAGCTATTCGATAATACAGATAGCAAGTTAATTATCTCACATCTCGGAAAAGATTTGTAATGTTGTACTTCTTGTTGACGAAATTCGTGCTTCAATCCTTGAAGGAGAGCGCTCCTTGACCCAGAATCGCCCAGAATGCACAGCATGGGCAACATTTCCCATCTCCTCAAAAGTATATCTGCCGTTGCGAATGTCAGACTCGACTCTGTGAGGCACATCGATCTGTAGGTTGAACATGGTGAGATTGTAGACTCCTAAATTGATAGTGCAGTTTGTTTAGGCGATTTTACAGCTAACTAGCTACGTTACATGCTGATATTGTCTTTGGTAATATTGTGTGTAGCTACGTTTGCTAGCTAGCTACCTAGCTAGCCAGCCAGCCCATAGAGTGAGCATTGCATTGTGGATTTTGTAGTCGACTTGGGCTGCAACAGATTTCCACAACGATTTTCCATGTTGCTACCAAACTTATTATAACGCCAAAATGAAACATCTGTTCACAAAAAATATTGTTTTCACATATTAGTGTTATTTAACACTGTAAATTAAAGGAATGAGTGGTTTTGGGTGGATTTTTCCTATAAAAGCCCTAACCTACTATGGAGTAGGCCTCTCCCGTATTCAAGCTTATTCTAAAAACACAAGAGGGTCGGGAGCACTCACCTCTACGGAGTAGGACAAGCTGTTGTCGGTATTGCTGTCACTGATCTTGGTGAAGAGGTCCTCACACAGCTGGCAGAGAAGAAAGCATGGAGGATTATTGTTATTGTTATTTGTTGTTATTATTGTTATTGTTATTTGTATTTGTATTTATTAAGGATCCCCATTAGTTCCTGCCAAGGAAGAAGCTTCTCTTCCTGGGGTCCAGCAACATTAAGGCAGTTATATACAATTAAAAATATTACTTGACATTACATTTTATAACACTTTTCACAACACATTAAGTGTGTTCCCTCAGGCCACCACTCTACTATCACATACCTACAATACAAAATCCATGTGTACATGTGTGTATAGTATGTGTCTTATCATGTGTATGTGTATCTGTGCCTGTGTGTGTGTCTCTTCACAGTCCCCGCTGTTCCATGAGGTGTATTTTTATCTGTTTTTTAAATCTGATTCTACTGCTTGCATCAGGTACCTGATGTGGAATAGAGTTCCACGTAGCCATGGCTCTATGTAGTACTGTGCGCCTCTCATTGTCTGTTCTTGACTTGGGGATTGTGAAGAGACCTTTGGTGACATGTCTTGTGGGGTATGCATGGGTGTCCGAGCTCTGTGCTAGTAGTTTAAAACAGACACCTTGGTGCATTCAGCATGTCAACACTTCTTACAAAAACAAGTAGTGATGAAGTCAATCTCTCCTCCACTTTGAGCCATGAGAGATTTACATGCATATTATTAATGTTAGCTCTCTGTGTACATTTAAGGGCCAGCCGTGCTGCCCTGTTCTAAGCCAATTGTAATTTTCCGAGGTCCCTCTTTGTGGCACCTGACCACACGACTGAACAGTAGTCCAGGTGCGACAAAACTAGAGCCTGTAGGACCTGCCTTGCTGATAGTGTTGTTCAAAAGGCAGAGTATCACTTTATTATGGACAGACTTCTCCCTATCTTAGCTACTGTTGTATCAACATGTTTTGACCATGACAGTTTACAATCCAGGGTTACTCCAAGCAGTTTAGTCACCTCAACTTGCTACATTTCCACATGAGTTATTACAACATTTAGTTGAGGTTTAGGGTTTAGTGAATGATTTGTCCCAAATACAATGTTTTTCGTTTTTGAAATAGTTAGGACTAACTTATTCCTTGCCACCCATTCTGAAAATAACTGCAGCTCTTTGTTAAGTGTTGCAGTGATTTCACTCGCTGTAGTAGCTGACGTGTATAGTGTTGAGTCATCTGCATACATAGACACATTGGCTTTACTCAAGGCCAGTGGCATGTCATTAGTAAAGATTGAAAAAAGTAAGGGGCCTAGACAGCTGCCCTGGAGAATTCCTGATTGTACCTGGATTATGTTGGGGAGGCTTCCATTAAAGAACACCCTCTGTGTTCTTTTAGACAGGTAACTCTTTATCCACAATATAGTAGGGGGTGTAAAGCCATAATGCATACGTTTTTCCATCAGCAGACTATGATCGATAATGTCAAAAGCCGCACTGAAGTCTAACAAAACAGCTCCCACAATATTTGTATCATCAATTTCTCTCAGACAATCATCAGTCATTTGTGTAAGTGCCGTGCTTGTTGAATGTCCTTCCCTATAAGCGTGTTGAAAGTCTGTTGTCAATTTGTTTACAATAAAATAGCATTGTATCTGGTCAAACACCCTTTTTTCCCAAAGTTTACTAAGGGTTGGTAACAGGCTAATTGGTCGGCTATTTGAGCCAGCAAAGCGGGCTTTACTATTCTTGGGTAGAGGAATTACATTTGCTTCCCTCCAGGCCTGAGGGAAGCAAAACTTTCTAGTAGGCTTACAATACCGTTCAAAAGTTTGGGGTCACTTAGAAATGTCCTTGTTTTCCATGAAAACATACATGAAATGAGTTTGAATAGGAAATATAGCAAAATGTATAGGAAATGTAGTCATTGACAAGGTTAGAAATAATGATTTTTTATATAAATAATAATTGTGTCCTTCAAACTTTGCTTTCGTCAAAGAATCCTCCATTTGCAGCAATTACAGCCTTGCAGACCTTTGGCATTCTAGTTGTCAATTTGTTGAGGTAATCTGAAGAGATTTCACCCCATGCTTCCTGAAGCACCTCCCACAAATTCTTACGTACCAAATTGGGCACTTCTTACGGTCAAGCTGCTCCCACAACAGCTCAATAGGGTTGAGATCCGGTGACTGTGCTGGCCACTCCATTATAGACAGAATACCAGCTGACTGCTTCTTCCCTAAATAGTTATTGCATAGTTTGGAGCTGTGCTTTGGGTCATTGTCCTGTTGTAGGAGGAAATTGGCTCCAATCAAGCGCCGTCTACAGGGTATGGCATGGTGTTGCAAAATGGAGTGATAGCCTTCCTTCTTCAAGATCCCTTTTACCCTGTACAAATCTCCAACTTTACCACCACAAAGCACCCCCAGACCATCACATTGCCTCCACAATGCTTGACAGATGCATCAAGCACTCCTCCAGCATCTTTTCATTTGGTCTGCGTCTCACAAATGTTCTTCTTTGTGATCCGAAACCCTCAAACTTCGATTCGTCTGTCCATAACACTTTTTTCAAATCTTCCTCTGTCCAGTGTCTGTGTTCTTTTGCCCATCATAATCTTTTCTTTTTCTTGGCCAGTCTGAGATATGGCTTTTTCTTTGCAACTCTGCCTAAAAGGTCAGCATCCCGGAGTCGCTTCTTCACTGTTGACGTTGAGACTGGTGTTTTGCGGGTACTATTTAATGAAGCTGCCAGTTGAGGACCTGTGAGGCGTCTGTTTCTCAAACTAGACACTCTAATGTATTTGTCCTCTTGCTCAGTTGTGCACTGGGGCCTCCCACTCCTATTTCTATTCTGGTTAGAGCCAGTTTGCGCTGTTCTATGAAGGGAGTAGTACACAGCGTTGTACGAGATCTTCAGTTTCTTGGTAATTTCTCACAACAAGAATAGACTGACGAGTTTCAGAAGAAAGTTATTTGTTTCTGGCCATTTTGAGCCTGTAATCAAACCCACAATTGCTGATGCTCCAGATACTCAACTAGTCTCAAGAAGGCCAGTTGCATTGCTTATTTAATCAGCACAACAGTTTTCAGCTGTGCTAACATAATTGCAAAAGGGTATTCTAATGATCAATTAGCCTTTTACAATGATAAACTTGGATTAGCAAAAACAACGTGCCATTGGAACACAGGACTGATGGTTGCTGATAATGGGCCTCTGTACGCCTATGTAGATATTCCATTAAAAATCAGCCATTTCCAGCTACAATAGCCATTTACAACATTAACAATGTCTACAATGTATTTCTGAACAATTTGATGTTATTTTAATGGACAAAAAAATTGATTTTCTTTCGAAAACAAGGACATTTCTAAGTGACCCCAAACTTTTGAACGGTAGTGTAGATTGAAGATATGGCAAATAGGAGTGGCAATATCTTCCGCTATTATCCTCAGTAATTTTTCATCGAAGTTGTCAGACCCTGGTGGCTTGTCATTGTTGATAGACAAAAAAATGATAATCACCTCTTCCACACTCACTTTACGGAATTCAAAATTACAATGCTTGTCTTTCATAATTTGATCAGTTACACTTGGATGTGAAGTGTCAGCGTTTGTTGCTGGCATGTCTTTCCTAAGGTTTCTAATCTTGCCAATGAAAAAAGCATTAAAGTAATTGGCAATATCAGTGGGTTTTGTGATGAATGAGCCATCTGATTCAATGAATGGTGGAGCTGAGTTTGCCTTTTTGCCCAAAATGTCATTTAAGGTACTCCAAAGCTTTTTACTATCATTCTTTATATCATTTATCTTTGTTTCATAGTATAGTTTCTTCTTCTTTTTATTCTGTTTAGTCACGTGATTTCTCAATTTGCAGTTCTTTTGCCAATCAGTTGTGCAGCCAGACTTATTGGCCATTCCTTTTGCCTCATCCCTCTCAACCATAAAATGTTTCAATTCCTCATCAATCCATGGGGATTTAACCATTTTTACAGTCCTTTTCTTAATGGGTGCCTGCTTATTAGTAACTGGAATAAGCAATTTCATAAATGTGTCAAGTGCAGCATCTGGTTGCTCCTCATTACACACCACAGACCAAAACATATTATTTACCTCAACAACATAGGAATCATTACAAAAGGTATTGTATGACCTCGTATACACTATATTAGGCCCAGCCTTTGGAACTTTGGTTTTCCTAGATATGGCTACTGTATTATGATCACTACATCTGATGGATATGGATAACGCTTTAAAGCAAATTTCTGCAGCATTAGTAAAGATGTGATCAATACATGTTGATGATTTCATTCCTGTGCTGTTTGTAACTACCCTGGTAGGTAGACTGATAACCTGAACCAGGTTGCAGGCACTAGTTATAGTTTTAAGCTTTTTCTTGAGTGGGCAGCTTGATGAAAGCCAGTCAATATTTAAATCACCCAGAAAATATACCTCTCTGTCTATATCACATACAGTGAGGGAAAAAAGTATTTGATCCCCTGCTGATTTTGTACGTTTGCCCACTGACAAAGAAATTATCAGTCTATAATTTTAATGGTAGGTTTATTTGAACAGTGAGAGACAGAATAACAACAAAATAATCCAGAAAAATGTTATAAATTGATTTTGCATTTTAATTAGGGACATAAGTATTTGACCCCCTCTAAATCAGAAAGATTTCTGGCTCCCAGGTGTCTTTTATACAGGTAACGAGCTGAGATTAGGAGCACACTCTTAAAGGGAGTGCTCCTAATCTCAGCTTGTTACCTGTATAAAAGACACCTGTCCACAGAAGCAATCAATCAATCAGATTCCAAACTCTCCACCATGGCCAAGACCAAAGAGCTCTCCAAGGACGTCAGGGACAAGATTGTAGACCTACACAAGGCTGGAATGGGCTACAAGACCATCGCCAAGCAGCTTGGTGAGAAGGTGACAACAGTTGCGATTATTCACAAATGGAAGAAACACAAAAGAACTGTCAATCTCCCTCTGCCTGGGGCTCCATGCAAGATCTCACCTCGTGGAGTTGCAATGATCATGAGAATGGTGAGGAATCAGCCCAGAACTACACGGGAGGATCTTGTCAATGACCTCAAAGCAGCTGGGACCATAGTCACCAAGAAAACAATTGGTAACACACTTTGCCGTGAAGAACTGAAATCCTGCAGCGCCCGCAAGGTCCCCCTGCTCAAGAAAGCACATATACATGCCCGTCTGAAGTTTGCCAATGAACATCTGAATGATTCAAAGGAGAACTGGGTGAAAGTGTTGTGGTCAGATGAGACCAAAATCGAGCTCTTTGGCATCAACTCAACTCGCCGTGTTTGGAGGAGGAGGAATGCTGCCTATGACCCCAAGAACACCATCCCCACCGTCAAACATGGAGGTGGAAACATTATGCTTTGGGGGTGTTTTTCTGCTAAGGGGACAGGACAACTTCACCGCATCAAAGGAACGATGGACGGGGCCATGTACCGTCAAATCTTAGGTGAGAACCTCCTTCCCTCAGCCAGGGCATTGAAAATGGGTCGTGGATGAGTAAGAGGAGTGGGACAAAATCCCTCCTGAGATGTGTGCAAACCTGGTGGACAACTACAAGAAACGTCTGACCTCTGTGATTGCCAACAAGGGTTTTGCCACCAAGTACTAAGTCATGTTTTGCAGAGGGGTCAAATACTAATTTCCCTCATTAAAATGCAAAATCAATTTATAACATTTTTGACATGCGTTTTTCTGGATTTTTTTGTTGTTATTCTGTCTCTCACTCTTCAAATAAACCTACCATTAAAATTATAGACTGATCATTTCTTTGTCAGTGGGCAAACTTACAAAATCAGCAGGGGATCAAATACTTTTTCCCTCACTGTACATTATCAAGCATTTCACACGTTATCCAGGTACTGACTGTTAGCATTTGGTGGTCTATAGCAGCTTCCCACAAGAATGGGCTTTAGGTGAGGCAGATGAACCTGTAGCAATATTACTTCAACAGTATTTAACATGAGATCCTCTCTAAGCTTTACAGGGATTTGGTTCTGAATATAAAACGGCAACATTGGCATTTCTGTGTTTTCTGTAGATGTTATAACCATGTATTGCTACCATTATATCATCAAAGGTATTATCTAAGTGAGTTTCAGAGATTGTCAGAATATTCATGTCATCTATTACTAGCAAATTATTGATTTCATGAACCTTGTTTCTTAAGATACATATGTTAACGTAGGCAATTTATCACACTTTTCTGGGATGCTTGCTTGTTTTCATTGCTTTACTCATGTTATTTATGTTAGTGCAGGGTGAGCTGCACACAGTGGACCTCCTACTAGGGCACAAAACCTCAGTGTTAACAGTATAACTCTGGTTCATAGGCACATGATTACTGCATACAATAGCTGTAGAATCAGCAGAAGCATTCAAGGCAGTTTGAGGGACAGAAATTACGTTACTTACATTGTCTTCCAACGCCCCTGGGATAATGCACATTTGCTGAAGCATTGTGACAACACAGTGACACAATGGTAGGGATTAACTGAGCTGGGCTTGGGTCATTGAACACAGCATACAGAATGTATTATCACTAAGTGGCTTTGAGGGTTTTTGGTATAAACCTAAATGTGTTTTCATAGTTCCAGAATCTGACATGTACGTGATGAAGTAACTATAGATTATATGATGTCTTTACTACATTTTGTCATACATCCACCCATCCATCCATCCATCCTACCAGAGGGATGATGCCTTGCTGGTCCTTCTGGTCCTGCTTGCCCATCATGGTGTAGCTCTTCCCAGATCCAGTCTGGCCATATGCAAAGATACACACGTTGTAGCCCTCAAAGGCATGCAGCAACATCTCCTCTCCAATGTCTTTGTACACCTGCTTCTGGGAATGATAGTTGATGTCGTCCGGCTGCAGAGAGATAGAGAGAGAAAGCGAGAGAGAGGAGAGAGAAACAGAGAGAGAGAGAGAGAGAGAGAGAGAGAGAGAGAGAGAGAGAGAGAGAGCGCGAGAGGAGAGAGAAACAGAGAGAGAGAGAAAGCGAGAGAGCGAGAGAGCGTGAGGAGAGAGAAACAGAGAGCGAGAGAAAGAGAAAGAGATTGAGGTTTAATACACCTTTATTAAGCAATTACGGAATAAATACTGACCTCATGGCTTGCACGATCTTTAAATGCACGACATTCAAGTCTCTAGTGTGGGACTTCTGTGGTGTGGCAAAACTCACTGTGGTGTGTGACCAGTAGGAGTAGTCGAAGTTGAAGCTCTTGTTCTCCTTCGGCTGTTTGGGGTTTAGGATCGCTGAAAGGGCAGACAGGAAGGAAACAAAGGTTAGAAGTATCCAAACCAAAACCATAAATCTACACCAAGTAAATTATTGTGATACACTGTATATGGCAGACCAGATGTATAATATACACTGCTCAAAAAAATTAAGGGAACACTAAAATAACACATCCTAGATCTGAATGAATGAAATAATCTTATTAAATACTTTTTTCTTTACATAGTTGAATGTGCTGACAACAAAATCACACAAAAAATATCAATGGAAATCAAATTTATCAACCCATGGAGGTCTGGATTTGGAGTCACCCTCAAAATTAAAGTGGAAAACCGCACTACAGGCTGATCCAACTTTGATGTAATGTCCTTAAAACAAGTCAAAATGAGGCTCAGTAGTGTGTGTGGCCTCCATGTGCCTGTATGACCTCCCTACAACGCCTGGGCATGCTCCTGATGAGGTGGCGGCTGGTCTCCTGAGGGATCTCCTCCCAGACCTGGACTAAAGCATCCGCCAACTCCTGGACAGTCTGTGGTGCAACGTGGCGTTGGTGGATGGAGCGAGACATGATGTCCCAGATGTGCTCAATTGGATTCAGGTCTGGGGAACGGGCGGGCCAGTCCATAGCATCAATGCCTTCCTCTTGCAGGAACTGCTGACACACTCCAGCCACATGAGGTCTAGCATTGTCTTGCATTAGGAGGAACCCAGGGCCAACCGCACCAGCATATGGTCTCACAAGGGGTCTGAGGATCTCATCTCGGTACCTAATGGCAGTCAGGCTACCTCTGGCAAGCACATGGAGGGCTGTGCGGCCCCCCAAAGAAATGCCACCCCACACCATGACTGACCCACCGCCAAACCAGTCATGCTGGAGGATGTTGCAGGCAGCAGAACGTTCTCCACGGCGTCTCCAGACTCAGTCACGTCTGTCACATGTGCTCAGTGTGAACCTGCTTTCATCTGTGAAGAGCACAGGGCGCCAGTGGCGAATTTGCCAATCTTGGTGTTCTCTGGCAAATGCCAAACATCCTGCACGGTGTTGGGCTGTAAGCACAACCCCCACCTGTGGACGTCGGGCCCTCATACCACCCTCATGGAGTCTGTTTCTGACCGTTTGAGCAGACACATGCACATTTGTGGCCTGCTGGAGGTAATTTTGCAGGGCTCTGGCAGTGCTCCTCCTGCTCCTCATTGCACAAAGGCGGAGGTAGCAGTCCTGCTGCTGGGTTGTTGCCCTCCTACGGCCTCCTCCACGTCTCCTGATGTACTGGCCTGTCTTCTGGTAGCGCCTCCATGCTCTGGACACTACGCTGACAGACACAGCAAACCTTCTTGCCACAGCTCGCATTGATGTGCCATCCTGGATGAGCTGCACTACCTGAGCCACTTGTGTGGGTTGTAGACTCCGTCTCATGCTACCACTAGAGTGAAAGCACCGCCAGCATTCAAAAGTGACCAAAACATCAGCCAGGAAGCATAGGAACTGAGAAGTGGTCTGTGGTCAGCACCTGCAAAACCAGTCCTTTATTGGGGGTGTCTTGCTAATTGCCTATAATTTCCACCTGTTGTCTATTCCATTTGCACAACAGCATGTGAAATGTATTGTCAATCAGTGTTGCTTCCTAAGTGGACAGTTTGATTTCACAGAAGTGTGATTGACTTGGAGTTACATTGTGTTGTTTAAGTGTTCCCTTTATTTTTTTGAGCAGTGTATTTGGCTGACTACATACAGAAGATACAATTAGTGGAAAATGCATTGTCATCATTTCAGGAAGAATTGTGGAGCTGGTGGAATCTGACTGAGCAAGTCCCTTTCTATGAAAGCTTTAATGGCCAAGGCACTATTTATTTTTTTATAAGGTATGACTTCACATAAAAACTGTGGATGGAAACGTGGTTGCAATCCCTCAGTGATACAAGAGATGGGATTTCTGCAAACGTTCCCATCCTAATAGCCCTAAAATGGCTCCCTTTCCTATGTCCTAGTTCCTTGAAATAACTGTAGAGTGGAAGCAACCAGGAAGAGGCTAGTTGATGTTTACAATGTTGCAAATGTCGGAGAGACAGACAGCAAGGTTTATACAAATCTCCGCTGTTGAAAACTAAATGTTAGTCTAAAAGAAATGTGAGATAAAGTCTAGCTGTTTTTTATAGTGGCGATCAAGTTTACAAATTGACTGGCTGGGCTGATGAGACAGTGGATTGCGCAGTCAGATGGAACAGAGTAAATAGGCATTTTAACATCATAGATTTAGCCGGATGTAACTCGTGGAATAGACACCAGCTGGAATGCGGTTTTAACCAATCAGCATTCAGGATTAGACCCACCCGTTGTATAAATGGTAAACAGTACACTGTATTACCTCCACTAAAGTAATTTCACCGAGATTTCCAGAGATCTAACCTAATCTGTGCCATGCCAAAGACTGTGGGAATGAGGTCATCACCAGACCGCCGACAGGCACAAAGTGGCGGAATAAGACACATACACACACATCAGCTGACCCAGTGTCTCGGCTCAGACAGAAACAACGAGGCCTTTTGGACCCTCTGACTCGCGGGATGAGACGCTCTAGAGGTCCACACACATACACAGTTCTGACTGGACCCTTTGTTTCACTTCCTATGGAGATGTGTTACATGCCCCACTGCCCACCGTCGCGATGCTTTCAAGCATGTGTTCCAAGAGCAAAGCACGAAGCGCAACGTTTCATTGATTCTCTACAGTAATTCTCCACAAGAGAGATGATAGAGCCAAGAAGGACCTATGTTGTGAAGTGATGAATTTCTGGAAATAAGTTTGAAATAGTGTTAGATCCAATTATATAAACACATGTATAGCCTTTTAAAACCATATACAATGTCATATTGTCACTGTCTGATGAACATCTCTTATCTCCAAAACAGAAACATTTCAGGAAATCGAAAAAAATGACCATGAATGAACATACAATCATGAAACTTCAGAAGCTATTTTGAATACATTTGCTTGGTCCTAGATTCATGAACTGTTCAGAGTAGGTTGGGGGGAGTTACTGCTTTCAATAAGTGTAAAAGAAAACTACAACATTTCAAAAATGTAGTTACAAGGGTTTCATCATACCGCGACAATATGAGGTTGTCTCCTGAAGGCCCAATCTAAATCAGACCATATTAGTAAATATTTAAACAAACTGTATTTATTATTGATAAGAACATCTTTGCCTGGAGTTATCAGACTGGAAAATGCTGTATATCCCAATGGAAGGCCTTTCAAGGATTCATCAATACATATTCCAGAGATATCACTATAGAACATTGCCTACATAGACTATAACAATGGCAGACTAGGCCTAATACCAGCATGTCCCCCAACTAAAATATTTTAGAACATCTCATTCCAAAATCATGGGCATTAATATGGAGTTGGTCCCCCCTTTGCTGCTATAACAGCCTCCACTCTTCTGGGAAAGCTTTCCACTAGATGTTGAAACATTGCTGCGGGCACTGATGTTGGGCGATTAGGCCTGGCTCGCAGTCTGCATTCCAATTCATCCCAAAGGTGTTCGATGAGGTTGAGGTCAGGGCACTGTGCAGGCCAGTCAAGTTCTTCCACACCAATCTCGACAAACCATTTCTGTATGGACCTTGCTTTGTGCACGGGGGCATTGTCATGCTGAAACAGGAAAGGGCCTTCCCCAAACTGTTGCTACAAAGTTGGAAGCATAGAATCATCTAGAATGTCATTGTATACTGTAGCGTTAAGATTTCCTTTCACTGGAACTAAGGGGCCTAGCCAGAACCATGAAAAACAGCCCCAGACCATTATTCCTCCTCCACCAAACTTTACAGTTGGCACTATGCATTGCGGCAGGTAGCGTTCTCCTGGCATCCGCCAAACCCAGATTCGTCCGTCGGACTGCCAGATGGTGAAGCTTTACACCACTCCAGCTGACGCTTGGCACTGCACATGGTGATCTTAGGCTTGTGTGTGGCTGCTCGGCCATGGAAACCCATTTCATGAAGCTCCAGACAAGCAGTTATTGTGCTGACGTTGCTTCCAGAGGCAGTTTGGAACTCAGTAGTGAGTGTTGCAACCGAAGACAGACAATTTTTACACGCTACGCGCTTCAGCACTCAGCGGTCCCGTTCTGTGAGCTTGTGTGGCCTACCACTTTGCGGCTGAGCCGTTGTTGCTCCTAGACGTTTCCACTTCACAATAACAGCACTTACAGTTGACCGGGGCAGCTCTAGCAGGGCAGAAATGTGATGATCTGACTTGATGGAAAGGTGGTATCCTATGACGGTGCCACGTTGAAAGTCACTGAGTTCTTCAGTAAGGCCATTCTAATGCCAATGTTTGTCTATGGAGATTGCATGGCGGTGTGCTTGATTTTATACACCTGTCAGCAACGGGTGGAGCTGAAATAGCCCAATCCCCTAATTTGAAGGGGTGTCCACATACTTTTGTATATATAGTGTACTTCAATAGAAAAAAAATGTTTTGGTTGTGGTAGCCCAGCCCTGGATACTGATTTTTGTGGGCCATTAACATCCAGACCAGGTTCATCAATAAGTAACCTAGAACCAATGAAAATACTAGAAATGTCTTACAACACCAAATATGCAAATGCTCACTTGTGGTGTTCCCTGTCATCTGGATGATGCACTTGCTGTCCTTCCCGATCTCTCGAGAGTTGAAGGGACGGACCCGGACCGCCACCTTCACTGAAGCCCCCGCCATGCTGCCTGTCAGTGGGGGGCGACGCGACAATAGAGGAGTTCAGTCAGGAGGGGGAGGGGCTTGTCGTCAGGTAGACACCTGACACCTGTGGAGAGGGAAGTCATGGTGAGATGAAGCTCTGATTTTAACTACTTTGTAATGCCATCATCTAACAGAAAAACGGGTAACAACTTTACTTAACCTGCATGGTTGCATTATGATACAGTTATAGTGCATTGAAAGACTTCATGAGGTCCTGACCCCCTTATAAGGTATTATAATCATCTCATAATGATCCTGACTAAATGCCAGCCAGATAAGCATCAAGGGCCTTCCTGTGGCCCTTACCTTGTTTTTAGTATCACTGTATGGTTGTAAGGTCTAGGCACATACAGTGCATTCGGAAAGTATTCAGACCCCTTGACTTTTTCCACATTACATTACAGCCTTATTCTAAAATTGATTAAATAAATAAAAAATCATAATCAATCTACACACAATACCCCATAATGACAAAGTGAAAACAGGTTTTTATAAAAAAAATAAAAACAGAAATACCTTATTTACATAAGTATTCAGACCCTTTGCTATGAGACTCAAAATTGAGCTCAGGTGCATCCTGTTTCCATTGATCATCCTTGAGATGTTTCTACAACTTGATTGGAGTCCACCTGTGGTAAATTCAATTGATTGGACATGATTTGGAAAGGCACACACCTGTCTATATAAGATCTCACAGTTGACAGTGCATGTCAGAGCAAAACCAAGCCATGAGGTTGAAGGAATTGTCCGTAGAGCCCTGAGACATGATTGTGTCGAGGCACAGATCTGGGGAAGGGTACCAAAATATTTCTGCAGCATTGAAGATCCCCAAGAAAGAACACAGTGGCCTCCATCACTCTTGAATGGAGCTGGAGGGCCTTGGTCAGGGGAGGTGACCTAGAACCCTAACCTTCCAAAAGGACAACCATCTCTGCAGCACTCCACCAATCAGGTCTTTATGGTAGAGCGGCCAGACGGAAGCCACTCCTCAGTAAAAGGCACATGACAGCACACTTGGAGTTTGCCAAAAGGCACCTAAAAGACTCTCAGACCATGAGAAACAAGATTCTCTGGTCTGATGAAATCAAGATTGAACTCTTTGGCCTGAATGCCAAGCGCCACATCTGGAGGAAACCAGGCACCATCCCTACGGTGAAGCATGGTGGTGGCAGCATCATGCTGTGGGGATGTTTTTCAGCGGCAGGGACTGGGAGACTAGTCAGGATCGAGGGAAAGATGAACAGAGCAAAGTACAGAGAGGTCTGAATACTTATGTAAATGTGATATTTCATTTTTATATTTTTAATACATTTGCAAACATTTCTAAAAAGCTGTTTTTGCTTTGTCATTATGGGGTATTGTGTGTAGATTGATGAGGAAAAAAATCAACTTAATCCATTTTAGAATAAGTCTGTAACATAACAAAATGTGGAAAAAGTCAAGGGGTCTGAATACTTTCCCAATGCACTGTATATTCCCCAGCTCAAGACAGTTTAATTTCATGCCTTCAAAAAAAACTGTTAAGAACTAAAGATCAATAACTCCGTTATGAATTGTCTGATAGCTGACATACAGTGTTTCTTATTCTGGCAGAATCACATGACATTTTGTCATAGCCTACTTGTTACACACAGAATAAATTCTCTTAAAGCTATTTTTGACAACCACAAACGTAGACTAGGCAGGCCTACATGCTGCGTCATTCGCCACCTCGTCAATTAATTCGGATGACCCACATCGTCACTTGCACTTGATTCGCCTACGATACCGCATCATGCCATCATCACAATTTAGCCCCTCATTCTTACTTCTTTTTTTTGTCGGATAAATCAAAACCTAAAATTACCAGATTATCAATACATTGCGTCATTTTAGTCGACTATAACCTAGTACATGTTGGGGTAAACATTATTCTAATCTAGGCTATCTCAAATTAAAATGGCTGCTTTCATCGTAGCGGACATCATTCCTTATTTTTCTCCATCCTCGACGGACCTACTTGCAATGGGCGCGTCTACAACGCTGCAGCTGATAATGCCGACTTTACTGCACCTGCCTGAAGACTCATAGCCTATAATATGTAGCCTAATTGGGGCCTGCGTCGGTAGGCCTATATTGACCAAAATATGCCCCATCCATTACAAAATGGGTTGGCTTGTTACGTTTCATGAATTCGTTGATTCTACAGACAGCAATATCAACGCGACGCAGCTGCTAAAAATCTTCCCAGTCATATCCTTTTATGTGCACACTGTCAGAGTATCACAAAACCTACAGCCCGCAAAAATACACAAATGACATAATTGAAAAGGATATTAAAGTGACAAACGTTATTATGCACCAACCTAGTTCGTGGTTTTTTGTTTACACTCGAAAAGACCCAACATTCATAATGTAAATATTGTCATCTCCACCATTTTGCGCTGCCGCACCTCAAACCCAACGCACTGTCGAAGCAATATAATATAGGCCATCACTCAATTTACTGCTAGGCTATTCGCCCACTGTAGACATCAATGTCATTGAATTCATCCAGCCATAAATTAATCCCTGCAACACATTAGCAAATTCATGATTATCAGATTTAGTTGTTTATTTTGGACTGTGGATCTGATCAAATTAAAGAGGCTATTGACAAGATTATTCGGACAATCTAAAAACAATTGTTTCACAATGTCTAATCATGTGGATGCCAATTTTCCTCAAAATAACAACACATTTAGCGTACATTATCCAAATAATCCAGACCTCATGCATAAACAAGTCACAGTGTCCGAAGGGCCTCAAAACGGCCAATCCAAACAGACAACCATGAGGAACAACAACATCCTTGGTTCCCCACTGCGTCAACACAAGGCCATGATCAAAAACAACATCTCATCAGAAAAGAACAAAACTCAAATCGTCTTACCAAACCACCTCGAATTCAACAACCGCAGTGGGTTCCTCCTTGATATTTTTCCTCCCGTTGATATCAGCTAACAGCCTCCCTCAGTGTATCCATGCAGGGAGTATCTGCCCGGAGCAATAGAGAGAGAGAGAAACAGAGAGAGAGAGAGCTAGACCACCCCAGTCAGGGCTATGGCTGGGTGGGTTCTAACAACAGGGCCTGGTACACAGTGGTGCGTCAGTCGGTCTGCCAGCCAGGGTAGGGGAGTGGACAGGGAGGAGGGAGGAGAGAGAGGAGGGGGCTAGACTGGATGGATGCAGGAGGCGAGCTCAGAGTGAGAGAGAGAGAGCGAACGTCATATACGGTCGGTCCAAAGTAAAATGGTTATTGTGGCTAAGCCAAGGATGCTGGGAGTCAGTGATGACATCATCATCAGCATCATCGGAGTGGAGCAGGTAGAGAACAGTGCAGCAGCGCAGAGAAGGAGGGAGGGAGGGAGGACTGAGGGAGGACTGAGGGAGAGAGGGAAGACTGAGGGAGAGAGGGAGCAGGGAAAGAAAAGGGAGGGGTAGGAGGAGAAGAGCAGGTTGATGGAGGGATAGAGAGAGGGAGGAGGGAACAGGGAAAGAAAAGGGAGGGGTAGGAGGAGAAGAGCAGGTTGATGGAGGGATGGAGAGAGGGAGGAGGGAACAGGGAAAGAAAAGGGAGGGGTAGGAGGAGAAGAGCAGGTTGATGGAGGGATGGAGAGAGGGAGGAGGGAACAGGGAAAGAAAAGGGAGGGGTAGGAGGAGAAGAGCAGGTTGATGGAGGGATGGAGAGAGGGAGGAGGGAACAGGGAAAGAAAAGGGAGGGGTAGGAGGAGAAGAGCAGGTTGATGGAGGGAGGGAGGAGGAATGGAGAGAGGGAGAGAGGGAGGAGGGAACAGGGAAAGAAAAGGGAGGGGTAGGAGGAGAAGAGCAGGTTGATGGAGGGAGGGAGGAGGAATGGAGAGAGGGAGGAGGGAACAGGAAAGAAAAGGGAGGGGTAGGAGGAGAAGAGCAGGTTGATGGAGGGAGGGAGAGAGGGAGGAGGGAACAGGGAAAGAAAAGAGCTGGGAGGGAGGGGACATGCAGGTACCCATGGGAAGACCCCATTATACAAAGCACAGATAATTTAAGGTGGTACAGATCTCATTGGTGTCTCACTGAGCTAAACAGTAGCGAGTAAGATTGTAATTCTATCCTGAGTCAATGCATGTAGACCTACAGTACTACACCATAAATCTGGCTGTCCAAAGGCTGTTCAGTGAATGAAGTCTTTGTTGTTCAAGTATTCAGCTGTGTGGACAATAGTCAACAATATGGGTCATTGTTTCTCATAAATATAGTTTCTTTGTCTAGTGACCACAACAAATGTGTTATTATACTGGACTGTAACGCTATTACAGAGTCGAGAGCAGACATATGTTAATACATCTTCTAAGAAGTAAATATTTTATTGTATTTTACATTTTCATGAGTGATCTATGTGAAGGAAACATATTATACTTGAATGGGATTTTCCTCCATCCAAGATACTGTTGTTCTCTTCCAAGATATTCCATGTCAACTCTTTCTTCAAATCATTTTACATGTCAACTCGTTCTCAAATCATTTCACAAAGTAATCCATTTGAATAAAGAATATCTATCCTTGATCACATTCTCTATCAGAGCCTGGTCATAGAGGAAGCTGAGGAGGGTAATAGAAGCTCATTGTTTGGACCCCATCTGCTGGACAGCTGTCACTATTACATAAAGCCAACATACACTGAGTGTACAAAACATTAGGAACACCTGCCTAATATTGAGTTGCACCCCCCTTTTGCCCTCAGAACAACCTCAATTCGTCGGCGGGCATTGAATTCAAAAGGTGTCGAAAGCGTTCCACATGGATGCTGGCCCATGTTGACTCCAATGCTTCCCACAGTTGTGTCAAGTTGGCTGGATGTCCTTTGGGTGGTGAACCATTCTTGAAACTGTTGAGCGTGAAAAACTCAGCAGCAATGTAGTTCTTAATATATGCCATTTAGCAGACGCTTTTATCCAAAGCGACTTACAGTCATGCGTGCATACATTTTTAGGTATGGGATCGAACCCACTACCCTGGCGTTACAAGCGCCATGCTCTACCAATTGAGCTACCAATTGAGCTACAGAGGACCACCCATGACACAAAACCGGTGCGCCTGGCACCTACTACCATACCCCGTTCAAAGGCACTTAAATATTTTGTCTTGCCCATTCACCCTATGAATGTCTCAGTTGTCTCAAGGCTTAAAAATCCTTCTTTAACCTGTCTCCTCCTTCTTCATCTACACTGATTGAAGTGGATTTAGCAAGTGACATCAATAAGGGATCTGGCCAGCAGAGATAGGTGGGATGGGCTGAGGGAAGCTGAGGGTTGGGATGTGGAACTGGAGACAAGTGGGAGTGGAAAGATAAAAGTCAAAATAAAACATAACAAAAAGTAAGTTTGAATGACACTGAGGGGCAGTGTTGTTACAGCTAATGCCTGTTTGCCTGAGGCTGATACCGTGCAGGTGTTTGTACACATGCATATACACACACTCTCATTCAAACACACACACGTGCACATACACGGACACACACACACACATGTAAATAGTGCCATACATGCACTCAAACATATTCAGTTGGCCTTGCTGTCATGATTTTTGTTGTCCTTGATATCTTTTGTTTTTTGCATTGTTGTTTTCTGTTTTCCTTTGTCTTTGTCTTTTTTCTCTTTTGTTCATTTAGTTGGTTGTTGGTGCATTGTGGGACGGGGGCTTGGGGACGGGGGCTTGGGGGGACGGGGGCTTGGGGGGACGGGGGGCTTGGGGGGGACGGGGGATGGGGGGCTTGGGGGGGACGGGGGGACTTGTAGGGGGACGGGGGCGGGGGGCCTTGAGGGGGACGGGGGCGGGGGGCCTTGAGGGGGACGGGGGGTCTTGGAGGTAGGGAATGGAATTATTTTTTTTAATTTTTTTTCTCGGGGGGGGGGGGACTGTGGAGGGGCTCTCGGAAGGTTGAGGGGCATCTCTTGGGGAACTGTGGGGGGATCTTGGAGGGCTGGTGGCCTGGCAGTTGGGAGCTTGGGCCAGTGGCTGATGGGTCGCTGGTTCGGGTTCCCGTTTTTGACCTTGTGGGAGATCTGTCAACGTGCCCTTGAGCAGGACGTTGACCCTGGTTGCTTCTGCGGGTCGCTCTGGATGGGAGTCTGTTAGATGACTGATGTGATGTAGATGTTGAGCGGCTTCACTGCAAGTAGATTGTATGTTTTAATATTCAATATACAATAAAAAAATATATATATATAATAATAATAATAATAATAAAGGGATCATAGCTTTCACCTGGTCAGTCTATGTCATGGAAAGAGCAGGTGATCTTAATGTTTTGTACGCTCAGTGTATATAATGCATTATAATGCGGTTATAATGCATTGTAAGACCTGCCATTAGCAATGTATGACTTCCTTTATCATTTCTCATTATCCTCTCATGATGATCCTAACTAGATAACATTGAGTAGAGACATAACAAATGCAAGACTCATACATGCCTATAACAATAGTAAAATGTTTCAAGGTCACTATTTTGAGAACCTCTTTTGCAGAACTTACCCATACATGGACCCCAGAAATGGCATACTCGGCTTGTGATGGACAACAGTGACGACTGACAGTTTGACAGAGGTCAAACTTCTGCTGCTCTTCTGTTCATCAGATAAGGAAAGATTTAGGCAAGACAAACAGTGTTACTCTGGCAGATTCTGAAAAAGTTATATCACACACACAGAGCAGGTGTCCTGACAGTACTCACAATAATAATCTCGCTTTACCCAAATCAACATACCCTTTCTCCCCCCCCCCCTCTCTAGTGCAAAGGCCACTGAGAGGTAAACCATGAGTCCCATTTATTTACCTGCCCGTCTAATTATTGACCACGTGGGACATTAGAGGGAGGCACACGAATCGTTCAAGGTCCTGTTGTGACATAATAGCTCAACCAGATAGACGGGTACGGAGTCGATTCAGGAAGAGCAGGAGGAGGCTTTTTTGATAAGGACTCACCCCGTTTTTGTACAAAGGACCGAAGACAGCTTTTTTAACAAAGTGACTTTTTGACAGGCTTTTTATGTCTTAAAAATGTTTTACTTTGTTAAATCATGTACACACATTTTAAAATGGCTTTTACTAATCGGCTTTTACTAGAATGGGTACTTTTATGTAGGATTGTTTTATTGTTTTAAATAAACAACATGTACCTTTTAAAATGTAATTGTAATATAATGCTGGTTTTAATGCACTTTATGCCGTTTTTATGTGTGTAAATGTATTTAAATAATGTGAGCTGTTTTAAAAAGAATTGATCAATAAAAACTTTTTCAAAAGAAAAATAGCTCAACCAGACGGGACAAACTTGAAGCCAATTGAACTGCCCCCTACTTCCAGTAACTCACAACTTTGTTTTGTCAAATGAAGTCAATTCTAAATGATTAATCCTGTCCATTCACATTCATTGATTATGTAAATCCAACACTATTACTTTTCTGTCCAAACTGTGTTGAATACAGGTGGATGTGCTGTACGCCACAGTGGGTGGCATATTATATATTGGTACGGCTATTACATGCTTTTTTTGCATGGATTTGTCAATTCATCTATGTCTACATTTTTAAAGCGCTCTTTCTCAAAATAGATTCCTTGCTATCACATCGTATTCTCATTTTGTTGATCAGCTTATGGTGTGAATGAAATGGCCTCCAAACCAGCCATTTCATTTTTGGAGCATATATAATTGTACTCCTATAAGTCGACAGGTTGGTCAAAACTCCCATACTGAATGACTATGTGAATAACAATGCACGTTTCTTGGAACAGGATCTGCACCTCAATATACGTCAGTATGCCTTTTCACGCAACTGACAGACCATCTAGTTTACTCCAGACTTGTCTCCAACATACTGACCACTATTAGAAACAGCACGTTAAATATTATACCTTTTTGCCCGCCCACAATGAATGAATAAATACATTTGTTTTTTGAGTAAAAGATGTATGAAGTTGTTCGGGGACTTTTTCTTGACACAGGAATCAGTAGGAAACGTTACTGCAGGTTGTTTTTCAAATCATGGCCAACTCAAATAATGATCCAATAACCACAAAAGGCTACCTCACTTTTCGAGGAAAGGGCTCTGACATGAGTGAAAATATTGAATAATTTGGTACACATGAAAGTGAATGTGAACTCTCGCGTGCGTGTGTGTGAATGCACATGCCTCTTTGTCCGTCCTCTGTTCAGCCAATCCTCTCCCTTAAAAAGGGTAGACTCCTCTCTAAATTCCTGAGCGAATGCAGAACTAGGGGTGGAAAAGATCAACAGCGCATACACCTAGACCATACCCCTCACAACAACCCAAAACCAAACTCGACTGGATCCTAGCCTGTCCATTTCCAAACTGTGCCAGATGCAATCTTCACTTTTCTCATGATAGACACATGCTAGTAAGATATTCAGGATTTATACTGTACATACTCTATTTGAAATTAAATGTTTATTGATGTTTCAATTGATGAATAGACATTTTGTGAGCATTGTCTTGCAAAATTAGTTCCCAAATATTCCATAAAACAGGTGTTTCTGAAAATGTTCTGCCTATGTCATAACCAAGGGGAAACCATTTCACCTGTGAAATGACCTCTCCAGTTACCAATAAAGGCATTCCACTGTCTCTTCCACTCATTCCACTGCCTCACAACTCAGCAAATAATGGTAATAGTAGAAACCCTCTCTTCTCCACCCCTTCAAACTCGAAAACAAAGGCCTTCACATGGGAATACGGTCATTATAACCACATGCACTCATTAATAATTGGTCGGTAATGTTTTAGTGAACAATATTTAACAGTTAGTGTTTTTCTAAGCAGGTGGTTGACAATATAACATTTTAGCCAATTCCACCTCTGTGCAGTTTTTATTTGTCCATGATGGGCTTGTTGTTACCAAAACCAACATGACGCACCACGCTAGGTGCCCAAGAGGTCAAAGACCTGTTTGTTTTAAATCTTCACGAAAACCCAAAGTCAACTCCAGTACCTCCGTCTGTCCATGCAAGTCACAGTCGTCGGTTACACCGGAGCAAGGAGCTAACGATGATGCAGCGGGCTTTATTTCGCAGGGGCGCGCTTCTGGCGCAACAGGCGGCTGTGGAAGTCTCACTGCCGCACATTGACCGCGCCATGTCCTCGGTGACCATCCCGCCCCCGGCGTGCATGCTCCGGCCGCTCGAGGTTCCTTTCCGCTACCTGTTTGGACCAGGACCGTCCAACCTGCCGCCCCGCGTTTAAGCCGCGGGGGGCAGGCCAATTATCGGCCATTTGCACCCAGAAATGTATGAGGTAAATGTGTAGCCCCTTTTGCTGATGAATTCATTGTTTGATAACTATTTTTGACTTCTTAGCACCGCCAGAGAGAGGGATATTATTAGCCAGCAGTTAAGTCATTTCTAGACTATCAGTGCGCTTATGAATTCATAGTCAATAATTAGGAACACATTTAGGATATTATTTATTTTTAAATTGAGATGTGTTTTAAAGTAGTTAACATTTGTACCATTTATTTAATTATCAAAGCAAGTCTGATGCGTAATTGCGAATGCGTCAAATAAGCATTTTTACCCTTCTTACCCTTCACAACGGATCTATCAACATTTGACAAAGGATTTGATGAACCACTCATAATTAATCTATGTAGGCCTAGAACTACAACTATTTAACAATTTGATGCGCTGCTTGTAGATCATGAACGACATCAAGAAGGGGATCCAGTACGCTTTCCAGACACAGAACAACATGACAATAGCTATGAGCGGCTCTGGACACGCAGCCATGGAGTGCGCAGTCTTCAACGCCATAGAACCCGGGGAGAGCGTGCTCGTGGCGGTCAACGGGATCTGGGGAGAGCGCGTGGCTGATATCGCTGAGAGAATGGGTATGTTTTACGCACGGTTTTACGCACGAGTTTTCCCGTCATAAAATAAGACCAACAGTTGTGGTTTGATGTAATTTGATCAAATATTGTTGAGAACATTGTTTATAGTCTTGTAGACATCGGTTTTGTTTTCCTTCAGATATTAGACTTACATTTGGCTTTATTCCAGGTGCCAATGTTCACAGGATGGTGAAAGCCCCGGGTGGAATTTTCACCATTGAAGAAATTAAGAAGGTAATTGTTTGGTAATGCATTAGGCTCACCAAAGTAGCATTCACACAGAGATTGTTCAATACAGGCTCCTCAGCAACTTCAGCGTTACCAACCCTCCCCTGTATCCAATTCCATGTATACATAAAATATACTGAACGAAAATATAAACGCAACATGTAAAGTGTTGGTCCCATGTTTCATGAGGTGAAATAAAATATCGCAGAAATGTTCCATATGCACAAAAAGCTTATTTCTCTCAAATTGTGTGCACAAATGTCTTTACATCCCTGTTAGTGAGCATTTCTCCTTTGCCAAAATAATTCATCCACCTGACAGGTGTGGCATATCAAGAAGCTGATTAAACAGCATGATCACTCTAAAATGTGCAGTTTTGTCACACAACACAATGCCACAGATGCCTCAAGTTTTTAGGGAGTGTGCAATTGGCATGCTGACTGCAGGAATGTCCACCAGAGCTGTTACCAGAGAATGTAATGTTAATTTCTCTACCATAAGCCACAATCGCAGACCACCATGTAACCATGCCAGCCCAGGACCTCCACATCCGGCTTCTTCACCTGTGGGATTGTCTGAGACCAGCCACCCGGACAGCTGATGAAACGGAGGAGTATTTCTGTCTGTAATAAAGCCATTTTGTGGGGAAAATCTCATTCGGATTGGCTGGGCCTGGCTCCCCAGTGGGTGGGCCTTGCTCCCAAGTGGGAGGCCTATGCCCTCCCAGGCCCACCCATGGCTGCGCCCCTGCCCAGTCATGTGAAATCCATAGATTAGGGACAAATTTATTTATTTCAATTGACTGATTTCCTTCTATGAACTGTAACTCAGCAAAATCTTTGAAATTGTTGCATTTTGCGTTTATATTTTTGTTCAGTATAAATATATATGAATGTATTGTAAGTTCATATAGTCAACATTGCGAGGAATCTAACTATGGCATTTTGTGCAAAAAAATTTTGTTTATTATCTGACTGCTTATCCATCTATAGGCCCTGGCCAAACACAAGCCTGTTCTGTTCTTCCTCACACATGGAGAGTCCTCTGCCGGGCTCGCCCACCCCGTCGACGGCATTGGAGACCTCTGCCGCAAGTGAGACACAGCTCCATCTCAAACCTATACAAAGATATATATATATATATATATATATATATACACTACAGTATATCTCCGCTGTATTTATCTCAATTCACACTTCTGATGATACATTGACGGCCACAACTCCAAATTCAAGCCCTAAATTCCTCTCTCCTCAGACACAATACCCTGTTTCTTGTAGATACAGTTGCATCTCTTGGGGCAACGCCTATTTTCATGGACCAGCAGAGTAAGAAAACGTCTAATCTTGGTTAACCCAGAACTAAAATCTGGCGTAATTTGGTCAGATGCTTGGTACCATTTATGTTTACATAGTCTGTCCATGAGTATTTAGAAAACGTCAGACTCCTATTTCATTGTCAGTCTGTCTGTATTAGTGTAATATGTTATCATCATTTTCTTGTCTTTGTAGATATTGACATCCTGTACACTGGCTCTCAAAAGGCCTTGAATGCACCCCCTGGCACAGCACCCATCTCCTTCAATGAAAGAGCATGGTAAGGACTCTGTGTGTATTTGTGTGCATGCGTGTGTGTTGTATGAGTTAGGAAAGAAAGAGAGGGATAATGATTGAATTGAGACAAAGTAAATGTTTGAATTTTGAGAAATGTGGACTAATACACTCCCTCTTGATACCCTATACAGCCAAAAGATGTTCAACAGGAAAACTAAACCAGTGTCCTACCTCTTTGACATGACCCACTTGTCTAACTACTGGGGAAACGATGGTCAACAAGCCAGACTGTAAGTCTACAGTATCCTCATGAACACTACTTTATGTGAAAACCGCCCATCCTAACAGGTTGAAATATGTTTCAGATACCACCACACAGGACCAGTGTCTGGGTTATTTGCCCTGAGGGAAAGTCTTGCTATTCTTGCTGAGAAGGTAAGGAAGAAGGACCTAAATGAATTAACCATGTTTGTGTCTATTAGCTGATTACTTTGAGGATTGCTTCTAATTCTCTAAATAAATCAGCTAAATTTACAATCAGTTTTGGACCAGTTTCAGGCTTTCAGACTCACTGTTCCTGTCCCATCAGTAGCCAGTCTTTGTCTCCCTCTAGGGGCTGGAGGAGTCCTGGAGGCACCACAAGGAGGTGTCAGGGTACCTCTGGAAGGGCCTGGAAGACATGGGGCTCAAGCTGTTCATCAAGGACAAGGTAAAAGACTTGGCGTGCATCTGAAATCGCACCCTATTCCCTAATAGTGCACTTATTTTAACCAGATGCTGTTTGGGTACTGCAGTATGGATTAGAGTGCCATTTCAGACAGCTCTGATTGTCAACAAACCGATCACATTCTACAATAATAGTGTCCATTTTTGTTAACACATCCTCCAGTTTCATGGCTGGTGCAATTATTTGGTCTTGAATTTCACAGAGGTGTGTCCAAATGTGTGACTGTGATATTTTGTCCATGCAGAACCTTAGGTTGCCCTCCGTCACCACCATTGCCATTCCTGAGGGCTACAACTGGAGAGAGATGCTGCTGTACATCATGAAGCACCACAAAATGGAGATGACTGGGGGTCTGGGGCCCTCCATTGGCATGGTGAGTGTGAGAGGAATGTTAAAGTTCCAGCTAATTGCCCATACGTAATTACTAACTATCTGTTTATTGACCATTGCATTTGATATGGGAGCTGAAACCCTGTATGTAGATACAATTGGATGGTTAGACTACCTATTTAGAGATGAAAGTGCCTTGTTGTTGTCATGGCAGTGTCTTGATGGTCGAGTCTTTTGTGCAACTATTTGATGGTCGAGTCTCATGTGAGCTCTCTGTGACGTATCCACCATTTTGTTATTCCTCAGGTGATGCGTGTGGGTCTGATGGGATACAACTGCCAGAAGACCAATGCCGACATGGCACTAGCTGCCCTGGCTGACGCTCTGAAGAACTGCAAAAAGAGCAAAGCATAAAGATGGTTTATTATGCCTTTTCTACGCTAAAGATGAACAAACATGCAGTCGGCTATGCTGGAGGACACCTGGAACAAATGGACAAAAGCGTCAAACTGTGAAAGTAGTATCACAGGTGTTTGTGAGCACAGATTTTAAGCACAAATGTAAAAAGCCAGATTAGGACATACATTCACTTACAACTGCTTTCCCAATAGAGTTTGTAATTATTGTAGATGGTGAATGCACTCCTGGGAAATAATATAAAATATGTTTGAAAGAGTCAACAAAATATGTACAATTGTTTCAAATTTGGCCATTTTACCTTGGATATTAATGAAAAATTGCCTTCAAAAGACAAAGATGTTAGTGTACATACAGTACCTTCACCCCACAGGAGGTTGGTGGCACCTTACTTGGGGAGAACGAGCTCGTGTTAATGACTGGAGCGGAATAAATGGAATGCTATCAAATACATCAATCACATGGTTTCCAAATACTTTTCCTAACCTCAACCTAATTCTCCTAACCTGCCACGTTAATTCTCCTAATTTGCTGTGTTAAATCAAAACCGGCAGATCTGCCCTGAGAACAGTGTTAGTTTCCACCAATGCGCTAGGTTAGGTGTGAAAAAACAGACTGCTGCAACCTGATTGGCTGAACACAATACACAACATCCGGGATTAGCATTTAGCCACTCTAGCATGGTGGTGGAAAATGATGTTTCATGAGGAAAGTACGCATATTTTCCCCGTTTCTTTTTTTGCCTTTTCGCCATTAAATAAAGTTAAGGAGGAAATCGAAGACTATGCAGCCTGAATGGAGAATATTTTAGGTACGAACCGATCCATGAGGGATAGGAATGTATTGCCGGCTGCATACAATGCGTTTGGAAGGTTAAATGAAACGACTCAATATCGCCATCTGCCGGCCTTTGGGCTAATTAGGGTCACCTGGTAAAACTATGGTTCCTACCCTGTAATAGTAGCTTTTTTCTTCCTTGTCCTGAATGAAGGTTTTTGTTTAAACATAATTATATCATAAGAACTATATAATATAGACCTATACCAGTGGAGGCTGCTGAGGGGAGGACGGCTCATAATAATGGCTGAAACGGAGCGAATGGAATGGCATTTGTTTGATAACATTCCACTCCAGTCATTACCACGAGCCCGTCCTTTCCAATTAAGGTGCCACCAACCTCCTGTGGCCTATACTGTTTGGCCGGTGTAGGCCGTCATTGTAAATAAGAATTTGTTCTTAACTGACTTGCCTAGTTAAATAAAGGTAAAATAAAAAAATATTTAAAAAATACTGAATCTCCAGCACAGTGGCAAAATACTACATCTCCCATGATTCATCTGTGAAAAAGGGGGCGTCAGTAATGCGATTGCGATGGCCTGAGAAGAATATTGTCGCAGTATTATATATGCACTATTTCACTGCTTCACGACAGAATGGTCTTCATTTTCTAACATAATGACATACTTTGAATAAGAGAACCTTGCAATGGCGTGCCCTTTTCACCAGTCAGGTAAGCCATTAAAAAAAACGAATTCCAACGGTGAAACATTTTATCATTGAACTGCTGCTTAGCCTACTCTCTATAAACGTATATTCAATGTCAACAGCAAACCAACTCGATACAATTTAACTCGGTAGATATAGCTTTACATTATTGTTTAAAAAATATATATAAAACACTTGTGACATTGCGCTTTATGTAGGTTGGCTATAAGGTGAGATTCATAATATCGATAAACGGCCCAAGCAACACATTTATAAATAGTCTTCCTTATGGCCCTGCCACACTACAGTCATCGGGCGACTTCACCATTCATTTTCTGGATTCAGGTTCACTCAAACATCGTTTTAAGCGTTGTTTTACTATTGACAGTTACAGCTGACTTAGGGATTGTATATCTATCTATTCGCTCTCTTTAAATGTCATCTGATGAATTCGTTTGTCTCTGAATTGTTTAATCACAGTTTTCGCCGGGAGTTGGCAGGTAGCTTAGTGGTTAAAGAGCGTTGTGCCAGTAACCGAAAGGTTGCTGGTTCTAATCCCCGAGCCGACTAGGTGAAAAACCTAACGAAATCCTATTGGCGCGTTCTAGCATACATTTCCTTATTTCCAATAGGGAACGTCTACTCTGTGAAGTGCGCTGTGCAATAACTCAATTCGCCCTTGCACTCCTTCTAAAGAAAGCAATTTTTTGAAACTTTGGCAAAGGATAAAGTCTACGAAACGTAGTTCACTCTGTTCATAACATTTCTAGTTTTGGAAACAGAAAAATGTATTGAGATGAAATGTTTAATCGATGAGAGAATTTGCAGAATTTCGGCAAAAAATCCATCTCACTCCATCTTCTCCCACTGCCGGCCACTGGACTTCCTCTCATCACGATATTTGGTAGTGAGTGGAAACGCCAACCAGATGCTTCACATTTTAATCATTTTATTTAAACGTTTTAGTCATTTAGCAGACGCTCTTATCCAGAGCGACTTAGTGTTAAATGCCTTGCTCAAGGTCACAGACAGATTTTTCACCTACTCGGCTCTGGCTCTTAACCACTAGGCTACCTGCTGCAACCTACATCCGGTGAAATATCTGGCTAATTGTTCTATCTGTGAGTAAACTAGCTGGTTAGCTGAATTATGCTAGTTTTTGTCTTTATCGAGCTCACCAGTTTGTAATCCTAAAACCCAGAAATTAGTTAACTCTGGTTTGTTCAGCCATTCCTTTGGGGAAAGAATAGGGTTTTGGGATAAACGCTGAAAATAATGTTTGAGGTTAACACAGGCTTAGGAGATCTTATACGTTTTGATCTATGAGATAATATCAGTATAACTGACTGATATTATCTCATAGAACAAAACATATACATCTGAAGACGTTTATGAATTGAAGCCTTTTATTTTTTAAATTACATAAATGCTTAAAAATTCTCAAAAAGTGACGTTAGCTGATGAAGATAAGATCTACTAAGCCTGTGTTTACCACAGACCATATTTTCAGCGTTTATCCAAAAACATCCATTCATTTTCCCCATAGGCTTTGTCCAACGAACCATGGCGGAGTTAGTGCCTACAAAAAGACGCCATTACAATTTCTCTCTATTGCCAAACTTCATAAATACTGCACCGTCAACTTCAAAACTCCTTTGCTAGTTATACAACCATGTAACTAAGAAATTCACTGGAAATAAACTTAAATGATTGATTGGTTTGTTGAATAGCCATGACTGGTTCGAGCTATCGGTCTACAACACGTTGGCGAAGGATGTCATTGCTACTTAACGCGGATCCAAGTTCAGTTTTGAGATCCACCGGCGTCATTGGCATAGGGTTAGATGGACATTTCTGACTGATCCTGGAACTGTGACCCGCTCGGCTCGATGGGATATGTAGTGATTTTGCCAACACAGCCAGAAATGTAGTCTTTTACCCTTAATCTTTTTAAACTGACTATCGTATACAGTGAGGGGAAAAAAGTATTTGATCCCCTGCTGATTTTGTATGTTTGCCCACTGACAAAGACATGATCAGTCTATAATTTTAATGGTAGGTTTATTTGAACAGTGAGAAACAGAATAACAACAAAAAAATCCAGAAAAACGCGTGTCAAAAATGTTATAAATTGATTTGCATTTTAATGAGGGAAATAAGTATTTGACCCCTCTGCAAAACATGACTTAGTACTTGGTGGCAAAACCCTTGATGGCAATCAGAGGTCAGACGTTTCTTGTAGTTGGCCACCAGGTTTGCACACATCTCAGGAGGGATTTTGTCCCACTCCTCTTTGCAGATTTTCTCCAAGTCATTAAGGTTTCGAGGCTGATGTTTGGCAACTCGAACCTTCAGCTCCCTCCACAGATTTTCTATGGGATTAAGGTCTGGAGACTGGCTAGGCCACTCCAGGACCTTAATGTGCTTCTTCTTGAGCCACTCCTTTGTTACCTTGGCCGTGTGTTTTGGGTCATTGTCATGCTGGAATACCCATCCACGACCCATTTTCAATGCCCTGGCTGAGGGAAGGAGGTTCTCACCCAAGATTTGACGGTACATCGTCCCTTTGATGCGGTGAAGTTGTCCTGTCCCCTTAGTAGAAAAACACCCCCAAAGCATAATGTTTCCACCTCCATGTTTGACGGTGGGGATGGTGTTCTTGGGGTCATAGGCAGCATTCCTCCTCCTCCAAACACGGCGAGTTGAGTTGATGCCAAAGAGCTTCATTTTGGTCTCATCTGACCACAACACTTTCACCCAATTCTCCTTTGAATCATTCAGATGTTCATTGGCAAACTTCAGATGGGCCTGTATATGTGCTTTCTTGAGCAGGGGGACATTGCGGGCGCTGCAGGATTTCAGTCCTTCAAGGCATAGTGTGTTACTAATTGTTTTCTTGGTGACTATGGTCCCAGCTGCCTTGAGATCATTGACAAGATCCTCCCGTGTAGTTCTGGGCTGATTCCTCACTGTTCTCATGATCATTGCACTCCACGAGGTGAGATCTTGCATGGAGCCCCAGGCCGAGGGAGATTGACAGGTCTTTTGTGTTTCTTCCATTTGCGAATAATCGCGCCAATTGTTGTCACCTTCTCACCAAGCTGCTTGGCGATGGTCTTGTAGCCCATTCCAGCCTTGTGTAGGTCTACAATCTTGTCCCTGACATCCTTGGAGAGCTCTTTGGTCTTGGCCATGGTGGAGAGTTTGGAATCTGATTGATTGATTGCTTCTGTGGACAGGTGTCTTTTATACAGGTAACAAGCTGAGATTAGGAGCACTCCCTTTAAGAGTGTGCTCCTAATCTCAGCTCGTTACCTGTATAAAAGACAACTGGGAGCCAGAAATCTTTCTGATTGAGAGGGGGTCAAATACTTATTTCCCTCATTAAAATGCAAATCAATTTATAACATTTTTGACATGCGTTTTTCTGGATTTTTCTGTTGTTATTCTGTCTCTCACTGTTCAAATAAACCTAGCATTAAAATTATAGACTGATCATGTCTTTGTCAGTGGGCAAACGTACAAAATCAGCAGGGGATCAAATACTTTTTTCCCTCACTGTATGTTGAGTAAATCTGACTTTATTAGTATAATGAACAAAAATAAACGCAACATGCAACAATTTCAAAGATTTTACTGAGTTAAAGTTCATATAAGGAAATTAGTTAATTTAAATACATTCATTAGGCCCTAATCTATGGATTTCACATGACTGGGAATACAGACATGCATCTGTTGGTCACAGATACCTTTTAAAAAAGGTAGAGGCGTGGATCAGAAAACCAGTCGCTATCTGGTATGACCACCATTTGCCTCATGCAACGTGACATTTCTCTTGCTGGATAATGGCGGGAACTGGAACTCGCTGTCGTATACGTCGATCCAGAGCATCCCAAACCTACTCAATGGGTGACATGTCTGGTTAGTATGCAGGCCATGGAAGAGCTGGGACATTTTCAGATTCCAGGAATTGTGTACAGAACCTTGCAAGATGGGGCAGTGCATTGTCATGCTGAAACATGAGGTGATGGCGGCGGGTGAATGGCATGACAATGGGCCTCAGGATCTCGTCACGGTATCTCTGTGCATTCAAATTGCCAACGATAAAATGCAATTGTGTTCATTGTCCGTAGCTTATGCCTGCCCATACCATAACCCCACCGCCACCATGGGGCACTCTGTTCACAACGTTGACATCAGCAAACCGCTCGCGCACACGACGCCATACACGCTATCTGCCCAGTACAGTTGAAACCTGGATTCATCTGTGAAGAGCACACTTCTCCAGCGTGCCAGTGGCCATCGAAGGTGAGCATTCGCCCACTGAAGTTGGTTACAACGGCAAACTGCAGTCAGGGCAAGACCCAGGTGAGGACGACGAGCACGCAGATGAGCTTCCCTGAGATGGTTTCTGACAGTTTGTGCAGAAATTCTTCGGTTGTGCAAACACAGTTTAATCAGCTGTCCGGGTGGCTGGTCTCCGACGATCCCGCAGGTGAAGAAGCCGGATGTGGAGGTCCTGGGCTGGTGTGGTTACACGTGGTCTGCGATTGTGAGGCTGGTTAGACGTACTGCCAAATTCTCTAAAGCTGCTTATGGTAGAGCAATGAACATTAAATTCCCTGGCAACAGCTCTGATGGACATTCCTGCAGTCAGCATTCCAATTGCAAGCTCCCTCAATACTTGAGACTCTGTGGCATTGTGTTGTGTGACAAAACTGTAATGATCATGATGTTTAATCAGCTTCTTGATATGCCACACCTGTCAGGTGGATGGATTATCTTGGCAAAGGAGAAATGCTCACTAACAGGGATGTAAACAAAGTTGTGCACAAAATTTGAGAGAAATAAGAAAACATTGAAACATGGGACCAACATTTTACATATTGTGTTTTATATTTTTGTTCAGTATATAATGAGTAATCCAGGAATGTCACAAGTTAATTGACACGATAAAATAGCAACTCTACAGAGCGCAACGACTACAATGAACGGCTAAATTACTTCTGGACACGAAGGGTACAAGGAGCTCCTCCTCCTCACCACCACTCTATCAAAGATTTTTATAAATAAACCAAGATAGACCACAGCCTGTCATTTCCAATGGGAACAGAACTGAGCAAGGAGGTGGGCAGAGCCAAGCACGAGCTAGATCCTCAATTTGCCTTTGCGCTCATTATAAACAACAGGATTTTATTAAACTTTTGCAAAGGGTAAAGTCTACAAAACGTAGTCCACTCTGTTCATAACATTCTAGTTTTGGGAACAGAACTGTATTGAGATCAAATGTTTAATCGACAAGAATATTAGCAGAATTTAGGCCAAAATCCATCTTCTCCCACTGCCGGCCAGTGGGCTTCCTCTCACTACCATATTTGGTAGTGAGTGGAAACGTCAAGCGGATGCTTCACATTTATACATCCGGTGAAAGAACAATGAGACAGATCTATCTGTGACTATTGAGGGAATGCTCAAGACTAGCCAAGGTTCAATTCTCGATGGCTGGCGCGCACGTACATTCTATCTTGTGAATTGAAATACATTTTACTAAGATTTATGATGTCAAGAAGCTACAATGTTCACAATGTAAACAAAAGCAACTTGTGTAATTAGAGGATCATTTAGTACAACCACTAGCAACAATTGATAGTAAAGCAACGCAACCTGTATAGTGGAGCTGAAGCTGCGAGCGACTACGAGTTTTTGTTTTGTGTATTCATAGGCTACGTCGAAATCGGATACGCGCCGTGGTTGTCCGGGTAGGCCTACATAAATTACTCATAGTGTCCTCATATGAACCCCTTGTTTTCCCCCATAGCTGAGCTGAACCCCGCGCTGCTGCCGTTGGACTGGCTTCTCGGGGTCTGGGAGTCCGACGAGCCAGGAGAGGGCTCCTTTTCCTCCATACCACCTTTCCGCTACACCGAGACTCTGCACTTCTCCCATGTGGGCCAACCAATCATCAACTTCATGTGAGTTTGACTGCCACTGACAGCTGAATAGGGTACAGCAGGCCTAACAAAAATCCCTCTACACAAGGAGAGCCTGTCAAGGTTGCGCTTAGCCTACTATGACATTATTATTGTCTTTGCCCTTATGAAAAGTATTTGTTGCTTTCTTGATTGATCACAGTGCATGAGTGCAATACTGCATGGATGGACCTAGCCTGGAGACCCGACGTTGAATTGTCCTTTCAGTTGGTAGAGTATGGCGCTTGTAACAACCATACATACGTCAAATGTATGCATACATGACTAAGTTGCTTTGGATAAAAGCGTCTGCTAAATGACATTTTATTAATAGTATTGGATTCAACATCGGGCATAAATGAGCGTTTGGATCAGGACAGTTTCCTATCACGACCTCTACAAGCCAGAATGTTGAATAAAATTATATTTTGACTTACTTTACCGGTTGTCTGTGTGGTTGGTCCTTTCGCAGGTAAGAATGTGAGACAATATATCCACAGGAAAGTATAATTACATCAACTTTTCAGCAAACAATATGATTCTGAGATAATTGGCTTTACATTTCCGAACCCTCATTGATTTGAATGGTGTCAGCAATTTTTATATTGTATTCTTTTTAATTTAACAACATGAATTTGGGTATTTAGAGTACTATATAGGTAGAGAACATTGAACAAGGCTGTGTCAATAACTACATGGACAGAAATGCAGGTAGAACCTTTATAGTCCCAAGCTCTCAACACTGTCCAAGGAAATGCTTACTTTCAGGTTCCTTCTTAACAATGCAACCACAATAATAAATAATAAAAGATGAGAATACAAACATAAATTAAATGGCTCAGTAGAATAAACATTTTAGCATCAGTATAATACAGGAAGGCACAATTTATAGTCCAATATTTACACGTGTTTTGGGGAAGGGGGGATTGGGGGGCAAGTGTTTTACATTTTTTGTGTGTGAATGTCTGTGTGGGTGGGTGTGTGAGTGAGTGCATATGTGCAGAGAATCAGAGCAGGTGGTCAGTCCAGTTAAATTGTTCAGCAGTCCGATTGGGGGGCAAGTGTTTAAATTGTGCAGTATTAGCAATAGTAAATAAGAGTCTGGTAGCAGCAGTTTGTGTGAGTGCATATGTGCTAAGGTGCGGAGAGTCAGTGCAGGTGGTCAGTCCAGTTCAAGTGTCAAGCAGTTTGATGGCTTGTAGATAGAAACTGTCTCTGAGCCTGTTGGTATCAGACCTCATGCTCTGATACCATCCGCCCGACGGTAAGGGAGAGAACAGCTCGTGGCTGGAGTGTGTGGAGTCCTTGATGATGCTGCGGGACTTCCTCAGGCACCGTTTCTAGTAGATGTCCTGGATGGGTGGGAACACGGCCCCAGTGATGTCCTGGATGGGTGGGAACACGGCCCCAGTGATGTCCTGGATGGGTGGGAACACGGCCCCAGTGATGTCCTGGATGGGTGGGAACACGGCCCCAGTGATGTCCTGGATGGGTGGGAACACGGCCCCAGTGATGTACTGGGCCGTCTTCACCACCAGCTGGAGGGCCTTGTGGTTGTGGACCGCTTTTGTAGAGGCGCTTTTGCGCTCTCGACTGGTGGTGTTATTGGTCCATGTCAAGTCCTCAGTGATGTGGATGCCAAGGAAACTGCTGACTGTTGATGTGGATCAGGGCGCGTTCCCTCTGCTTTCTGAAGTCAACAGTTAACTCCTTTGTTCTGTTGAGGGAGAGGTTGTTGTCCTGGCACCTCAATGCCAGTTCACTTACCTCCTCCCTATAGGCTGACTCGTTGCTGTTGGTTATCAGGCCTACAACCGTGGTGTCATCAGCAAACTTGATGATGGAGTTGGTGTCGTGCAAAGCCACACAGTCGTGGGTTAACAGGGAGTACTGCAGAGGGCTGAGGACACACCTGTATTAAGAGTAGTGTGGTGGTGGTGTTGTCAATCCTCAGAGCCTGTGGTTTGCCCGTCAGGTAGTCCAGGATCCAGTTGCAGAGGGTGTTGTCCAGGACTCTGAGCTTGGTGTGGAGCTCAGAGAGAACAATAGTGTTGAATGCTGAACTGTAGCAAATGGGGCGATAGTTGTTTGGGCATGTCACCTTAGTCTTCTTGGGCAGAAGCAAGTGGAGACTACAGCCTGGGACAGGTTGAAGACGTCCAGAAGACGCCCGCCAACTGGTCAGTGCACACTGAGGACGCTGCCAGGGGACCATCTGGGCCGGCTGCTTTGTGTTTTCCTCACATCAGCCTTGGAGAGCAAAAGAGCTTGGTCTTCCGGTGCAGCGTGAGTCTTCCTGGATGACTCGTTATTGTCTGTCTCGAAGCGAGCATAGAATGTGTTATGCTCGTCTGGGAGGGAGGCTTCGGTGGGCACTGTAGATAGCCTGTAGTCCTTGCCACCTGCGTCACGGGTCTGAGTTGTTGAACATCGATTCAGGTTTGAGTTTGTCTTTTTGCGTCCCTAATGGATTTGCGGAGCTCTTACCTGCTTGCCTTGTACGCGTCGAGCTCCTTCGAGTCGTCAGTGTTCATTGTGCTGACATTGAATGCTGCAGTACGGGCTCTCAGCATGGTGCGTATTTCGCTGTTCATCCAGGGTTTTTGGATTGTTATTGTGGGTACAACATCAACACTTTTCCTAATGAAGCCTGTGACTAAATGTATATTCCTCAATGTTGATGGATGAGTCCTGGGTGAGTTAAACTTTGAACATATTCCAATCAGTAATCCCAAAACAGACCTGCAGCATTGAGTCAGCGCCTCACTATTCTCTGTGTTGGTGTCTCCCTCTTGAGTTGCTGCTTGTAGGCGGGGAGTAAGAACAGAGATGTGATCTAAGTGCCCAAAGTGAGGGGGTGGTGGATGGCTTTGTTTGTGTACACATGTTCCAGCACGTTGTTTCCTCTCATGGGTTAGGATACATGTTGGTAATACTTTAGAAGAATTTGTTTGGTTAAAATCTCCCGTGACAATAAAGACTGCTTCCTGGTGAGAGGATTCTTGCTGGCTAATGTTCTTGTACCGTTCGTTGAGTGCCGCCTTGATGTTTGCTTGCGCAGAACCATGTAAACACGTGCACGAGCTTGGCAAGTATGTATGTGTCTCGTGCATGTATTTATCTTGTGCGCATGCTTCAGGTGATAGAAACCTGAACGCACTTCCAGCACTTTGAAAAGTTGATGTAATATACTTTCCTGTGGATATATTTTCTCACATTCCTACCTGCAAAAAGACCAACCACACGGACAACCGGTAAAGTAAGTTAAAATATCATTTTATTCAACATTCTGGCTTGTAGAGGTCATGAGAGGAAACTGTCCTGACCCAAACGCTAATTTATGCCCCGTCGTAAAATTCTATGAAATTCGACGTTGGGTTTCCAGGCTAGGATGGATGTACAGTATATTAATAATAATAATAATAATAATATCTGTGTACATTTCCCATGTTCTGCAGGTTTAATGCCTTCCATGCTGAGAATAAGAAACCTATGCACAGGGAATGTGGCTTCATCAGAATGCAACCAGGCGGCAACAGAGTAGCCTTCATTATAGCACAGAACTCAGGTACGGGACTGTTCAATGCTTAGACCTAATCTATACTTATCCCGCAGCTAATTTAGAGGGTTGCCCAAGTGGGACTTGAACCTGCGACCTTTAATCTGTCAATTCAACAACTAAGCTATTAAACCAGGAGGTCTGAACCTCTAATCTCGGATAACCCAGATCTAAAGTCTCACATAATTAGTCAGCTGCTCGATTTAAGGTCTGGTTCCATACGTGTTAAGAGAAGAGATGCTAGAACAAGGAGCAGAACCAGAACAAGGGGCTCCACCCTCTCTTTCCAAGTTACGGACCAAATGTCCCCTCCCGAATTTTGAAAGATGCTAACACCTGCAAAAATCGTGATATGTCCAAATAACCAGTGACAAAAAAAACAACAGAACTACTGCTGCTCGTTGTCCCATTTAGTTCCAGACAGATTCTACAGTACCAGTTATGTTGTCTTCTCTACAGGCCTGGTGGAGATAGAGGAGGGTGATCTGACTGGACAGTGTTTAACTCTACACACCCATGCCCTGGCCAGAACCTCCTTCGCTAAAGAACCCCATGTACAGCAGGTGAGACCGGCGCTTTCCAGTCTGATGTCCATAGACTCTTTTCGATCCAACAAGATCGACCTATGACCCTAATAGATATTCAATGCCTGGTCCAAAAACAACTGTTACGGCTTTGATATTTCCTGATCTGTAGGGACTGGATAGCTTCCGGGGAGCTTAGGGAAGCTACCTTGTGCCAAATTGCTTACAATGTTCTGGTTCTTTTGGATCTTGACATTTGTTACATCATGGTTGACATACAGTTCCAATAGTGTTACAGAATTTAACAAGCACCCTTCCAATTGGTTACTCTCTGGTGCCAAGTGCACTACTCTGGTTAAACTACAGTAATTAGGATATTATGTATGCCTATTTTCCCCCTCAGATTTCCAGAGTGTTCCAGCTGAGACCAGAGGGGAAGCTTGAGCAGACGGTCTCCATGGCGATGGAGGGTGGGCCACTGATGCAGCATTTGCACATCACCTACCGCCGCTCCTCTTGACCACCGGGAGGTGACGGGGAGTGATAACATGCACTAGATTTAGTTAGACTGTCTTGCTCCTTGTTGCTGATCTAGGTTAGTGTTGTGTTTTCTCCCCTTGGGGTTTGGGGAGGATAAACCGATTTCTAGATGTGGTAATTGTACCAAAAGAGAGCTGCTTATGTAACGTGCATAGTGGAACAGGTGATTTGTTGTTCAAATAAGTGTGTTCAGCCTTTAATTTAATGCAACCATAATAAAGATGTCCTTCCCATAGAGGCTGTATTGAACCCAATGGATCAGTTGAATAAAAACAAATGTAACAAAATGATCTAATTGTGACAATTTCACTCCTGTTTACAGCACCATTATCTCGATAGGGTTTAAAAGTTTATTTTCCATATGAAAGTGTTTACATCAGTATACAGCACACATAATATTAAGGAAATACTGTAAGTGACTACAGGAAAGATACTTTAAAGATTCAATAATCACTACAGTATCTGAATAAAATACATTAGTCAAAGATAGTATTTAAAAGGATTCCAACATTCTAAAATATCCCCCATAGGCATCATCCTGTCTTTTGTAATCAATAGGGAGAGATTGATGGGTACAACTGGGGTGTATTCATTAGTGCACACCGTAGCAAAACATTATGCAACGAAAACAAGTTTCTTATTGGACAAATGCCTCCGTTTCGGCCCGTGCTTCCCTTTTAGTTCCTAGTGAATACACCGCTGAGATCAACAGCACTGTAAAGTGTGTACAAAGCCTGGATAGACTGTTGCATCCCACAACATAGTAGTAGCTCATCATACAATTCATGTCCTCCACAGTGGTGCAGCAAAAATAGGATTTGTTGTCCATAGAGCAAATGCTATCGCTTTGTCCATTATTTCAGTGTAAAGTCCCAGAGATGATATGTTGTAGTTATCAGACTGGATCTCACTTCAGAGGTATGAGCACCTACCACAGTACATATACTCACTGTGACGCGATAGTGGAAAATACATTACAACACTGAAAGATACATGGTTCTGTACAAGTACTTTGAGCAAAAGTTGATCATCTGAACTGAAGTGTATGTGTCGTTCCACGAAATAAGTGCCTTTTGCATCCCTTTGATATTTTAAGTAGACATTGTGCACAAATTAAATTTTAAAAGCTTGTTATTAAATGAAGTGCCCTTGAATTTTCCATGTGGTCTATATTAAATAAATCTGTTTTTTTTTTATGAAAATACTTGCTAAAGTGCCAAAATTCAGCATTTTGACATGCATCCTCTGACTTCTAGTCCCAGAGATTCATTTTGCATCATACATTTTAAATTTGATTGCTGACATGCAAAACATTTTGGGACTATATCAACAATGGACTTATGAAACAAATTCCAAAAGACTTGTGTGGAATTTTCCTTTAGGTTGAACATATGCTCTTTATGACGATGTTAAAATTAGGTGAAATAAAACAATTTCGCCAAGTCGCGGCACCTAATTGGTGGAACGACCCGTATATGAAATTAACTGACTACTCTCTGGAAGAAGAGCAGTCATTGTTCATGATATTGTGACTTGTACTCGGCAAGAAGGAAAGTCACTGTTTAGACAGCCATCAACAATCTTCCAGATAATCGGTTCCATCAAAGTCAGTGGCTGTCCATCTGAAGCATCAGGACTTCAAGCGCATGTCAGTTCAACCACAACTATTCTCCCAAGTCTTTCATGGCTCCTTCATAATGTAGATGTACAGTGTTGACAGAAAGTGCTTGCAGGATTGGGCAATGGGAGACAGCCAATGGGGCTGAGGAACAGCATCTAACTTCACCACACACTTCTTAATGTCTGCCTGGAAAAAGACAAAGACAAACTATCAGGACATTCCTTGCGTCCTCCATCCTTACCTCCTTCTCAAAATGCATTGGTCAGAGGAAAATAACCTTGGATCTTCTAAGAGCTTTGAGGAGGAGAGGAGGATGTAAGGAATTGAAAATAAGCCTAAATCTGGTAATGTTGCCCCTGCATTTCCACTGGAAACCACTAGACGGCAGCATAGGCGAAACTGCATCCTTCAAAAAACTACATGGAGGGGAGGACTGCTCCTGAATGCGCCAGCTGCGCTTCAATACGCTTCCTCTTACTTAAACCACAACGATGTGGTAGTTACGAAACAAAACTGTCCCTTGGTCAGCAACAACAGTCCAGCCACTCACCCATCCTCCGCGTTTCTTCAGCCAAGGGGCCAGGTTCTTGCGGACAAACTGACCCAGGCTGTCCACTATGGTTTGGACCGTAGCTGGCTGGTTCTGTCGCACGCAGTCCACCGCCAGAGCCCCGGCCACGGCATACATAGATACCACCTTCCCCCATGTGATACCTATGGGCAGGAGAGAGCGAGAATCACGGATCAGTTGGCTGATTGTGGTTAGTTGATCATGATGCTTCATGCTATTTATTGCAATACTGCAACATTAATGAAAAGTACGTAGCTCATATCAAAACAGTTGAGGCAGTTAGACTGCTGATAAGTGTGCATTGCAGTTCACCAGTCCCAATTAAAATACAGTGGGGTCCGAAATTATTGACACCCTTGATAAAGATAAGCAAAAATGACCTATAAAATAAAAAATTCAAATACTGAGCCGTTAGAGGCACACACAAAAAAGGGGAAATTATATTTTATAGTAAAACAATTGCTCAGAGAAAGAGATTTTAAAAGATTGTTAAACAAATCTAAAAAGGTAGGGGTAAAAATTGACACTCAATACCTAACCTTAACTGCACTGTGTGCAGCCAAGTTTCTGCCTCCTGGTACTGGGTAAAGTTCATGATGCCAATGACCATAAGAGCTCTATTTTCATGTCATGTGACCAAAGCTCCAGTTCAAATCCAAGTGCCAATACCATTTAGCAAACTCCAGGCATTTATATTTGTTGGATGACAAGAAAATAGAGCTCTTTGGCCACGCACAGCAATGGTGGGTTTGGCATCGAAATAAGAATGCATGAGCAGAAAATAACCCTATACCTAATGTGGGTTTTTGATGTTATGGGGCTATTTTGCTTCCACTGGTCCTGGGGCCTTTGTTAAGGTCAACGGCATCATTAACTTTACCCAGTACCAGGACATTTTAGCCAAAAACCTGGTTCAACATTTTGCATTGATATCTCAGTCTCCACTCCCCGGACTTGAAACCCTGTGGTTTGAAGTATTGAAAACAGGGGTGTCAATCATTTTGACACCTACCTTTTGAGGAATGTTAGAACATTTTTATCAAGGGTGTCAATTTCGGACCCCATTGTACATTATTTTCAATTGCTCTAAATCTACATGCTCCAGTCTAGTGCACAGATGCAGTCCCAAGACACTGCATACTTCAGAAGTCAACTGTACAGTATATCTATTATCCAACAGAGAGAAAGAGCAAGACGGTTGCGATCGCATCAGAGATCTACATCAAAGAAACGGTCATTAGTTTCCTAGTAAAGCCGTTTGGGTGTCAGCCTTGTTGTGACTGATGCTTGAAGAAAGGAAAAACCTGCACTCAATCAATCAAATGTATTTATAAAGCCCTTTGAACATCAGCAGATGTCAAAGTGCTATACAGAAACCCAGCCTGCTTTAATGTATTTTTTTAGCAGCAGAGGTCAGAACAAACACATGTGTTTCGGCGGCAGCCTTCGTCAGCGTTTGGAGAATAGACATTCACCCATTTTTATAGATGACGTCACATTGCAGTACTGCTTCTTTCTTTACATTATAGTCATTTAGCAGACACTCATCCAAAGCGACTTACAGGAGCAATTATGGTTTAGTGCCTTGCTCAATGGCATAGACAGATTTTTCACTTAATCAGCTCAGGGATTCGAACCAGCAACCTTTCAGTTACTGGCCCAACGCTCTTGACCGCTGGGGTACCGGACGCCGTTTTTCATAATTATTTACATTAATTTTCTACTATTTTCCACGTGCTTCAAAATAATCATAAACAAAGAAATGCACACCTGTTGCTCACAGGAAGCAACCTAACAGAAGTTCTTCATATGACTGTGATGCAACAAGAAGGCTAATGGCATTAGCCTCCTTTAAGCCTTTTTTGTCAGCGGCCATTTTGTTTGCCTTCACTGACTGACCTGTGACCTGGTTCTAGGGATCTATGGACCTCAGGGAAGGCTTAAACAAGCTAACTCCCTCTGGAACAGGGAGTTATTCACGTCGTCTAACTCCCTACAGAGATCTGACCCTGACGTGAGACGACCCAGCCAAGAATAGAGAGATTGTCTGGGGATAAGGAGAAGATGGAGGGAGAGAAGGGATAGGAGTAGAAGGAAAGGGAGAGAAATTGGGGACATTGGGGAAGCAAGCTTAGTTGGTACACTTGGCAATGAGTAAAAGAGGAAAAGTTAGGCGAAACGTTTAGCCAAAGTACTTCCTTATCAAATGTAAAAGCAATGATGTCATAATGGTCTATGGTTGGAAGACTTCATTTCAATCGTTTTTTTAAGCACAGTTCATGATCAGAGTTGTGATTTTGATCCATTACAATCCATTTTTCTGAGTGCAGCATTTCATTGACATAAAATAATTATTCATTAGTCTCTATTGCAATCATTACATGTAAACAATCTTGCTTATCTTTTCAGTCTGATAAATATACTGCTGTTTAATCCCACATCCCAAAAGGCCAACGTTGCCTAGGTCAACAGTGAGTTTTTCTCTCTGGAGGAATCCCACGGTGGGTCCAAAAATGCCCCTGGTGACGTCAGAACAGTCACAGTTCTGCCTAAATGCTTTCCAATGTAGGCCATTTTTATCTTTCCAGACACAGAGCCAAGTTTGAGCGATGTATTATTAACGTGGTCCAGGGAACCCATAGTGTATGTCGCAGTAATTCATGTGTGACACTTAATTACCTTTTCGCTATTTAATCCTGCCGGAGTGACATGATCCACAGCAGAAACTGTGTGTACTAGTGACGGAATGGGAGTTGTTAGAGAATAGAAATGTATGTTTTTGTCAAAGTTTCAACTTGTCTATGTCCAACAGACAGACAAAGACGATGTAAAGTAAAGATAATAAAGGTGTAGGCTACTGTGTGACGCTTTTACACAGCAGAGATTGTATGTACCAGTGACGGAATAAGACAGTTGTTCCACACACCCGATGTTCTCGTGTTTCAAAGCTACATCAAAGTAGACAGACAAAGATAAGACATGTATGTGGGTTTTTGATACATGTTCAGGGTCGAGTGTCCCTATATTTTCAGCAATTTAAACAGCATTCCAGGGTTTAAGGGACATTTTTGGAGGTAGAGGAAACTGCAATAGGGGGTAGTGGTTTAGAGACCTGGACTGTCAGATGATAACCCTGTTCTGCCTTTAGGGATTATCAAACGGAAAATGTAACTACTGTGTGAAAAATATATCACCAAAACAATGTGAATCAAAGTGTTGCAAGAAACACTAGTCTCAAATAACCAGACATCTTGTAGCCCTGTCCCAAAACACACATTCCTCATAGCTCATGTAGGATTATTTACCCCCTATAAACACATAGGGCTGAACCACAACTTGACATTTGTTCTCATAACTTGGGACTTGAGTAAATCATGCATGTCAATGGAAAATGCGTTAAAATTTGAGTTGTGCAGATTCTTAAAGGGACAAATCAGCCCTGACTGGTCAGCTTATGCAACATCCCCCCCTTGAAGTTCTTCACCTGCTGCGAATATCTCTGTTGCCACGGCGACAAAGGCATCGGAAACCATGGTCTCCATGGCTACTGAGATGTTGAGCTGTCTCGCCACGTTCCGGTAGACACTGGGCCGCATGCACTCCAGCTCATCACCTTGGAAAACCAGGGAAGACCACAAGGCTGAACATTTAGGAACAGGATAGCACTGAGAAAGCATGACTGGTCTATCTACCCAATGAATGACTTAAAGGGGCAATCCACAATTGAAACAATAACAAAGTGCCTCCCCGCCCATTTCGGTAAAAAGCTGAGGGATAGGGCTGGAGAAATGTAATCGCTCAAATTCATAGACAGAGCTATGGATGCAAGGACTGACCATCCATGATATCAAAATTATAGTTTAAATCATATTGAGGCTTTATAGTGTTTGTTAACATCTACTTTGTTTACAAACATTGGAGTAAAAAACGCTTATACTTTGGGTTCTGATGGGGTACGACAGTTGAACTAAGCTCATGAGGCATTTATTTATAAAGTTATATTCTTCAAGAATCAATGGGTACATATAATTAATTTATACATCCAAAATGGATGTAGCAACTGCAGATTGCCCCTTTAATTAGACAGTGAATCAATCATTGAAGCACAGGGGCTTTAAGAAAACCAGACTGGTCATAGAAACTAATTCAGTTTTTCCCCTATCTTTTTGGCTCTGTGACCAAGCTTTTAGAGATGTGTTGTGATCAACAAAGTAAACAAATCTATTGTCTTGTCCACAAACCAACCCAAGCTGAACAAATCAGCCATAGCCCATAACCCACCAGTGTGTCCATACAGGTCCTGCACCACCCATTTAGTAAACCTAGATGATGACCAAGAGGGCCCTGTGGGGTATGTAGGTGTCATCTCACCTGCCTTAATTAGCATACCAAACTGAACCATTTAGTAGCTTGATTGCCCTCACCTCGGACTGCCAGCCGCTTTTAATAGCTGTCTGGGTCATGCACGTCTGTCCTTAATCTCAAGGCAAGCCCCAATATACACGTGGTGGACAAAACCAGTACAGTGTGTACCATATCTATTCAGGGATCATAGGGATTCTCAAGAGAAACGCTGCTTATTTGATATGTTAAGTTTCACATGTAGCAGTTTGCAGCAGGTCCTTACCGAGACAGAGAAGCACAGCAGCCACCTCACAAAGCGTTGAGTCCACCTGAGTTTTGGACGAGCCTAGCCCATAGAGGTTGAGCCTAGAGTGTATGTAGTCCCTACACAGTGCCTTGGACTTGGACACCAGTTCTTTGTCGGACGGGGAATGGTCAAAGGCCTCCATCACCCCGGCTGCAAACACAGAGGAGCGACGAATCACCTCCATCTCCCAAGCAGGATTCTGATTAGGAAAACACCTGACCACTTCAGTGTATCAGTGCCTGAGTGGTTCTTCTCAGCGGTAGCCCCCAAAATGAAGAAAATGTTTCATCTGTTAAAAAAGTTAGGCCTATCACAAACGTTTAACATGTTAACTAAATCTATTTTTTTGATAACACAAATAAGAATTGTTCAAAATGCATTCAAAATCTTTAATATTTTAATAAACCACTGTTATGTAACTCCAAATAGGTTGTATGATTCATAAACTTGGCATAGCCAAGACAGACGTGATCATAGGTCTACAATTATGTAATATCCGTTTATATGTATGAAAGAAATGTCACAAGCTAGAATAACCACACAAGTAGCCTAGTGCATTTCCCCTCGTTCATTTTACTATGAAAATATGTATGGCTGAGAAATTACAGTGAAATACAATTTTCGTATTAATTAATCATTACTAAACCTCGATCAAACCTATTAGGTATTAAGAGTATCTTCCTAAATTGATATAGAAAATTCCACCCGACATCTGCTGAAAGACACGCATCACAGTGATCTTACCGATGCCATTTTGATTGGATTCAAATCATTCCTCAGGTGCCAAGTTAAAACATTGATATTCCTTCGGAAAAGTACTGTCGGATACAGTGCTCAAATTACAAATCATGTCTGCATACCGTCACAATCTAAATAAACAACGGCAATCTCAACGCAAAAATCGTTGATGAAATTCATTTTGTTGCGCGCGCAACCTTTTACAATAAACACTGAAAATAACCCATATTAACAAATGTAGCTACTAGCCTGTACTTCGTGTGTTGACCAAATTCATAGAAAACGGTAGGCCCACTCTTCGGTTTCCTTCGATGGCAAATGATTTGGGTTGAGGAGACGGGAAGCGCAGCCAAAGAGTGCGTCTTTTGACGCCCCACCCTCTTCACCGGGCGCAGTTCTCAGCGATTGTTTGCCCCATTCATAAACTTTACATCCTAAATGTGTTGTTGTCTTCTTTAACTTTATAGGCATGAATATTAATTTGAAAAATATGCTATAATTAATTTGATCATATGTCTTGCTTATCTCAATTAATCTCATTCACATTTTTAAATAAATTAAGGGACAAACTAGCCTAAATCAAATAAATAGGCTAACCTGGCTGCAACTCAAAAAATGATAATAGGCCCAGTAGCTATAATACATTTAAGGGTATTGAGCACCCGTGGCACTGTTCCCATTGTTAAGCCTACCTATACACCAAAAACGGTGTATTATCTCTTTTTAAATTGACCAAAACGACAGAAACGCCAAGCGTGGAGCACCTTCAAATCACATGGATTTTGTGTTGTAGATCTGTGGTAGTAGAGTAGTGACCTGAGGGCACAAACCTAATGTGTTGTGAAATCTGTTGTAATTTAATGTTTTTAATTGTATATAAATGCCTTCATTTTGCTGGACCCCAGGAAGAGTAGCTGCTGCCTTGGCAGGAACTAATGGGGATCCGTAATAAATACTAATACACATACAGGGGTTAGAATGGTTAGAAATAGAATCCACCTCTTTATGAGCAAATGACATGCTCTCTAACTGTAGGTCCTCTGTAGCTCAGCTGGTAGAGAGCATGGCGCTTGTAACGCCAAGGTAGTGACTGTAAGTCGCTTTGGATAAAAGCGTCTGCTAAATGGCATATTATATTATATTATACTAATAAACATGAATGTATTACTGTAGAAGCATCAATTGATTTACAGTACCAGTCAAAAGTTTGGACATACCTACTCATTCAAGGGTTTTTCTTTATTTTTACTATTTTCTACATTGTAGAATAATAGTGAAGACATCAAAACTATGAAATAACACATCTGGAATCATGTAGTAACCAAAAAAGTGTTAAACAAATCAAAATGTATTTTATATTTTATTCTTCAAATAGCCACCCTTTGCCTTGATGACAGCTTTGCAAACTCTTGGCATTCTCTCAACCATCTTCACCTGGAATTGTTTTCCAACAGTCTTGAAGGAGTTCCCACATATGCTTAGCACTTGTTGGCTGATTTTTCCTTCACTCTGCCGTCCGACTCATTCCAAACCATCTCAATTGGGTTGAGGTCGGGGGATTGTGGAGACCAGGTCATCTGATGCAGCACTCCATCATTCTCCTTCTTGGTAAAATAGCGCTTACACAGCCTGGATGTATGTTGGGTCATTGTCCTGTTGAAAAACAAATGATAGTCCCACTAAGCCCAAACCAGATGGGATGGCGTGTCGCTGCAGAATGCTGTGGTAGCCATGCTGGTTAAGTGTGCCTTGAATTCAAAATAAATCACTGAAAGTGTCACCAGCAAAGCACCCCCACACCATAACACCTCCTCCTCCATGCTTTACGGTGGGAACTACACATGTGGAGATCATCTGTTCACCCACACCGCGTCTCACAAAGACACGGCTGTTGGAACCAAAAATCTCAAATTTGGACTCAAGACCAAAGGACAAATTTCCACCGGTCTAATGTCCATTGCTCGTGTTTCTTGGCCCAAGCAGGTATCTTCTTCTTATTGGTGTCCTTTAGTAGTGGTTTCTTTGCAGCAATTCTACCATGAAGGCCTGATTCACACAGTCCCCACTGAACAGTTGATGTTGAGATGTGTCTGTGACTTGATCTCTGTGAAGTATTTATTTTGCCTGCAATTTCTGAGCCTGGTAACTCTAATGAACTTATCCTCTGCAGCAGAGGTAACTCTGGGTCTTCCATTCCTGTGGCGGTCCTCATGAGAGCCAGTTTCATCATAGCGCTTGATGGTTTTTGCGACTGCACTTGAAGAAACTTTCAAAGTTCTTGAAATGTTTCGTATTGACTGAACTTCATGTCTTAAAGTAATGATGGACTGTCGTTTCTCTTTGCTTATTTGAGCTGTTCTTGCCATAATATGGACTTGGTCTTTTACCAAATAGGGCTATCTTCTACCAAACTTTTGACTGGTAGTGTATATAAGGGTAAGGAAATCCCAAATAGATACTGTAGATTCCAGATGTCCGTCAGCTAGTGCACTAGCACTTAGCCAAGGTGGAAAAACGTACAAAACTCCCGTAGCCTACTTCACAGAGAACATGATGAAAAGTTCACGAAACAAAAAGGAGAACAGACGAGGTACTACAAAATTAGAGCAAGCAGGTATGATTTTGTCTTTCGTTTCGAACCCACGGGAGAAGACACCATGCTAACGGGTTCCCACTAGATAACACAAACACAAAGTCCGCTTCTTGTCTGCTTCTTGTTTACATCACCCTTCCTGTGATGGTGGATTGTAGCTCATCACCGCCAACACTTGGTCTGGAATGTAATTACATGCTAGCATGGCTAGTGGCTAACGTTAGCCAGCTTGAGCTAGCTACCAAACTAGCATACGAACTTGGTAGCACAGAGTTGATCCTCCATATGACATTGAGAAATAGTGCATTGTGGGTAGTTTAGAAGATATCCAGAAATAAGTTAATAAATATGTAATAACCCCAAAACATAAGTATGTTTGTACTTATACAGTGCATTCGGAAAGTATTCAGACCCCTTGACTTTTTCCAAATTTTGTTACGTTACAGCCTTATTCTAAAATTGATTCAATTGCTTTTTTTCCTCATCAATCTACACACAATGGCAAAGCAAAAACAGGTTTTTATAAATGTTTGCTACGAATAAACGAATAAAAAACGGAAATATCGCATTCACATAAGTATTCAGACCCTTTACTCAGTACTTTGTTGAAGCACCTTTGGCAGCGATTACAGCCTCGAGTCTTCTTGGGTTTGACGCTACAAGCTTGGCACACCTGTATTTGGGGAGTTTCTCCCATTCTTCTCTGCAGATCCTCTCAAACTCTGTCAGGTTGGATGGGGAGCGTCGCTGCACAGCTATTTTCAGGTCTCTCCAGAGACGTTCAATCGGGTTCAAGTCCGGGCTCTGGCTGGACATTCTCAAGGACATTCAGAGAGTTGTCCCGAAGCCACTACTGCGTTGTCTTGGCTGTGTGCTTAGGGTCGTTGTCCTGTTGAAAGGTGAACCTTCGCCCCAGTCTGAGGTCCTGAGCGCGCTGGAGCAGGTTTTCATCAAGGATCTCTCTGTATTTTGCTCCGTTAATCTTTCCCTCAATCCTGACTAGTCTCCCAGTCCCTGCTGCTGAGAAACATCCCCACAGCATGATGCTGCCACCACCATGCTTCACCGTAGGGATGGTGCCAGGTTTCCTCCAGAGATGACGCTTGGCATTCAGGCCAAGGTTTCATCAGACCAAAGAATCTTGTTTCTCATGGTCTGAGAGTCTTTAGGTGCCTTTTGGCAAACTCCATGCGAGCTGTCATGTGTCTTTTACTAAGGAGTGGCTTCCGTCTGGCCACTCTACCATAAAGGCCTGATTGGTGGAGTGCTGCAGAGATGGTTGTCCTTCTGGAAGGTTCTCCCATCTCCACAGAGGAACTCTGGAGCTCTGTCAGGGTGACCATCGGGTTCTCGGTCGCCTCCCTGACCAAGGTCCTTCTCCTCCGATTGCTCAGTTTGGCCGGGCGGCCAGCTCTAGGAAGAGTCTTGGTGGTTCCAAACTTCTTCCATTTAAGAATGATGGAGGCCACTGTGTTCTTGGGGACCTTCAATGCTGCAGAAATGTGTTGGTACCCTTCCCCAGATCTGTGCATCGACACAATCCTGTCTCTGAGCTCTACGGACAATTCCTTCGACCTCATGGCTTGGTTTTTGCTCTGACATGCACTGTCAACTGTGGGACCTTATATAGACAGGTGTGTGCCTTTCCAAATCATGTCCAATCAAGTTGTAGAAACATCTCAAGGATGATCAATGGAAACAGGATGCACCTGTGCTCAATTTCGAGTCTCAAAGCAAAGGGTCTGACTTCTTGTGTAAATAAGGTATTTCCGTTTTTGATTTTTAATACATTCGCAAAAATGTCTCAACGTGTTTTTGCTTTGTCATTATAGGGTATTGTGTGTAGATGAGTAAAAAAATTAATTTAATCAATTTTAGAATAAGGCTGTAACGTAACAAAATGTGGAAAAAGTCAAGGGGTCCGAATACTTTCGGATACTGTAGGTAACCAGATCGTGACTACAACTAAGTTACTAAGTCTTTGACCACACTGTATTGTTACATTGGTGAGTAAAAACTCATGCTTCCTACCCTTTAAGCCTTGGTCAGGAATCAGGAGTAGGCTAAATAAAGCCAATGCAACATGAATGGGCGTTCATAAAATTGCATTGCGGGCCGACACTGTAGGCTACACTATTCTAGTTTTACGGGGGATAGGAGTGTGGCAATTTTTTGTCTAGGGTGACAGAATGGCCAGGACCAGGCCTGGCTGGGCAGTAGATATATTTTCCTGCCACTCCAGGAAAGCAGGTATGTGTGTCTGTGGGCTGTTGGGGCCTTGTCCAGACGGCCTGAGGGACGATGCTCTGAGGAATTTCTCTTTCCTCTGTTTTCTCCTTCTTAACTGCCCCCCCTCTGACGATTAGAACTTATCCAAACCAGAAACCATGGATGGCAGCATTCGCTCAAAACTGAAAATGCGAACCACCGCATTTATCCATGGCAAGGTGACTGGGAACATGGACGTGTACAAACAGACCAGCTATGACCTCCGTAAGGCAATCAAAGAGGCAAAACGACAGTACAGGGACAAAGTGGAGATACAATTCAACAGCTCAGACACGAGACGCATGTGGCAGGGACTCCAGACAATCACAGATTATAAAGGGAAAGCCAGCAACATCGCAGACACCGACGCTTCGTTTACGGACAAGCTAAACACTTTCTTCACCCGGTTCGATAAAAACAACACAGAGCTGACATGGGCCCCCACCGCTCATGAGGATCCGACGTGAGTAAGATGTTTAAGTGTGTTCACCCTCGCAATGCTGCCGGCCCAAATGGCATCCCAAGCCACGTCCTCAAAGCATGCGCAGACCAGCTGGCAAGTGTCTTTACAGACATTTTCAATGTATCCTTGTCCCAGTCTGTAATTCAAACATGTTTCAAGCTGACCACCATTGTCCCTGTTCCCATGAACTCCAAGGTAACCTGCGTAAATCGCCCTGTAGAACTCACATCTGTAATTATGAAGGGCTTTGAAAGGCTGGTCATGACACACATCAACACCATCCTTCCAGACACCCTAGACCCACTCCAATTCGCATACTACCTCAACAGATCCACAGATGACACAATCTCAATTGCACTTCACACTGCCCTCTCCCACCTGGCCAAGAGGGGAAATAGCTATGTGAGAATGCTCTTCATAGACTACAGCTCAGTGTTCAACACCATAGTCCCTCCAAGCTCATCACCAAGCTAGGGACCCTGGGACTGAACCCCTCTTTCTGCAACTGGATCCTGGACTTCCTGACGGGCCGCCCCCAGGTGTTGAGGGTAGGCAACAACGCCTCTGCCACACTGACCCTCAACACGGGGGCCCCTCAGGGGTGTGTGCTTAGTGCACTCCTGTACTCCCTGTTCACCCACGACTGCGTGGCCGTGCACGATTCCAACACCATCATCAAGTTTGCTGACGACACAACAGTGGTAGGCCTGATCACCGACGGCGATGAGTCAGCCTACAGGGAGGAGGTCAGAGACTTAGCAGTGTGGTGCCAGGACAACAACCTCTCCCTCAACTGCAGTAAGACCAAGGAGCTGATTGTTGACCATAGGAGAAAGAGGGGAGAGCACGCCCCCATCCACATCGACAGGGCTGTTGTGGAGCAGCGCAAGAGATTCAAGTTCCTTGGCATCCACATCATTAAGGACTTAACATGGTCCACACACACCCGACAGTCGTGAAGAAGGCACGGCAGCGCCTATTTCCCCTCAGGAGGCTGAAAAGATTTGGCATGGGCCATCAGATCCTCAAAAAGTTCTACAGCTGCACCATCGAGAGCATCTTGACAGCTTGCATCACTGCTTGGTGGTGCGGACAGCCCAGTACATCACTGGAGCCGAGCTCTCTGACATCCAGGACCTCTCTATCAGGTGGTGTCAGAGGAAGGCCTTAAAAATTGCCAAAGACGCCAGCCACCCAAGCCATAGACTGTTCACTCTGCTACTGTCCGGAGCATCGGCTCTCGAACCAACAGGCTCCAAGACAGCTTCTACCCCCAAGCCATAAAACTGCTAAATAAATTAATGGTACCCGAACTATCTGCACTGACTCTATCTTGCACTGACCCTACGCACACTCACTAGACTTTATATACACACCATATACACACTCACTAGACTTTATATACACACCATATACACACTAGTGCTGAGCGATTAGTGCTTTTTGAGGTCGGTTTCGGTTCGATTATTTTAAAATAATCACAGTTTTCGATTCTGGTTTCGATTATTTTAGACAAATGCACTATGCATTATGTGGGTTGAATGCTGTAACAACACAGAATAAAACAATTAATACAAGTCACATGATGGTAGTGACTGCCCATTACTCCTTATCACATATTAGCCATCATTTATTCATATTACTTTACTTTACTATTTCAGTTGTCTAAATTACATTTATTTAATTTGATGACTTTATTATTTTATTCCAAGTCATCATCTCATCTCTATAGAGCTGCTGCCTATACTGTCTGACAAAATCACTATTTTAGTAGTTCTTCAAAGTAAATAAGGCCTACTTTTATGACTGCTGAATACCAACTATCAATCACTTAGATCATGTATTTTCAGGTAGAGATACCTCACAAAGCAACTGCTTTCTATCCCTCTCGCGCGCGTTCTCTCTTCTCTCCATCTCCATCAACAAGGTGTGCAATGGATTATGGTCATTGTAGTTAATTACAAAATTTTCTGCACTAAACTATGTAGAATATTGGCCTGTTGGAAACTACAACTCCATACTACATCGCACAGTTCAGGCTTAATCTGATTTATCTCTACAGAAACTGAGCATCAAGCTCACAGAAAAAACCCCGCACAAAATGGAATTCAAATAATTGAACCGATGTCAGCCAATTAGTTATTTATAAACTGAAAAATAACAGAATAATGTAAGTTATTCCCTCAGCACTAACACACACTCACTCTATTTTATTTTTGGCCATGGCAGCAAAATACTCAAATGGCATCCATGAATTGGTGTGAGGCCTTCTGCTGCGTAAGTCTACAATACTTTTTTTAGAGCAGTAGAAGTACTTCAACTCTCTGGTCTGATCAAATAAATTAATGTTGGAACCATCACAGAGGTAGTTGGACTTTGGCTGGCTACACGCTACACAGGTCCTTGTTGTCGATCTTTGATGCTGCTGTTTCTCCAATATCTCTTTCATCATCCTCTTGAATGCAGCCTGGGTCAGCGGGCCATTAGAGTTTCAACAAAGCCGATACCAGTCTGCAGAATGGCACACCCCCTTACGCTCTCCCTCAATCTTATATAGTCTCCGCTTCAGTTTCCCGCTCTTTTATTGCTCCGCCCACTCCCTTTGTCTATGGTGATGGCTACATTCGACTTTCATTCAGTTCAGAATCAATAGTAATACACTTAATCAATCCCTTATCTTGCAAAAACACTCATGTTTAGTTTAAACTCTGTTCAACCCTGGCACCGCTCTTTATCACTTTGTGTGAGGAGAGAGACAAAAGGGAGAAATCTGACCCTAGGTCAGATTCCCTCTTTTACCCACACACACAGCGAAATGACCCAATTCAGTTAGCCACAAATAATGTTAACTATATGTTCATGATTAACTCAATTTTATCTGATAATCCATTAAAAATACACATCACTGACAGGGGCAGTGGTGGTGTTGCTGTCAGGGGCAGTGGTGGTGGCGGTGTTGCTGACAGGGGCAGTGGTGGTGTTGCTGTCAGGGGCAGTGGTGGTGTTGCTGTCAGGGGCAGTGGTGGTGTTGCTGACAGGGGCAGTGGTGGTGTTGCTGACAGGGGCAGTGGTGGTGTTGCTGACAGGGGCAGTGGTGGTGTTGCTGACAGGGGCAGTGGTGGTGTTGCTGACAGGGGCAGTGGTGGTGTTGCTGTAAGGGGCAGTGGTGGTGTTGCTGACAGGGGCAGTGGTGGTGTTGCTGTTGCTGACAGGGGCAGTGGTGGTGTTGCTGTTGCTGTCAGGGGCAGTGGTGATGTTACTGTCAGGGACAGTGGTGGTGTTGCTGCCAGGGGAAGTGATGGTGTTGCTGTTGCTGACAGGGGCAGTGGTAGTGTTGCTGTTGCTGACAGGGGCAGTGGTGGTGGTGTTGCTGTTGCTGACAGGGGCAGTGGTGGTGTTGCTGACAGGGGCAGTGGTGGTGTTGCTGACAGGGGCAGTGGTGGTGTTGCTGTTGCTGACAGGGGCAGTGGTGGTGTTGCTGTTGCTGACAGGGGTGGTGGTGGTATTGCTGTTACTGACAGGGGCAGTGGTGGTGTTGCTGTTGGGCAGTGGTGGTGTTGCTGTCAGGGGCAGTGGTGGTGTTGCTGTTGCTGACAGGGACAATGGTGGTGTTGCTGTCAGGGGCAGTGGTGGTGTTGCTGTTGCTGCCAGAGGCAGTGGTGGTGTTGCTGTTGCTGTCAGGGGCAGTGGTGGTGTTGCTGCCAGGGGAAGTGATGGTGTTGCTGTTGCTGACAGGGGCAGTGGTGGTGTTGCTGTCAGGGGCAGTGGTGGTGTTGCTGTCAGGGGCAGTGGTGGTGTTGGTGTTGCTGACAGGGGCAGTGGGGGTGTTGCTGTTGCTGACAGGAGTGGTGGTGTCGCTGACGGGAGCAGTGGTGGTGTTGCTGACAGGGGCAGTGGTGGTGTTGCTGACGGGCAGTGGTGGTGTTGCTGACGGGGCAGTGGTGGTGTTGCTGTCAGGGGCAGTGGTGGTGTTGCTGTTGCTGTTGCTGACAGGGGCAGTGGTGGTGTTGCTGACAGGGGCAGTGGTGGGGTTGCTGTTGCTGTCAGGGGCAGTGGTGATGTTACTGTCAGGGGCAGTGGTGGTGTTGCTGCCAGGGGAAGTGATGGTGTTGCTGTTGCTGACAGGGGCAGTGGTGGTGTTGCTGTCAGGGGCAGTGGTGGTGTTGCTGTCAGGGGCAGTGGTGGTGTTGGTGTTGCTGACAGGGGCAGTGGTGGTGTTGGTGTTGCTGACAGGAGTGGTGGTGTCGCTGACGGGAGCAGTGGTGGTGTTGCTGACAGGGGCAGTGGTGGTGTTGCTGACGGGCAGTGGTGGTGTTGCTGACGGGGCAGTGGTGGTGTTGCTGTCAGGGGCAGTGGTGGTGTTGCTGTCAGGGGCAGTGGTGGTGTTGCTGTTGCTGACAGGGGCAGTGGTGGTGTTGCTGACAGGGGCAGTGGTGGGGTTGCTGTTGCTGTCAGGGGCAGTGGTGATGTTACTGTCAGGGGCAGTGGTGGTGTTGCTGCCAGGGGAAGTGATGGTGTTGCTGTTGCTGACAGGGGCAGTGGTGGTGTTGCTGTCAGGGGCAGTGGTGGTGTTGCTGTCAGGGGCAGTGGTGGTGTTGGTGTTGCTGACAGGGGCAGTGGTGGTGTTGCTGACAGGGGTAGTGGTGGTGTTGCTGTCAGGGGCGGTGGTGTTGCTGACAGGGGCAGTGGTGGTGTTGCTGACAGGGGCAGTGGTGGTGTTGCTGACGGGCAGTGGTGGTGTTGCTGTCAGGGGCAGTGGTGGTGTTGCTGTTGCTGACAGGGGCAGTGGTGGTGTTGCTGACAGGGGCAGTGGTGGTGTTGCTGACAGGGGCAGTGGTGGTGTTGCTGTCAGGGGCGGTGTTGCTGTTGCTGTCAGGGGCAGTGGTGATGTTACTGTCAGGGGCAGTGGTGGTGTTAATGCCAGGGGAAGTGATGGTGTTGCTGTTGCTGACAGGGGCAGTGGTGGTGTTGCTGTCAGGGGCAGTGGTGGTGTTGCTGTTGCTGACAGGAGCACTGGTGGTGTTGCTGTTGCTGACAGGGGCAGTGGTGGTATTGCTGTTGCTGACAGGGGCAGTGGTGGTGTTGCTGTTGGGCAGTGGTGGTGTTGCTGTCAGGGGCAGTGGTGGTGTTGCTGTCAGGGGCAGTGGTGGTGTTGCTGTTGCTGACAGAGGCAGTGGTGGTGTTGCTGTCAGGGGTAGTGGTGGTGTTGCTGTTGCTGCCAGAGGCAGTGGTGGTGTTGCTGTTGCTGTCAGGGGCAGTGGTGGTGTGCTGTTGCTGTCAGGGGCAGTGGTGGTGTTGCTGCCAGGGGTAAGTGATGGTGTTGCTGTTGCTGACAGGGGCAGTGGTGGTGTTGCTGTCAGGGGCAGTGGTGGTGTTGCTGTTGCTGACAGGGGCAGTGGTGGTGTTGCTGTTGCTGACAGGGGTGGTGGTGTTGCTGACAGGGACAGTGGTGGTGTTGCTGACAGGGGCAGTGGTGGTGTTGCTGTTGCTGACGGGCGGTGGTGGTGTTGCTGACGTGGCAGTGGTGGTGTTGCTGTCAGGGGCAGTGGTGGTGTTGCTGTCAGGGGCAGTGGTGGTGTTGCTGACAGGGGCAGTGGTGGTGTTGCTGACAGGGGCAGTGGTGGTGTTGCTGTTTCTGACAGGGGCAGTGGTGGTGTTGCTGTTGCTGCCAGAGGCAGTGGTGGTGTTGCTGTTGCTGCCAGAGGCAGTGGTGGTGTTGCTGTTGCTGTCAGGGGCAGTGGTGGTGTTGCTGCCAGGGGAAGTGATGGTGTTGCTGTTGCTGACAGGGGCAGTGGTGGTGTTGCTGTCAGGGCAGTGGTGGTGTTGCTGTTGCTGACAGGGGCAGTGGTGGTGTTGCTGTCAGGGTTAGTGGTGGTGTTGCTGTTGCTGACAGGGGCAGTGGTGGTGTTGCTGTTGCTGACAGGGGTGGTGGTGTTGCTGACAGGGGCAGTGGTGGTGTTGCTGTCAGGGGCAGTGGTGGTGTTGCTGTTGCTGTCAGGGGCAGTGGTGGTGTTGCTGCCAGGGGAAGTGATGGTGTTGCTGTTGCTGACAGGGGCAGTGGTGGTGTTGCTGTTGCTGACAGGTCCAGTGGTGGTGTTGCTGTTGCTGACAGGGGCAGTGGTGGTGTTGCTGACAAGGGCAGTGGTGGTGTTGCTGTCAGGGGCAGTGGTGGTGTTGCTGTTGCTGACAGGGGCAGTGGTGGTGTTGCTGACAGGGGCAGTGGTGGTGTTGCTGTTGCTGCCAGGGGCAGTGGTGCTGTTGCTGTTGCTGACAGGGGCAGTGGTGGTGTTGCTGTTGCTGACAGGGGCAGTGGTGGTGTTGCTGTCAGGGGCAGTGGTGGTGTTGCTGTCAGGGGCAGTGGTGGTGTTGCTGTTAATGCCAGGGGCAGTGGTGGTGTTGCTGTTGCTGCCAGGGGCAGTGTTGGTGTTGCTGTCAGGGTCAGTGGTGGTGTTGCTGTCAGGGGCAGTGGTGGTGTTGCTGTCAGGGGCAGTGGTGGTGTTGCTGTCAGGGGCAGATCTGAATGAGGCACAATAATCATTTAAAGACAAAGCCTTGACTATACACTAACCGTGTGTGTGTGTGTGTGTGTGTGTGTGTGTGTGTGGAAATTAACCCTGCTGACAATCCTCCAACCCTGCTGACTAAAGCATATTTGAGCCAACTGCCAACTCTATGGGAGCTGCTGACCTTAAAGTCGTGGGCCGACTGTTCAATTACTTTAGGCCCTATCCAAAAGGGTGTGCCCACGAAAACCTGTTCCCCTTGATCTGGGATGTCGGTCAGCTGACCCACTACGCCAAAGTCTGCCAGCTTCATTGTCATGAACCCTGCGTCCTGAGTCTGTTCCTGCCTGTGTTGCCGTTTTTCTGCTCGGTATCTCCTGTTTCCCGAAGGTTCCTGAACGCACCCTGTCCGGTTGCCGGGCGACGTTGCTAGGCGGGTGATATCTCGATTACCCGCACCTGCTTCTCATCAGCCTCAGCACACCTGGTCCTGATCATCACCCCTTCTTAAGCTCTGACCTGACATCCATTCCCTGCCGGATCGTTAGCCATTAACAGTATGTTTTGCCAGCGTATCAGCCTCTGAGTACTAGCGTTAGTTTTGTTGTCTACAGTCATTCTCCCGGAACCTTCACCCAACCCCTGCCGTGCCATCATTTAATCTGCCACTTCACCTCCACCTACTCATCTCCGACACCCGCTCCGTCTCCTGGATTATTCTGCATCCTTTTGAATCTGTAAATAAACACTCACCTTCATTCAACTCACCTTGTCCTGGTCTGCTTCTGGGTTCGGTCTTAGAGAACCGTGACAGAACGATCCTCCCAGAAATGAACCCAGCGGACCTGGACTCTGTTCGCCATGCCATTACCCATCAGGAGAAGATGTTGGGACAACATAGCACGGCGCTACAGGAGATAGCGTTGTCAATTCTGAACTTTTCTACCAGTCTGACGAAGATCCAGGCTCAGCTCAGTTTGCCGGTGGAGAATCCACCACCGGTTTCACCCATCTCGCCTGCCGCTTCTGGAGCTGTGCCCTTCCGTGAGCCCAAGGTTCCGACGCCTGATAAATATGAGGGGGATTTGGGAAGATGCCGTTCCTTTCTTATGCAGTGTGGATTAGTGTTCGATCTACAGCCCCACTCTTATGCCACAGACAAGGCTAGGATAGCCTTTGTCATTGAATTGCTGCGTGGTAGAGCCCTGGAGTGGGCTTCAGCCGTATGGGAACGACAGGACACCTGCATGGCTTCATACCAGGAGTTCACGGCAGAGATGAGGAAGCTGTTTGACCATCCTGTCCGAGGTAAGGACGCAGCTAAGCGCCTGTTTTCTCTTCACCAAGGAGCTCGCAGAGTTGCCGACTTCGTTATCGAATTCAGGACATTGGCTGTGGAGAGTGGGTGGAATGAAGAGTCACTGCAAGCGGCCTTTTATCAGGGGTTGTCGGAGCAACTCAAGGATGAGCTGATCTCCTATCCGGAGCCTAGTGACCTGGACAGTTTGGTCGCTTTGTCTATTCGGGTGGATAACAGAGTTCGAGAGAGAAGGAGGGAGAAGCAATGGGGCCCGTCCAATCAATCAGCTTCTCGGTTCCCAGTCGGGTCAGGAGGTGGACCAGAACGCGTCGATCTTTGTCCACCACACGGGATTAGTGGAGAGGTCCTGCCTCCAAATTCTGAACCCATGCAAGTGGGGCGGCACGGGTTAACCAAGGAGGAGCGCCAACATAGACGTGAGACCAACCACTGCCTCTACTGTGGTAGTTCGGGACATTACATCTCCACTTGTTCCCAGCGGCCGTCAAACTGCCCGGCTCGCTAAGTTTGGGAGGACTTTTAACGAGCCGGTTTCAACCTCTCAATGCCCCTGTCAGACCCCGTTTCCCGGCTACCCTCATGAACAGGAATCAGAGTTTAGCGATTAACGCTTTCATCGATTCAGGTGCCGATGGCAGCTTTATTGATGCCGACGTGGTGGAACAGCTGGGGCTTCCCAAGGAGCGACTACCGGAAGCCATTGAAGCTACCACTCTGAACGGCAGTAGTCTGGCACGTATCACGATGAGGACTGAACCGGTTAAGATGCTGTTGTCAGGGAATCATTCTGAGGTTCTCATTCTTCATTCTGCCTTCTCCCCATGTTCCTCTGGTCCTTGGATACCCCTGGCTGAAGTAACACAATCCCACGTTCGATTGGGTGACTGGCAAGTTAACTAGTTGGAGCATTGATTGTCATGCTAACTGCCTCAAGACTGCCTGTTCCCATTCTGTTCCCAGTCAGGTCATTGAGGCTAACCCCCCAGATTTGTCCCTGGTCCCCGAAACATATCACGATTTGGGGGAGGTGTTCAGTAAGCAGAGGGCTCTGTCACTCCCTCCCCACCGACCATATGATTGTGCCATAAACCTGTTCCCTGGAGCTGTCTTTCCCAAGGGACGGTTATACAGCATCTCCCGACCTGAACGTGAAGCTTTGGAGACCTACATAAAGGAGTCCCTAGCTGCTGGTCTCATTCGTCCCTCGTCATCACCCCTGGGGGCAGGATTCTTCTTTGTGAGTAAGAAGGATGGCTCTCTTCGACCTTGTATTGATTATCGGGGGTTGAATGATATCACGGTCAAGAACAAGTATCCCCTGCCCTTGATGAGCTCTGCTTTCGACTCCTTACAGGGTGCTACGGTGTTCACCAAGCTGGACCTACGCAATGCGTATCATCTGGTCCGGATCAGAGAGGGTGACGAGTGGTTGACTGGTTTCAATACACCGATGGGTCATTTCGAGTATCAGGTGATGCCGTTTGGACTGACCAATGCTCCAGCAGTGTTCCAGAGTATGGTGAATGACGTCCTGAGAGACATGATCGGTCTTTTTGTGTTCGTTTACCTGGATGACATTCTTATCTTCTCTAAGGAGCCTTCCAGCCACGTCCAGCATGTCAAGCAGGTTCTGCAGCGATTGTTGGAGAATCGCCTGTTTGTGAAGGCCGAGAAGTGTGAATTTCACGCCCACACTACATCCTTCCTCGGGTACATCATCTCCAGGGGAGAGATTAGGATGGACCAAGAGAAGGTTAGGGCGGTTCTGGATTGGGCCCAGCCCGGTACGAGATTGCAGCTCCAGAGGTTTCTGGGGTTTGCGAATTTCTATCGTAGATTTATCCGTGACTACAGCCGTGTGGCCGCTCCTTTAACTGCCCTGACTTCTAGTACCAGAACCTTCAGTTGAAATCCTGAGGGGGACCGAGCATTTCTGGATTTGAAGAGGCGATTCACCAACGCTCCGATTCTCTCTCAACCTGACACTGCCCGTAAGTTTGTCGTTGAGGTGGATGCGTCTGATGTGGGGGTTGGTGCCATCCTGTCCCAGCGATGCTCCACTGACGGTAAACTCCATCCCTGCGCCTACTACTCTCGTCGTATTTCGTCTGCGGAGAGGAACTACGACGTGGGTAACCGGGAGCTTCTCGCAGTGAAACTTGCCTTGGAGGAGTGGCGCCACTGGTTGGAGGGGGCGGAGCAACCGTTTGTTGTCTGGACTGACCACAAGAATCTTGCTTACGTGCAATCGGCTAAACGTCTCAACTCCCGTCAGGCCAGGTGGTCGTTGTTTTTTGGACGCTTTAATTTTTCCTTGACGTTCCGACCGGGGTCTAAGAACGGCAAGGCGGACGCCTTGTCCCGGATGTTCTCCAAGACGGAGGAGAGTGGGGCCAAGACTGAGACGATTCTTCCCCGGAACCTTGTCGTAGGAGCCGTTATGTGGAGGATTGAGGAGGAGGTTATGGCGGCCCTTCGGACGCAGCCCGGCCCCGGTAACGGTCCACCCGGTCGGTTGTTTGTGCCTGAGTCGGTCCGTTCAGCTGTCCTCCAATGGTCCCACGCCAGCAAGATGGCTTGCCACCCTGGCGTGGCTCGGACGATGGCGCTTCTACGCAGACGATTTTGGTGGCCTGCCATGGGAGAAGATACTTGGAGGTTTGTTGCTGCCTGTCCAGTTTGTGCGCAGAACAAGCGTGCCAATCGGCCCAGCTCTGGACTTCTTCACCCCCTACCTATCCCCCGGCGACCATGGTCGCATCTGGCCCTGGACTTTGTCACTGGGTTGCCCTCTTCTGAGGGGAACACGGTCATTCTGACTATTGTGGACAGATTCAGCAAGTTCGCCCACTTTGTGCCCATCTCCAAGCTTCCCTCTGCCTCTGAGACGTCCAAGATCCTGGTTAGGGAGGTTTTCAGGGTTCATGGACTGCCCAGTGACATAGTTTCCGACCGTGGTCCTCAGTTCACCTCTGCTGTCTGGAAGTCCTTCTGTTTGGCCATTGGAGCTACAGTCAGTCTCACATCTGGATTTTACCCCCAATCCAATGGACAGGCAGAGAGAGCCAACCAGAAGATGGAATCCACGCTGCGCTGCCTTGTTTCCTCCAACCCCACCTCTTGGGTCTCTCAGTTGCCTTGGGTTGAGTATGCCCACAATACTCTCCCTACTTCTGCCACTGGGATATCTCCCTTCCAGTGCCTATATGGCTACCAACCCCCCTTGTTTCCTTCTCAGGAGAAGGATCTCTCGGTTCCCTCTGCCCAGGCCCACATTCGTCGTTGCCACCGGACCTGGCATCGGGCCAGAAAGGCCCTCCTTCGAGTTTCTGACCGGTATCAGCTCCAGGCGAATCGTCGCCGTATTCCAGCCCCAGCTTATGCCATCGGAGATAGGGTCTGGTTGGCTACACGGGACCTCCCTCTGCGGACTGAGTCAAGGAAACTGTCGCCGAGGTTCATTGGTCCTTTTGTGGTGGAGAGAGTGATCAATCCGGTTGTGGTTCGACTCAAGTTGCCTAGGACGCTCAGAGTCCATCCCACCTTCCATGTCTCCTGCCTCAAGCCTGTTCTCCTCAGCCCTCTGTTGCCCCCTCCGCCTCCTCCTCCTCCTCCTCGGATGATCGGAGGAGGTCCTGTCTACACGGTGCGCCGCATCATGGATTCCAGACGGCGGGGCCGGGGTTTCCAGTATCTCGTGGACTGGGAGGGGTATGGTCCTGAGGAGAGGAGTTGGATTCCTCGGCGTCAGATCCTGGATGCTGACCTCCTTCGTGACTTCTTCCGCCTCCATCCTGGCGCTCCGGGTAGTCCGCCCGGTGGCGTTCATCGGAGGGGGGGTACTGTCATGAACCCTGCGTCCTGAGTCTGTTCCTGCCTGTGTTGCCGTTTTTCTGCTCGGTATCTCCTGTTTCCCGAAGGTTCCTGAACGCACCCTGTCCGGTTGCCGGGCGACGTTGCTAGGCGGGTGATCTCTCGATTACCCGCACCTGCTTCTCATCAGCCTCGGCACACCTGGTCCTGATCATCACCCCTTCTTAAGCTCTGACCTGACATCCATTCCCTGCCGGATCGTTAGCCATTAACAGTATGTTTTGCCAGCGTATCAGCCTCTGAGTACTAGCGTTAGTTTTGTTGTTTTTGCACCTTGTTGACCTGCCTTGTACTTACCTCCATTTTTTTCTGTCTACAGTCATTCTCCCGGAATCTTCACCCAAACCCTGCCGTGCCATCATTTAATCTGCCACTTCACCTCCACCTACTCATCCCGCCACCCGCTCCGTCTCCTGGATTATTCTGCATCCTTTTGCATCTGTAAATAAACACTCACCTTCGTTCAACTCACCTTGTCCTGGTCTGCTTCTGGGTTCGGTCTTAGAGAACCGTGACATTCATGTTACCTTGCTCCGACAGCAGCACGTTGGCAGGGGGAAGGAGAGGTAAGGCTGGTGGTCAATGAATAATAATAATATATGCCACTAAGCAGACGCTTTTATCCAAAGTGACTTACAGTACAATGTGTGGGTGTATACATTTAATAGACAGCATCACAACACTCCCGACATTCAAAAAGAGACGGCAATTAAAGCGGAATGGAAACACTAGGATTTAGAATGCCAGCTAACTGTAACTGCATTGTTGCATCACTGGCAGGAGAGAACATTTTGTGTTTCCATTCCCCTCTAATGTCTTAGGTTTATCTATTGTACATGCATTGCTTTGGTGAAATTTCTGTTTTTACGATTCTCCAGCACAATCCCTGGCCCCACTTCATGTTCTATCATACTACGTACAGTAAGAACATAATAACAATGTCATAACATGATTAAATCCATTTACAGTGAGGGAAAATAGTATTTGATCCCCTGCTGATTTTATACGTTTGCCCACTGACAAAGACATGATCAGTCTATAATTTCAATGGTAGGTTTATTTGAACAGTGAGAGACAGAATAACAACAAAAATCCTGAAAAACACATTTCAAAAATGTTATAAATTGATTTGCATTTTAATGAGAGAAATAAGTATTTGACCCCTCTGCAAAACACGACTTAGTACTTGGTGGCAAAACCATTGTTGGCAATCACAGAGGTCAGACGTTTCTTGTAGTTGGCCACCAGGTTTGCACACATCTCAGGAGGGATTTTGTCCCACTCCTCTTTGCAGATCTTCTCCAAGTCATTAAGGTTTCAAGGCCGACGTTTGGCAACTCAAACCTTCAGCTCCCTCCACAGATTCTCTATGGGATTAAGGTCTGGAGACTGGTTAGGCCACTCCAGGACCTTAATGTGCTTCTTCTTGAGCCACTCCTTTGTTGCCTTGGCCGTGTGTTTTGGGTCATTGTCATGCTGGAATACCCATCAACGACCCATTTTCAATGCCCTGGCTGAGGGAAGGAGGTTCTCACCCAAGATTTGACGGTACATGGCCCTGTCCATTGTCCCTTTGATGCGGTGAAGTTGTCCTGTCCCCATAGCAGAAAAACACCCCCAAAGCATAATGTTTCCACCTCCATGTTTGATGGTGGGGATGGTGTTCTTGTGGTCATAGGCAGCATTCCTCTTCCTCCAAACACGGCGAGTTGAGTTGATGCCAAAGAGCTCGATTTTGGTGTCATCTGACCACAACACTTTCACCCAGTTCTCCTCTGAATCATTCAGATGTTCATTGGCAAACTTCAGACGGGCCTGTATATGTGCGTTCTTGAGCAGGGGGACCTTGCGGGCGCTGCAGGATTTCAGTCCTTCACGGCGTAGTGTGTTACCAATTGTTTTCTTGGTGACTATGGTCCCAGCTGCCTTGAGATCATTGACAAGATCCTCCCGTGTAGTTCTGGGCTGATTCCTCACCGTTCTCATTATCATTGCAACTCCACGAGGTGAGATCTTGCATGGAGCCCCAGGCCGAGGGAGATTGACAGTTCTTTTGTGTTTCTTCCATTTGCGAGTAATCGCACCAAGACAGGTGTCTTTTATACTGGTAACAAACTGAGATTAGGAGCACTCCCTTTAAGAGTGTGCTCCTAATCTCAGCTCGTTACCTGTATAAAAGACACCTGGGAGCCAGAAATCTTTCTGATTGAGAGGGGGTCAAATACTTATTTCCCTCATTAAAATGCAAATCAATTTATAACATTTTTGACATGCGTTTTTCTGGATTTTCTTGTTGTTATTCTGTCTCTCACTGTTCAAATAAACCTACCATTACAATTATAGACAGATCATTTCTTTGTCAGTGGGCAAACGTACAAAATCAGCAGGGGATCAAATACTTTTTTCCCTCACTGTAAATATACTCACCGGATAGTTAATTAGGTACACCTCCCCGTTCATGAAAATTTATCATTCCTACAGACAGTGAGTCACGTGGCCATGGCTTGCTATATAAAGCAGGCAGACAGGCATCAAGGTATTCAGTTACTGTTCGATTGAACGTTAGAATGGGCAAAACGAGTGACCTAAGCGACTTTGAGCGTGGTATGATCGTCGGTGCCAGGCACGCCAGATCCAGTATCTCAGAAACGGCTGGTGTCTAGGGTTTACCGAAAAAGGGTACGACAAACAAACATCCAGTCAGCGGCAGTCCTGTGGGTGAAAACAGCTTGTTGATGAGAGAGGTCAGAGGAGAATGGCAAGAATCGTCCAAGCTAACAGGCGGGCCACAAACACAAATAACGGCGCACTACAACAGTGGTGTGCAGAACGGCATTTCGGAATGCACAACTCATCGATCCTTGTCACGGATGGACTATTGCAGCAGAAGAAGCTGCTCCAGTGGGCATACGATCACCAACACTGGACAATTGAGGACTGAAAAAACATTGCCTGGAACATGACAGCGAGTTCAGTTTATTGGAGTGGTCTGCGCAGTCCCCAGACCTCAACCCAATAGAGCATCTTTGGGATGAGATGTTTGCAGCATGAATGTACTGGTGTCGAACCTGCAGCAACTGCGTGATGCCATCGTGTCAGCATGGGTCAACATCCCTGTGGAACGTTTCTGACCCCTTGTAGAATGCCCCGAAGAATTCAGGCTGTTCTGGAGGCAAAGGGGGTTCCGAACCAGTACTAGATGGGTGTACCTAATAAACTGGCCGGTGAGTGGTACATTTTGTATACAGATATTTTAAAATACAGGTAGACTGCCCAGTTAGCTAAAAAGCACCATTAATACTACTATTATTAATAATATTAAATATTATTATTATTATTATTATTATTTACTATGCCAATTTCTTGAGCACTTTACATAAATATCCAGACCCACAGATTAGTTTGTCTTTCTCAGAACCTGAATTTAAGTCTTTGTACTTTTGGAGTATCATGTAGGACTATGAGTATGATGTGTAGAATATTTCTTAGCCTATTACCATTTCATTGTTGCTGGTTATTTGCAGTGGTGCAAAGTACTTAAGTAAAAATACTTTAAAGTACTACTTACGTAGTTTCTTTGGGTATCTGTACTTTACTTTACTATTTATATTTTTGACTACTTTTACTTTTACTTCACCACATTCCTAAAGAAAATAATGTACTTTTTACTCCATACATTTTCCCTGACACCCAAAAGCACTCGTTACATTTTGAATGCTTAGCAGGACAGGAAAAGGGTCCAATTCACGCGCTTATCAAGAGAACATCCCTGGTCATCCCTACTGCCTCTGATCTGGCAGACTCACTAAACACACATGCTTTGTTTGTAAATTATGTCTGAGTGTTGGAGTGTGCCCCTGGTTTTCCGTAAATCTGGTTTGCTTAATATAAGGAATTTGAAATGATTTGTACTTTTACTTTTCATACTTAAGTATATTTTCGCAATTACATTTACTTTTGATAGTTAAGTATATTTAAAACCAACTACTTTTACTCAAGTAGTATTTTACTGGGTGACTTTCACTTTTACTTGAGTCATTTTCTATTAAGGTATCTTTACTTTTACTCAAGTATGACATTTGGGTACTTTTTCCACCACTGGTTATTTGAAATGTCCAACACTGCTATTTACAGTGCATTCTCAATCTCTACCGCACCTGCTATTTCAACCTCTAAATGCCCGGCTATGAAAAGCCAAGTGACATTTACTCCTGATGTACTGACCTGTTGCAACCTCTACAACCACTGTGATTATTATTTGACCCTGCTGGTCATTTATGAACGTTTGAACATCTTGAAGAAAAATCTGGCCTTAATGGCCATGTACTGTTATAATCTCCACCCGGCACAACCAGAAGGGGACTGGCCACCCCTCAGAGCCTGGTTCCTCTCTAGGTTTCTTCTTAGGTTTCTGCCTTTCTAGGGAGTTTTCCTAGCCACCGTGCTTCTGCATCTGCATTGCTTGCTGTTTGGGGTTTTAGGTTGGGTTTCTGTATAGCACTTTGTGACATCTGCTGATGTAAAAAGGGCTTTATAAATACAATTTTGATTGATTGATATTCAGACCACTTGACTTTTTCCACATTTTGTTTTACACTACAGCCTTATTGTAAAATTGATTAAATAGTTTTTTTGTTAAAAATTGTTTCCGCCCGGTTTCGAACCGGGGACCTTTCGCGTGTGAGGCGAACGTGATAACCACTACACTACGGAAACTGAAAGAAAACTGAACTTGGGTGTCGTCTTGGCTGGGTGGAGGGGTCGTCGTGCTCAGAACCTAATGTAGTTAGAAATTGCTTAGTCTATTACCATTGCCACTTGTTATTTGAAGAAATGTCCAATGCGGTTCTATTTATGTATACTGTAGGCCAGGGATCATCACCTAGATTTAGCCGCGGCCCGATTTTTTCCTTGAGCGGATGGTTAGGGGGCCAAAACATTATTACAAATAATTTATAGACTGCAAATTGACCGCAAGAAGCACAAAATATATATAATATTTGACTAAAATATAATCATTTCAAACCATTCTTACATTTCTATACGATCACATATCACTCTATTATGCATGGGAATACTTTGGAACAGATTTCCTAAATTAAAATCACTTGGAACTGATTTGCTGGTGTTTTTACAGACTTTTATGTCCAACAATAATAAAAAATTATATGAAAAAACTTGGGGGGCCAAATAAAATCACCCTCGGGCCAAATTCGGACCCCAGGCCGCCACTTCTTTATTGACCGAGTCACTGGTGCTTCCTGCTTTAGTTCTATATCGTGGAGCTCCGCCCCATAGGGGAGCTCTGCTCCTAGTGGTTTACCCTCTGCCCTAAGGCAGCAACAGCCTGAGACAAAATTATGCACACACCTGCAGCCAATAGGAGCACAGGTGTCCCTATAAGAGGGGATGCCTCCCCTAAATCAGCCTCCCTTTATCTTCAGCGACTGGATGACTAGACTGAAGAGCCAAGAAGAGACGAAGCACGAAGACTCAGGACGAAAAAAACGCCGTTGATATTCCAGTCATCAACGTCGTCTAAATGAGCACACCGGGAGATTTTCCACCCCCAAAAGCTCTTTTCAGAGCTCAGTGCAGATGCACTTCCATGGCGGCCGGTGACCACCACGACCTGTGTTTCGTGTGTTTGGGATCCCAGCATGCCAAGGAAGGCGTCTGCAGTCCCCCGAATTGCGCCTCCTGCGCCCTCCTTTCTTTAAAGAAGAGGAAGCAGCGTTGGGCGTTTTTCAGGGAGGACATCCCCCTTGAGGACGTGCTGTCGATACTAGCCTCTGCTTCAGAGGCGTCGTCCGACGGTGCAGACTCGGGGGAAGATAGGGACTTTGAGGAGGGGTCTGGCATTCCAATGGAACAGTCGGACCCCATCCCTCATATTTTCAA